ATCAAAGTAAAATGGTCGTCTGAATATTTTAAAAGACTGTGATCAATGTTCAATGTCTGCCTAAAGATCTATAACTAGTGTGATCAATGTTCAATGTCTGCCTACAGATCTATAACCACTGTGGTCAATGTTCAATGTCTGCACTCGAAATTCGCTTCTATCTTAACCGAGGGCCAGAACAATCGTTGATAAAACAAGACCGTCTTTTGACAAAGCTTGATCTGTGCGCGTTTGTAATGCTACAATTAATATCTTCTGTGAGGCGGCTGTAAAGCTACAATTGATATCTTCTGTGAAGCGGTTGTAATGCTACAATTGATATCTTCTGTGAGGCGGCTGTAATGCTACAATTGATATCCTCTGTGAAGTGACTAATGCTACAATTGATATCTTCTGTGAGGCGGCTGTAATGCTACAATTGATATCCTCTGTGAAGTGACTAATGCTACAATTGATATCTTCTGTGAGGCGGCTGTAAAGCTACAATTGATATCTTCTGTGAGGCGGCTGTAAAGCTACAATTAATATCTTCTGTGAGGCGGCTGTAAAGCTACAATTAATATCTTCTGTGAGGCGGCTGTAAAGCTACAATTGATATCTTCTGTGAAACGGTTGTAATGCTACAATTGATATCTTCTGTGAGGCGGCTGTAAAGCTACAATTAATATCTTCTGTGAGGCGGCTGTAAAGCTACAATTAATATCTTCTGTGAGGCGGCTGTAAAGCTACAATTGATATCTTCTGTGAAACGGTTGTAATGCTACAATTGATATCTTCTGTGAAGCGGCTGTAATGCTACAATTGATATCTTATGTGAAGTGCCTGTAATGCTACAACTGATATCTTCTGTGAAACGGTTGTAATGCTACAATTGATATCTTCTGTGAAGGGGCTGTCATTTTTCTTGGTGTGAGCAGACAATGCACGTGAAATAAATACACAGCACACTTTCATTTAATCTACTCTCGCGGGTTAATTCGCATAAATTGTTGTCGAACCTCGCGCCAACAGCAATCGATACTGAAACTCATTAAACTTTTAACCATCAAATACTGGCCTTGATTTATCCATGTTAAATTTCCATGAGTTTCATTCTATCCCTGCACCGAAGAGAGTCAAATGACCCCCCGAACGAGATGGAATTTGTATAGAAAATATATACTTTCACCCATACTTTCGATTTGCACCACCCCCCCCTCAAACTTTCAATTTGCACCCCCCCCCTCAAGTTTTGATTTGCACACCCCCTCAAACTTTCGATTTGCACCCCCCTCAAGTTTTTCTCTATATATTTTGCTATTTTTGCCTTGGTGTCACCCCCTAAATGGTGTCACTCGGTGCGGTCCGCACCCCCCTCGCTACGCCTCTGCTTTTACCAGTGTCCGCCCCCAGAAGATGTAATGCGCTCCCCCCCCCCCCCCCGAAAATATCTAGTGCACTTCCCCCCCCCCCCCCCCCGGGAAAAAATGTGGAAGAAACAATGTTCGACCACGCCGTCGTATTTAAAGAGTTGATAGTAACATACACATTGTAAAGTTGTTTATTCTTAAAGGCTGATTGTAGCGAAATTGTTAAATTTTTTATACATTTAAATTCGGTCCAAGGCAACACAAAAACTACCAATTTAGCTTCGATTTTCAGCTAATAAAAATTTTCAAAGTTGTTTTAAAATTTATCTAACTTAACTCATCTAAATTATTATAATACACTGCATTTGCTTTTTTGTTTTGTTTTTGGATTCGCTTAAATTTCCCTTAAAAATTACACTTGCAACATTTTCGAAATTTAATTTAGATGTGGCGGAGATCGCTAATGAATGCCATCCGTCTTTACGTTGGCAACTCTAGTGTGTTAAAAAAAATCCAAAGTCACGTTGCCATCCATTTTATCGCATTTATAAATCACGTGGTCCGGCGTTTGGTGTTGTTTTATGGGAGAGGGCAATCGTTATGTTTATAAGGAAAATACGATTGGAGAAAGTGTTACAATTATCAAATTTAGATTCTACATACAATAGGACAAAGTTGTACAATATCTAATTTAGATTCTAGGTAAAATAGGACAAAGTTTTTCAATATCTAATTTAGATTCTGGATACAATAAAACAAAGTGTTACACTATCTAATTTAGATTCTAGGTAAAATAGGACAAAGTTTTTCAATATCTAATTTAGATTCTGGATACAATATGACAAAGTGTTACAATATCTGATTTAGGCTCTAGATACAATAGGACAAAATGTTACACTATCTAATTTAGATTCTGGATACTTGGACTCCGGTAAAAGTATATATTTTCTTTTAAAAAGTTTTATTTTTTAGATGGTATAGCTCTGTCTCCCCCTCCCACCCAGGGGGGATGCCTGAAGGAAACATTGCCTTCACTTCTGTAATTATCACATTATTCGTTTTATGTTGTAGTTCAAAGCAATAAAGAAACCAATTTTTATGCGAACTAATTAAAATAAATGATCACATTTCTAGTTGCATTGAAAAACAAAACAAAAATATTTTTAAAAAATAATTTATTTTAGCAAGTAGGGGACTGATATAGGCCCAACTTACTTGGTTATGTTTTGTATCAAGCAATTCGGGAAAGCCGATTTGGAAGGGTAAAAAGTATAGGACACTGGGTAGTTTTGATATCTGTCGTGTTTCCTAAAAGGTTGAGTTGTTTTCTTTTCAAAAGAGTAGTTCAGTCTTACTTTTGAACTCATCTCTTGTACACATGTAGACCTACAAAAAAGGGTTCTATTAAGAATAGGACAATTGTGTTCTTAGTTTTGTGTAGTAGAAGCGAAGTTTATTTTTTTATGTAATTTTTGGAGTGTGCGCATATTGCAGGTTACAAGCAATTATTAAAACATGTAATTTGTCCCTTTTCTTATAAACACATAAATCTACAAAAAAAAAAACTCTTACCAAACACCCAGACACATACACACAATCATACACACACAAACATACACGCACAAATATACACACACACATCAGAGGCGTAGTGACCCCTTCCGGCACCCGGGGACAAACTCCCATATATTTTTATATTTATAATTCAAAACTGCAGCTAAAATGAGCTTTTAATAATTTTTTTCAAATTCATTTTGGCGCCCCTAGGGTCGGCGCCCGGGGAGATATGTACCCCCCCCCCCCCGTCGCTACGCCTCTGACACACATAAGTGGACGCAATGTGTAAATAGCCAATGTTTATTTCTATATAATTAAAAATTCTACATTTCAAATGGTTTCAATTATTCATGATGATGTAATTTTTAAAGTGTTTGAAATCATTGTCTGTTACTTGTTACAGTAACACTAATACAATCTTAAAAAAAAAATGAAACGCCGGTTTTAAACACTGCATTACAACCTTTAGGATAGAACAGGAATGGTTATATTTGTGTGCTCCGTTTTGTTTGAAAATGTGTAGTTCGTGCAAGTTATCTAGCAACATCCGGGTGGTTGGTGGCGCGAGACGGGAGACAACACATGCGTGAATGGCTTATCAAACATGTATGACAGCGCTGTTGTGTTTACCACGGCTGTTTATGACGAAGGAGTGTGTGGGTGGGTGGGTAGGGGGGTAGGGGGGGGGGGTATTTAAACGTGGCTGTCGAAATCGCCCATGCTGCGTTGTTTAAAGAAATAGGAAACTCAAATTAAATTGTATTTTGTTTAATTTAGAACGCAACCCACATCCTAGACCAGCGGTTCTTAACCTGGGTTCGATCGAACCCCCAGGGGTTCGGTGAGTTAGTCTCAGGGGATCGGCGGGGGTCAAGACACACACCAGACTCAAATGATTCACGATCGGATTTTTTTTCAGTGCGGACGATAGAACCCAGTGGCGTAGCGAGGTCGGGTGTCACCCAGTGCGGCACTTAATGGTGTCACCCCCCCCCCCCCCCCCCAGAGGCGTAGTGACCCTTTTTTTCGATTTGCACCGCCCCCCCCCTCAAACTTTCGATTTGCACCCCCCTCAACTTTTTCTCTATATATTTTGCTATTTTTTGCCTTGGTGTCACCCCCCCCCCCCCCTAAATGGTGTCACCCGGTGCGGTCCGCACCCCTCGCACCCCCCTTGCTACGCCTCTGGATAGAACTATTAAAAAGTGTTCGATTAATGCGCATATAAAACCGGCGGTGGTTCGGTACCTCCAAAAAGGTTAAGAACCACTGTTCTAGACCTATTGTTCTTTCATAGTCAACAAATTAGGAACAACAATGTCAGTTGTATAAATTAAAATAAATCGTGTCGAGCTACAATGAAGAAGACAGAGCTGGACGTCAAGAGAAACAGATGAAATTAGAAATTGTGAAAGTGATTGCTTGAATAATTAATTGCTTGAATAATTAACTGTATCGCCCAAAACCAGAAAACTGGATTAAAATGGGATGCCATCTAAACTTTAACGTAGTTTGTCGTGCCAATTTGATTTGCTTCTTCAGCCTTGGAGGGGAATATTTGTGTGGGTTGGTCGGTGCGGGGTGTTGGTGCGTTCTGCATTGTCAAATATTCTGGTTGGGAGGGAATATGTGCATAGAACAGCGCTTTGATTATTGCGGTATCGTCCTTACATTTAGGTATCGTCACTACATTTTGGTATCGTTATCACATTTATGTATCGTCACTATGTTGAGGAACCATCACTGTATTAAAGTATCGTCACTACATTTAGGTATTGTAACTGCATTAAAGTATCGGCGTTGCATTGGCTGTTTTAGTTATCTAAGTTGGAGTCGAAGGGCACTTTATAGGTAGTGTTATGGCCAATGCTGCTTATAATAATAGGCCTATGGGGCAGTGGTACTAGTTTTGTGTCTTTTGTCATATGTGGTTCTATAGTTTTATATGCGGGTATTATTATGTAGTGTGTCACGATGCTTGAATGATATTATCTTAAAGCCAGTTTTATACATTGTAGTGTGACCACTATACATTTTTCGTGAACACTATCAACGTTATACACATCTGTAATCTTACTTCTTTTCTTTCACCAGCATCCTTGAACGTCTTGCTGCAAAAACTTGACGCAGCAGACCTGACTTCCGTCGTGCCTCCCAGCGCCATCTCGCGGGTTCAAATTCTGCGAGATCTCGCCCATGACGTCAGCGTCGCAGCGACCCCCTACATAAAGGCGAATGAGCCCGACTACTACGCGAGTATGATTTCCATTTTCCCCGCAGGGGTTTACATATATTAACAGTGCTTCTAACACTTACCTTTAAGTATTTAATAATCCATAAACAAAATGTAATTCTGTTAGCTTAGTCACTCCGTGGAAGAGAGTCCTAATACCACTCTAACCCTAACCCTGGCACTCAGTTAATCAAATCCCTATTTAATTTTTAAGTTAATCCTAAACCCGTTGTGGTTAAGACTTAACTCCAGTTCTAAAAAAAAGTAATTAGTAGCAATTCGCTCAGCGCGGCACTGGTCGAACAAACCATCTCACACAGTAGTGGTGGGTTCGATTCTCCAATTCCTGCAGTATTGTTGGAGTTAAGCTACAGGCCACAGCGCCACCAGACGGGTGTTGTTGTTAAAATGTTGTTGTGTTTATGTTACATTCATTTAATAATATCTGTATTTAAAAAAATAGGCTGAGAATTAAAATAAAACTTTCAATTTTTGAAAAAGGGTAAGCACGTTTAAAAATAAACTTACAATACTGTTACATATATTACACAACCCAGTAAAATATAGAATTTCGTGGCTATTAAAACATTACAAGACGTAAAATCTTTTTTTTACATGATTAAAATGCCCTTGTCTAAGTATCTATTGTTGCCTTGTGTCGGCAGAGATAGGCCTTATTGAAGTGCCTTTATCTGAGTGTCTATTGTTGCCTTGTGTCCAATTAAAGTGCCTTTATCTGAGTGTCTATTATTGCCTTGTGTCCTATTAAAGTGCCTTTATCTGAGTGTCTATTGTTGACCTGTGTCCTATTAAAGTGCCTTTATCTGAGTGTCTATTGTTGACCTGTGTCCTATTAAAGTGCCTTTATCTGAGTGTCTATTGTTGCCTTGTGTCCTATTAAAGTGCCTTTATCTGAGTGTCTATTGTTGCCTTGTGTCCTATTAAAGTGCCTTTATCTGAGTGTCTATTGTTGCCTTGTGTCCTATTAAAGTGCCTTTAGTGTCTATTGTTGCCTTGTGTCCTATTAAAGTGCCTTTATCTGAGTGTCTATTGTTGCCTTGTGTCCTATTAAAGTGCCTTTATCTGAGTGTCTATTGTAGTCTTGTGTCCTATTAAAGTGCCTTTGTCTGAGTGTCTATTGTTGCCTTGTGTCCTATTAAAGTGCCTTTATCTGAGTGTCTATTGTTGCCATGTGTCCTATTAAAGTGCCTTTATCTGAGTGTCTATTGTTGCTTTGTGTCCTATTAAAGTGCCTTTATCTGAGTGTCTATTGTTGCATTGTGTCCTATTAAAGTGCCTTTATCTGAGTGTCTATTGTTGCCCTGTGCCCTATTAAAGTGCCTTTATCTGAGTGTCTATTGTTGCCTTGTGCCCTATTAAAGTGCCTTTATCTGAGTGTCTATTGTTGCCTTATGTCCTATTAAAGTGCCTTTATCTGAGTGTCTATTGTTGCTTTGTGTCCTATAAAAGTGCCTTTATCTGAGTGTCTATTGTTGCCTTGTGTCCTATTAAAGTGCCTTTATCTGAGTGTCTATTGTTGCCTTGTGTCCTATTAAAGTGCCTTTATCTGAGTGTCTATTGTTGCCTTGTGTCCTATTAAAGTGCCTTTATCTGAGTGTCTATTGTTGCCTTGTGTCCTATTAAAGTGCCTTTATCTGAGTGTCTATTGTTGCCCTGGGTCCTATTAAAGTGCCTTTATCTGAGTGTCTATTGTTGCCTTGTGTCCTATTAAAGTGCCTTTATCTGAGTGTCTATTGTTGCCTTGTGTCCTATTAAAGTGCCTTTATCTGAGTGTCTATTGTTGCCTTAAAGTGCCTTTATCTGAGTGTCTATTGTTGCCTTAAAGTGCCTTTATCTGAGTGTCTATGGTTGCCTTAAAGTGCCTTTATCTGAGTGTCTATTGTTGCCTTGTGTCCTATCAAAGTGCCTTTATCTGAGTGTCTATTGTTGCCTTAAAGTGCCTTTATCTGAGTGTCTATTGTTGCCTTGTGTCCTATTAAAGTGCCTTTATCTGAGTGTCTATTGTTGCCTTAAAGTGCCTTTATCTGAGTGTCTATTGTTGCCTTAAAGTGCCTTTATCTGAGTGTCTATTGTTGCCTTGTGTCCTATTAAAGTGCCTTTATCTGAGTGTCTATTGTTGCCTTAAAGTGCCTTTATCTGAGTGTCTATGGTTGCCTTAAAGTGCCTTTATCTGAGTGTCTATTGTTGCTTTGTGTCCTATTAAAGTGCTTTTGTCTGAGTGTCTATTGTTGCCATGTGTCCTATTAAAGTGCCTTTATCTGAGTGTCTATTGTTGCTTTGTGTCCTATTAAAGTGCTTTTGTCTGAGTGTCTATTGTTGCCCTGTGTCCTATTAAAGTGCCTTTACCTGAGTGTCTATTGTTGCCTTGTGTCCTATTAAAGTGCCTTTATCTGACTGTTTATTTATGTCTCCAGAGATAGGCCCCATCATAGAGGAAGGCCTGTTTGAACTGGACTACGACAGCAGGTCAGTCAGCAAACCCGGAGAAATCTGGCCAGTCAACCCTGTAGAGGCCATGGAAGAATCCGAGTCGGACAGTTGCCTGGCTGAGCTGTTTGGTACCAGGTTAGACTAGAAATAAATCGATCTATAACTTATAAAAAAAATGTTCCAAAATGCTAAAGTAATTTTGAAGAAGAATATAGGCATACATATTTCATTTCGATTATCGAGGGTTACTTCTGGGGGGGGGGGGGAGGAAAGGGGGGGTGTTTAGTGTATAAAGCCTTTCAGTGGGATATATATATATATATATATATATATATATATATATATATATATATATATATATATATATATATATACTTTGGTATTGGTCGGTATAGTTACTGCTTTATTAAGAAGTATAAACTTTTAAAAAAAACCCACTTTTATACACTAATGAAGCAAAATAGATGAAAGTACAATGTAGTATTTCTCTCAATATTTAAAAACAAAGTTTACTGTTCATGTAATATTACCAAAATTGTCTCCGACTTTCAATATTGAACATGCGCATGTAAGTAATTGGCCTATGACACAATTAACAAAAAAAAAACTCATGCACGCGACCCACCCCACACACTTTATAAACTATACAGAGTAACAGCAAGAAGTTTTTACCATTTATCTATTGTCTCAGTCCCATCAGTTAAGAGAATGCACGTTGAACGGCTTAAAGTTTCGAGAGTTCATTAAGAGTGGATTACTGTCCCTGGCCGTCCCGTCTTACAAGAGTTCCAGCCCCTGAATATTGAATGAGGGTTATGGATCTGTACGAATCACGACTTGATCCATCGCAGCTTTTGTGGGCAGTTGTAGGCCCTATTCGTCAGCCTATTCTATAATCTTCATTCTAAACCTTTCTTTTAATTGTTCGACGTAGGTCCTATTATAAGCTGGCATTTTATCCTATAATAGCCATTGGTTAAAAAAAAACAACTGTTTATTATTAGCTAAGTTAATTAAGAATGATCAAGCATAATATCCATTGTAGATCTAGCTACTCGACCTAAATATCAATTTAACAGAGTGCATACATTTAATATAGATATCTAGAATCTAGATTAAATATAAAACCCCGGTATAAAAAGTAATTAACTTCAAAGAAATTGTTAAGTCTCATTTAAGTTTTAAGTAATGGACATTACGAGTTGACGAAAATCCCTCCGTCATTGTTAGCATGGATTTGAAAAAATCCCGTTTTTTGTCAATTTTGCTTTCATAACTGCTGTAAAAAAAGATAATTTTAAAAAAAACCTAAGCTTGAAACTAATTCAGAAATTTAATAATTTAACAATCAATGGTATAAAAGTTGAAAATGCAGAGAACGTGAAAGCTTACATGTCTATTTATTTTCATCAATCCTTAATTTTTCAATCACGTGACCCAGTTTTGCCATATTTCTTTACATTTTCAGTGACTAAATGAATACAACCAATTGTTTTTGGCTTTTTTAAAAAATTGTGTTTAGTTACCGAAAATACTAAAAACATCAAATAAATCCAAAAAGTAAAGTCCCACAAAAACCAAACAGGTTTTTATGACCATATTTATTTTAACAACATCGTAGGTCTACGTGATTTAATCAAAATACTTAACGGACCTTCCGAATATTTTCGAGACTTTTCTCGTTAGTGTACATCATCGCAGTCTGCATTTAAAAAGCGACGGTCTAAGATACAGTGGCGTAGAGAGGTCGGGTGTCACCCGGTGCGGCACTTAATGGTGTCACCCCCTAGAGGCGTAGCGACCCTTCCAGGGTACAAACTTTCAAATTTTCGATTTGCACCCCCCCCCTCGAACTTTCGTTTTGCACCCCCCCCCCTCAAGTTTTTCTCTATATAATTTGCTATTTTTTGCCTTGGTGTCACCCCCCTAAATGGTGTCACCAGTGCGGTCCGCACCCCCGCCCCCCCCCTCGCTACGCCCCTGCTAAGATATACTCGACATTTCCAATACCTTTCTTCTAAGTTCTTTATGATATACTCCTCATTCCCAACACCTTTCTTCTAACTGTGCTATGATATACTCCTTCCAAACACCTTTTTTCTAACTGTGCTATGATATACTCGTCATTTCCAACTCTTTTCTTCCAACTGTGCAGCACCAATGGAATGACATGCGCAATCACCAAGAACTGTTGGGAGAAGATGACCAAGTTTGGCTACAGCGGTTATTCCCTGACTCATGAGATTTTTTATTTAGAAATCGCAGAACGGGTTGGTATATTTTTTAGTGATTTTTTTTAGAACTGTTGTAAAAGCAAAGTCATAAAACACACGATACGTTAATTATTAGCTTTAAAATGAAATCAAGCAATATATTTCTCTACTTCCCCCCTCCCTACCCCAATCTATTATTAAAATGTGGGCATATTTTACATTTTAAAAATATTTTCAAATAAAAAATTTAAGCGTTTAAAAGCATCTATGCAGCTGTTGTCTAAAACGGTGATATCGCTTGGCATCTCTTGAAAAACAGCCTCTACCGTCGAACAAATCCTACGCTGTGTGAATGCTGCTATCAGGGGTGGACTAGCTGTGTCCAGGAGGCCCCGGGAAATTTTTAATAGGGTCCTCCAATTTCAGATTGAAATTTTTAGTTGTGCATCTTTTTCTCCATCAAAGTCCGCTGATCATCCTTAACTTAGAAATTTACGCGACCAATTATTTCTTTGAAAATCAAAGCACTAATAGGCCTAGTACAGCAACATTCCTGAAGACCCATCGGGATTTTTTTTACCTGGGGGGGGGGGGGGAAATAGGCCCTTTAGGTTTGTTTTTTTACCTGGGGGCCCACTGGGATTTTTCCCAGTCCACCCCTGGCAGCTATACGTCATCACGTGGTATTGCTATACTAGCAGTACGCGTATGTCTTGTAGTTATAAAAAAAAAAGAAGGAAAAAAAAGAAAAAAAAACAACTACAGCTCCCACACATTTGAGATTGAACTAACGTCGTCTCTTATTACAGTTCGGCTGTCAACTAGAAATCCAGTCCATGATAAAGGCCCATGGTCAGAGTAGTTTAAGAAATCTCCATGACGTCTTCTGTGCTAATATTCTATTTGAGGCTAATGGTATTGCAGCTAGCGGGTTTCCCGTAAATCTACAGGATCTATTCATGGAACAGGGTAATTCTTTCTGTTTCTGTTTGTGTTGATCTATCTTGACGTGGAGACCTTTATTTAAAATGAGGCTTACGATATGTGGGTAATAATCATCAATAGTTGTTATTGTAAAGTTCACCTAACGATGCATGGGCAGATGAAGGGATGGTGTGTTAGTAAAGTTAATAGATTGCTTTGCTTGTCGGAAGAGTGGTTTGACGAGAAAGACGAGAAGCCATACAAAAAACAAAAACAAAATTAAAAGCAAACAAACGAAAGAGGCTTGGCGGCAAATGTAGTATAAGTGGGTAGAATTGTTAGTAAAAGTGGGGTGAATCTGGTACAGTAAGTAGGGTAGATAGGCGAGGTAAATCTAGTAGTGGAGACAAGCAAGGAAGTTTTTAACACAAGTGAGGGGGGATGAAGTGAAGGAAACGTAGACAGGATTTGGAAAGAGTTGCTGAAGTAGGGGGTCGATTGTTGGTAGAGTGAATGGAGGCATCTGTTTGTGTGGTTGTTTTATTTGACCTGACATTAAGACATCTGTTTGTGTGATGTTGTTTTACTTTACTTGACATGAAGACACATGTTTGTGTGTTGTTTTACTTGACCTGACATATAGACACATGTTTGTGTGTTGTTTTACTTTACTTGACATGTAGACACATGTTTGTGTTGTTTTACTTGACCTGACATGGAGACACATGTTTGTGTGTTGTTTTACTTGACCTGACATGTAGACACATGTTTGTGTGTTGTTTTACTTTACTTGACATGTAGACACATGTTTGTGTTGTTTTACTTGACCTAACATGAACACATTTGTTTGTGTGTTGTTGTTTTACTTTACTTGACATGGAGACACATGTTTGTGTTGTTTTACTTGACCTGACATGAAGACATCTGTTTGTGTGTTGTTGTTTTACTTGACCGGACATGGAGACACATGTTTGTGTTGTTTTACTTGACCTGACATGAAGACATCTGTTTGTGTGTTGTTTTACTTGACCTGACATGTAGACACATGTTTGTGTGTTGTTTTACTTTACTTGACATGTAGACACATGTTTGTGTTGTTTTACTTGACCTAACATGAACACATTTGTTTGTGTGTTGTTGTTTTACTTTACTTGACATGGAGACACATGTTTGTGTTGTTTTACTTGACCTGACATGAAGACATCTGTTTGTGTGTTGTTGTTTTACTTGACCGGACATGGAGACACATGTTTGTGTTGTTTTACTTGACCTGACATGAAGACATCTGTTTGTGTGTTGTTTTACTTGACCTAACATGAACACATTTGTTTGTGTGTTGTTGTTTTACTTGACCTGACATGGAGACACATGTTTATGTTGTTTTACTTGACCTGACATGAAGACATCTGTTTGTGTGTTGTTGTTTTACTTGACCTGAAATTTTCAGCTGCCCTCTGCGGCATGCTGGGCTACAGGGATTTCTTCAACAACGACTGGCTGAACAAAATTCTCTCTTGGCAAGACCGGAAGGACGGCTGCTACAAGTGGGACGGCTGGGACAAGGAGCCAGGACAAGGTACGCCTCACGTCAGTTGTGGGAGACATCATAGTTTAGGCGTTAACCTTACAGCTACCACAACTGTTAGCCTTGCTGGTTAATGTATAATTTAGAAGTAGATTGGGTCAGCGTGGTAAAGCTCATGGTTGCTAAACCGGAAAGTCCCAAGTTCGAATCCCATGGCAGACGAGGCTCGATAGTTGGGGACAGCAACCTATCTAGGAGAGACAACTCCAAAATCAAACAACTGCTGCCTTGTAGTTTGCTCTTGGTTGGACAAATCAAGAAAGAAAATCAGGCTGAAATCGGAGCCAACGGCCTATATGGCGCATAACAAGTTGACATGTAATACGTACTTTTGTGTTGGATTAAATCCCTTCCAACTTTACAATTAAGAACGAAGAAAAAGAAAAGTAGGTTTAGATTTTAGGTTAAGCTTCTTTTTGGCATTATCATCCTCGGTCACCAGGTATGAAATGTTACCAGAAATAAAAATAACCTTTACATCATTTTTCTCTAATTTGACAGATGCTAAAATGTATCACCGGAGAAGCAAGCGAGAAGAGAAACGAGTCACGAAAGGATGTTTGTGCCATCGAACAACGGTGGCCGCATCAGCGTTAGTGCAGTACGTGCGCTACATCCTGGAAGTCTGGCTCCTGGAACAAGTGTAAAGAAATATATTTTTTTCGCTGGGACACACGTGGAAATTGTTTAAAATACTGATTGTTTTGCGCCAATTAAAAATTAATTTACTACAGGTGTGTTTTGTGAAATAATTTTTTTCAAGTGTTTGTAAAAAAAAAGAAATGGAAAAAAGAATATTTAAATTATAAATTTATTGCTGTGTGTTAGGTGACTGGTCAGCATAAAGCACGTTATGAACATGTACGACGATTGGGGTCGTGACATATTTAAATGGGTAAAACATTGTTTCGACGGTAAATTTAACGATTTTTTCGTTATGGTGTTACCCCCAAAATGGTGTCACCGGGAGCGGACCGCACCCTCCGCATTCGTCTTGTGACGCCAATGCTTATCGGTTTCCAAAATGTGTGTCAATGCATCTCTTTTGAAAAAAATATTCTTATCCTTATCTCTCGTCCCCTAAACTATCCAACTTTAGCCTAACTAACCATTCTTATAAGCATAGTCTGTATTGGTTTACACTTCGAAAGAGCCAATCGTCCGTGGACGGGCAATTTTTAATCTAAGATATAAAATAACAAAAAGTCAGCGGCACTGGCGCCTTGATCGCAAATTCGTATATAAATCTAGATCTATAATGCAGCTGAATATCCACACTTGCAATTTAGAATTTCTGAAATGGAGCATAGTTATTATTTTTAATAAAAAAAACTGTTGGATCTAAAATGAACTGAGGGTGTCGCCCGGTGCGGTAAATGAGGGTATCACCCCACCCATTCCAAACTATTTTGCATTTTGCTTTTGTTACGAAGATCGTATTATCTCATGAGTTTCAATTATTTTGAAATAAAGCTACATTTTCAGAACAGATGGACACATTTATCAAGAATGATTATTTGCCACTAATTTGGAAACTGATTCAAAAGGTAAATTGTTATTTCACGCAGTGGTAGAAGTGCTCAAAGAAAAGGAAACTTCCGTAAGTTATGTCTAGTCAGTCGCTACTGACGGCCACTGATGGTGCCACAGCAATGACAAGACGCGTATGTAACAAAGGCGATGCAAAGTATATTTGCTGCACATCGTCAACTCTTCGTTGCAAAAAAATCACTTAGGGTGACTACACACCTCATTCCATTTGGTCATTAAAAAGTTATAAACAAATTAAGAAACAGTTCATTGAGTGACGAGTTGTTTAGACTTTGTATTGAAAACTATGAAGAATGAAATCATGGCTGCTTCTTACCCAAGTTCGTAGGCTATAGTTTGTTTTTTTTTCTTTTTCTATTAACTATTTACTCATTGGTAGAAATTTTAGAAACCAAGATGGTACTGATTGATGGACTTAATGGGTAGGCCCCGGTTAAAAAAAAAACTTTTTTAATACTTGTTAGGAAACAATTATTTATCTATTTTGGGTCGGTTAAAAAACTTACTAATTTTGGGGAATTTTGGGACATTAAATTTAGTGTTTGAAGATATGGACTTAAAATTTTTAGCTGAGTACCCCAAAATATGGTAAAAGGTTATTCTTCTTCTTCTTCTTCGTTCTTAATTGAGAATATGGTGGAGGATTTAGACAACAAGTCCAACTTCGTGAATAAACCGGACTGTGGTCTCCAGATCAGCAGGTGTCCCATATAATTTTTCCCTGAGTGGGGTGAGCAGGGGCCAGTGTCTAAATCGCGCCTGGCTATACAAAGAACATTCCTGCAGGACGTGCTCCGTATTTTCTGGGGCCTTGCCGCAAGGGCATATTTCGCCACACCCAATTTTTAGTTTTTTATGCATGTGTTGATTTAGTCTGTTATGGCCTGTTCTAAGTCGAAAGATTATGTATTGTCGTTTTCGTGTTAAATTATAATATCCATCATCTTTATTGTAGTGAGGGTGTGTGTCAGACCACATTTGCGTTTGTTTGTTTTTTATTATTCTTTTTATTTCTTTTGGGTGTAGCGAGATTTCCGGTTGTATTTTAAAGGTTATGAATTCATTGTTTATCGGGCTTAATTAAACATAATATTTTATGAATGGTGGAAAACCATTATTATTATTTTTTAAAAGATGGTAGCCGTTGTCATCGTTACCAAGATTTCCTATGAAGGAGTCGTCCATAAATGACTTCACACTCGTAGGGGGGAGGGGGTCCGTAATTTTGTGACATTGTGAGATGAGGGGGGGGGGGGTCAGATGGTGTGACGTCACACTTTTGCATTATAACAAGCATTGTTAGAAAACGTTATTTCGGGTTTAAAAAGCCGTTTTAATAAATTGTAATAAAAATTGATTAAAATACTCTATGATGACAGAGTTTAGACAAGATTTTGGAAAAAAAATATCGATGTTTTAAGTAAACTTGAACTGCAGTGAAAAAAAATCGTCCAAAAAAAGCGTGACGTCATTTATGGATGACCCCTAACGACTATTAAAAAGTTTTTTTTTTTTACATCTGCGAGGTGTCGAATTGAATTCAATCAAATCAAAAACTGTCATTTGCTGCAAAACTTCTTCTCAATAAATGAATCTAAGTGAATACAGACCACAGTTTCTTCCAGGCATCTCTTCTTATATAGAAAATGTATATAGATAATTTTAGACCCCCCCCCCCCGAAAATTTCAAATGCCCCCCCCCCCCCCCCCGGAGAAAAAAAAGTCTGGAAGAAACACTGATACAGACAGTTCCCTAATTTAGCAACAGATGACAAACACAAAGTAGGCCTATATATATATTTAAAAAGAAATTATACATTTACTATTTTGTCCGCAGTAGGTGGGTTGCGGGCAGAGTTTCATCCAGTCTACCGCCCCCCCCCCCCCCCCCCTAAAGAAATGGAATTTAGCTGTAAACGAAGACATTAAATTTAAATTGATTTAAAACGGATATCAGGAGTGCCTGCAAAACAAGCACCAGAAACTTATCTTGGACTATGGGTGAGCAGAGGCGTAGCGAGGGGGGTGCGGACCGCACCGGGTGACACCATTTAGGGGGGTGACACCAAGGCAAAAATAGCAAAATATATAGAGAAAAACAACTTGAGGGGGGGGGGGGTGCAAATAGAATGTTTGGGGGGGGGGTGCAAATCGAAAACTTTAGGGGGGGGGGGGGGTGCAAATCAAAAATTTGAGGGGGGGGGGGTGCACATCGAAAATTTGAGAGTTTGTCCCCGGGAAGGGTCGCTACGCCTCTGGGGGGTGACACCATTAAGTGCCGCACCGGATGACACCCGACCTCGCTACGCCACTGTGGGTGAGCAAACAGATATTATCTCTTCCTTCATCATATTTAGTGGAACACTTACTAGGTGCAGTCATTATTTATTTTTTTTAACAAACAAAAGAGGGCGATTGCAAAGAGCTAATCGTGATGAGAATACTGACAAAAAGGGAATAGAGCGTTAACACTTTGATAGCCTTACACGAGGTTCATCCTTCTCAGTTTTTCTTCCAGACTTTTTTCTCCGGGAGGGGGGGGGGGGCGGTACTTGAAATTTTCGGAGGGGTAGACTAAAATTTCCGGGGGGGGGGGGGGGGGGGGAACACGGTTAAACGTATATACTTTCTATATAAATCCATTTCGTTCGGGGGGGGGGGGGCGGTAGACTTTCTTCGAGGGGGGGGGGGGGGGGGGGGACGGACTCTGATCCTTCTTATTAGTAGTTCTATTGTATTAATGTAATTTGAATTTCTGCGTGGAATGTAAATGTTAATAATTAACTCTGATGAAATATTTCTTGTTTATTAACAAAGCAGGCCTATAGGTAAGCCCCTATTAGATTTGCTCGGATAGGCCTACAAATGGCACATTTCCGTAAGAAGTGGATTGCCAAACATTAGTGTGGTAAACTGCACTATCAGAGTTTCTTCCGCCCCCCCCCCCCCCCGGAAAATGTTGATCCCCCCTCGCAAACCCGGTGAAAAAAGTCTGGAAGAAACACTATGCACTATACCACAACCAAATAATAAATAAAAAGATAAAATAATCTATACTCATATATGTTAATAACCAATATATGCACGGTACCTAGAACTTCATACATTTTTAAAAAATATAAAAGTAATATTTGCATTAGTTTAGTTGTAATAATTTTGAAGTATTATTTTTCATTAATAAATTGATATTTTTAATGAAATGATGATGTTGGAATTTACACAACTGGTTTGCTTATTTCGACTAATAAAGGCTTTCGATTACATAATGTATGTCCTCAGAGGCGTAGCGACCCCTCCAGGCGCCCGGGGCGAACTTGAATTTTGGCGCCCCCATATATATATATATATATATATATATATATATATATATATATATATATATATATATATATATATATATATATATATATGCGTGTGTGTTTGTGTGTGCGACAGTCTGGAAAAAACTTAACAATTACGCTGATTGTCGTTCCCTAAAACTTCACTGGACGCCAATCAAATTCCCCTTAAGAAGCCGAAACGAATAAAAAGTAGAAAATCAAAAGAGCTTAGAACAGTTGGATCCATCGAACCCGAGAGGTTCGGTAATTCAGTCTCAGGGCTTCCGCGGAGGTCAAGACCGGAGTTTCTTCCAGGCATCTCTTCCGGGGGGGGGGGGGGGGGGCAAAGCCCCCGAAAAAATTCTACCGCCCCCCCCCCCCCCCGAACGAAATGAAATTTATATAATTTATATAGAAAATATATACCTTTAACAGTGTCCGCCCCCCCCCCCCCGAAAATTTCAAGTGCCCCCCGGAGAAAAAAGTCTGGAAGAAACACTGGTTAAGACACACACCCCGACTCATAGGATTCACTATCGGATTTTGTCAGTGTGGACGATACAACTATTAAGGAGGGTTCGGTGATTGCGCTTATGAAACTGGTTGGGTTCGGTACTCCAAAAAGTTAAGAACCACTGCTTTAGAGTTATTTTGTAGAAGGTGCAAGCCTTAGTTGGTCTACTTTTGGTCGTGTCTTTAGAACAATTTCAATAATAGTAGGCCAATATTGCAATGTAGAATTATCAGTTAGGTTGAACAAAGTAATAATCAGTACAATATACTAATTTTCTTCTCTCTTTAAATTTTGGCAAAGAGTGTCGCTTCCCATCCACCCGCTCCGACAGTCTGCTGAATGTTTTTTTATGTTACACAATCGTAAAATACTCTTTAGTTCAATGGGTTTCTTTTCTGGGTTATATCGGTTTATTCCTTAATCCGGTGTGAATTTTTCAGATTTTAGTCTTCGAAAAAGCGCCCCCCCCCCCATCTAGTAAAGCTGGAAAGCGGTTTTTCCGGTCACTGTTTCTTAAAGATATACGTTTTACAGTTACACAACCAAGGTAGAAAACAGTTAAATCAGTATGCAAAGGCTCCCCGCCGTTAAATTTCTTTACTTTGACTGTTTATAATTCAAAACTGCAGCTTAAAATGAGATTTTAATTTTTTATTTCTACCCCTTTTGGCGCCCCCCCCTAGGGTCGGCGCCCGGGGCGGCCGCCCTCCCCTAGCTACGCCTCTGTATGTCCTCTTATCTTAAATATTCAAAATATTCTTATTTCATTAGTCAGTTAAAATTCTTAATATTATTAATAATAATTGCTCTGCTAAAAATAATAATCTTTGTTTCTTGTTTTTTCTTAGTCTCTTCTCTGAGTCTAACTCTAAAACTAAAAGAAAGTAAAAAAAAAAATCTATTTTTAGAAAAGGTGACTCTAGCACATGATTGATAGTGATAGGCCTGGGGCCTAGGTCCCAACCTTTTTACGAAACAGAAACTTCAGAAATGTATTATTCCGCTAGAAAAAATTGTATTGTCTAAACATTAGATATATATTTATAAATGTTAATAATACATTGAAATTATATATGAATATTAGTTTGCGCATTTTAAAACAAATATCTAAAGGAAAATAAAATTTGATTTCGAAATATTAAGAGAACTATTTCTTTTACTCGTAATAGGCTAGTTTCCGGTTATAATGAGATAGTCCTTTTCCTCTACATTCACCCAAGAGTGAAGACGTGAGTCTTAACTCAGCTGTAAAATCATTAAATTGTTTTACATCTGAATTGATAGTTTTAAAAATAAGAATTGTTAAGTTTATTAAGCAATCAATAAGTTGATTTACCCCTACATTATCATAATTTTAACTCATTAGACTAAGTGTAAAATTTGAAGGAAAAAAAAATTGTAAACCAGATCCACGTGGTTTAGAACTGAAGGATCAACTTTTTTTGTAGCAGTTTTTCTTGCGTTGCACGCACTAAGTAAATATTTAAATTTACAGAGATCTAGATCCAGTACACCATTCAATTTAAATGATTTATTTTTCGTATAAATAGTGTCATCTATTTTTTTAGGTAGCATTTCACCATGCCAGGTGGTGTACCTAGTCTACATAGCAAAACATGCACTACTCCTAGACGTCCTTTTGAGAAGGAGCGTCTTGATCAGGAGTTGAAGCTTATTGGAGAATATGGTCTCCGTAACAAACGTGAAGTATGGAGAGTCAAATATACTCTTGGCAAGATCCGAAAGGCAGCCAGAGAGTTGCTGACACTTGATGAGAAGGACCAAAAGCGACTTTTTGAAGGTAGGCAGTTACGACGTGTTGTTGAATTTAAAAGATGTCCCAGTCTGTTCCTGTGTGCTGTGTGGTTTGTCATAACCTCAATTTTTGTCCCATATTTATGTTTAAATAATTTTTTGCAGGTAATGCTCTCCTCCGCCGTCTTGTTCGCATTGGTGTGTTAGATGAGGGCAAGATGAAACTTGATTACGTTTTAGGTCTTCGCTTGGAGGATTTCTTGGAGCGCCGTCTGCAGACTCAAGTGTTTAAACTTGGCCTTGCTAAGAGTATTCATCATGCTCGTGTGCTCATCAGACAGAGACACATCAGGTAATAATTGTCATAACTTGTGGTTGAGAAAAATTGGTAATTGTTAGTTGTTTTTGTCAGGTAACTGGTAACTTTTCTTTTACAGTTGCGATACCTAAGTTATTCTAGTAGGCCACTTGGGTGTTATGCCCAACGTCTACCTTTTTTGACCTCACTTGTACTAAACTGGAGAGTAGCTCTGCATATGCAAGGGTTGCTTTATGATGGTTATACATTGGTAGGCCACTAAGGTTCTATTATAAGCCTTATGTCTATCAGTAGTATTCTTCGGCCCACCAGGTAAAGATATCTTGAATATATTTACATATTTTTATCCTATTTTATTTACTTAATGCTTGACATGCTAATTGTATGCCTTCTAGGGTGCGCAAGCAAGTTGTCAATATCCCAAGTTATGTTGTTCGCTTGGATTCACAGAAGCACATCGACTTTTCACTGAAATCTCCTTATGGTGGTGGCAGAGCTGGTAGGTTACTCTATACTTTTTATAGAATTAGGTTTATGCAGTTGTATTGGTATTGTATTATTGGTTTAACTTTCCTATTTTTCTTTTAGGTCGTGTTAAGAGGAAGAATGCCAAGAAAGGTCAATCAGGTGGAGCTGCAGAGGATGAAGATGCAGAAGATTAATCTGTATTGGGAGGCTTGTGTCAAATTAAACTGTTAATCTGAACTACTTTGTTCTGAAATGTTTTGAGTGTCAGTGTCTGGCGTACTGTGACTGCTTTTGTATCTTAAGTCATTTTTTATGTTCAATGTATGTTGGGTTACACCAATTCTTATCCAGGAAACCATTCCTAAATGAAGCTTTGTCCTGGATGGGCTAGCCACGTCATCACAAAATAGTTTTGGGGGTGTTGCTATCTATGTGAAAATTACACATGTGCTGGCATGACTAGTAGTATTAATTAGTAATAGTAATTAGTAAATAGGTTTACGTGAAATGACAGCCTGCACAGAACCAATGATTTGCTAGCAATTTCAAGATCTGTCACTTGAAAGCATGACAGATGTTTCTAATTAGTATACAAAATTGGCATTACTCTAGTCTAACTCGACAATGTTGAAGTGCAAAGCTATCATCAAATGCAGATTAATTTTTTTAATAGTACACTAGTTGAGCACGAGACGGACCATCCTATAGCAAATCTATCCAGTGGAAGTCTATTCTATTTTGCATTCACTATTCAATTAGAAATACTACACTTTGGCACAAAAAAAGTGCAAATAGTTGGAACCGAAAATAGCTTTGTATTGTGGGTTAAGTATTAAGTCCATAGATTTATTGTAATGTCCTGTAGTCCACCCAACTCAGTTGGATCTAAAGGCTACTGAGCATTATATTGACTACACTATCCATATTAGAGGTTAACAGACACAAGTGAACCTGTAGGGCCTACTTCACTTACTTGCCCCATGGACTGTCAGGTTTCACAAAAATGGGCATTTGCACTTGCTGGACTAAAATTTTCATATTTGGCTGAGGGTTTCTTCCAGCTATCAGTATTGGCTGCATCATGCATGAACTAATATTAAAGTATGTGGATAAGTCAAATTTGTTGTAAACCAAACCAGAAATCAACACACATTTGTTATATCATTTATTTTAGTTAATAGTAATGGCTAAGTAAATCCTGATTTCTTCTGAATGTTATAAATTACATTGTCCATACATATTTACAAAGTCGGCTACATTTTCCATCAAGACCTGCATATGTTAATATGTTGCTTCGAAAGTTGATGACTTCATGGTAAGCTTTTCTTGTCTGGTAATATAAATCTGAAAATATTCATTGCTCAATAAGTGCAATGGCAATAAATGGTTAAGAATGTACAAAAACAATTGGATGCATGTAAAGGATAAGAACAGTTACTTACTTAAATGAAATTAAAGCAAAAAGCCTTTTATTAATACAATGCAATCTTAAAAGTTAAATACATTGGTTAAAATGTTTAGTTGTAACAAGAAGTGTATTTTTCTTTTATGGCTAGTTCGTCTTTAGTACAGGTATAGTATTGTCTGTTATTTAATTCTTGTCATTTTGTCTAAACTATAATCCCTTTTACGACTAGTAATTAGCATTGATAAAATATGTAAATATCACCTTGTTACTTGTATTTTACTAGCTGCATACTTTTTAATCATCATTTATTTTATGATCCATGTCATATTACCTTGAGAAATCTAGAAATAATAGTCACTGTGCCCTACCTGTTTCTTGCTGACTCTTGGAACAATGTTTCTTTATTATAGTAGTCAAGAAGTAGATTTTTGTCCATGAGATGTTTATTGTTTTCTAGAAATTCCTCAAAAGTTTCATTTGCATTTACACTTGAGACTATAGCATCGGACACAAGGTGAATAAAAAACATTGTGATTGTTTCGTGGTAGCCTGTTGTGATCTGAATATTTGAGAAAAATAAAACGTAACTTTAAATTCTTTTAAAATTATGCATTTTTATAATGCATAAAAAATATTTAATATTTTTACAAATCCTTTTCTTTAATTTCTTACCTTATGTCTATTTTTTTCATTGTATTTTTGAATTCCTAACCTGCAATTTAAGTTCAAAATGTGTATGATTAAGAATGTGTCACTTAAATTAGTAGTAGTAGCTGCACATAGTTTACAATGCTATGAATTTTTCCTAATATTAAGATAATCACATGGCCACACAAAAATAGTGAAAATGTTGTTCAAGAAACAATAATTACTTTATGTAAGGCACTGCCCCAGATTTGCCATGTTCAGTGATATAATTCCATGCCATCCTTAGATGAGCTTCATGTGTCCAGTCCTCAAATGGTAAAGTTGCATCTTCAAATGCTTTGAGAAATATTTCATCACCCACTGAACGGAACTTCCTGTTTGTTTTAAAAATTAAAAAAAAAGCAGCAATATATTAATAACTTATATAAAACTGGTTTCTGAGTTACTCGATATCTTCTGAGAAATTCAGTCAGCTTATCAATGAGCATGCAGGCCAATCTCAATTTTAAATTAGTAGGTAAAATATTAGGCTAAAACTAAAAACAATTTTAAATTGAGGCAAAAAAAATTAACACTATCAATATTTTAATAAATTAGCTTCTGTTTTAGAGTACTAATACCAGACTGCTAAAATGTTTTATCTGGTACTTTTAAATTGTTTATGTTGTTTGCATTACTCCAAACATCTAAATCCTCAATTATGTTCATCAACACCAACGAAAAAGGCTAACCTTGTGAAATATATAAGAGGGTCCTGTAGTGTTTCCGATACACTAACACCGCTAACATTCCCATACCAAACAGTGTGGTCACCAACTCCATGGTACGAGTGTGTGTCACAGAGAAGTACTGCCAGTGAGCCCAGAATTATGGGTAAACCCTGGTTAAAGAAAAGTATTTTTTTGTGGTAAAATCTTTAAACATTGTAGATGAAATTATTCTGTTGGAGAAGTGTAGCTACAGCATTCATGGGCGTCACAGGAATTAGGTCAAGTAAGGCAAGTCAAAGTTGCTATTTTTAATTAATATGTTTGGCTTAACAAATACTATATTTAATGTTGATACTTTAAAAAATAAATGTGAGTTTCATGTCTAATTTGTTGCTCAGCATTAGATGCAAACAAAAGAAATACCTGGATCAGGTAACACAGAGGACAATATTGTCTTACCTCTTCACCTTGAACATGTGGAACATTTTCAAATTGACAGCTATCATCTCTTGCGGGGTTTGAGAAATGGATCCCATGTTTTATCTTTAAAATAGTTAAAACTCATTATAACAACCCATTATGTTGACTACAAACAAAATTAGCATTCAATTTTTCTCTCCTAATTAATTTACTGGGATATTTTATAGGAATTTCTTAAAACATACCTGATCTTGAGCTAATACATGAACAGCAAATTTGCCTGTAGACTTGATTAAGTCATGCATGCGACTGTGAAGAGAAATAATCATAATTTAAGTTATATTTAAATAAACAACATCAGATTTATATTTTTAATACACATAATTCATAGCATATTTATATTTCTTTGGAAATTGTATTTAAATAGTTGATAAATTTGTAATTATAATTGAAAAATCCAGACCTTCCTTGGTTTAAACAAAATGAGATGATGGGGGGATGATATGATACACTGGAGAACGTACTGCGAGTTACACCTCGCTTCAACCACGACCTGGATTCAGCCTGGTACAATCCCGTTGTAACCACAACAACTGGAAAGTTGAATAAAATAAAAATTACATTAATAATTAAAATTCAAAACATGATTGTATTATAACACCTACAGATTCAATGAGCAATTAAGTACAGTAAATCTGAAATATTTATTCACCTTGCTGTGGTACCTTTCTCATAGCCAATTTAAAAAATTCTGAAGTTTCATTGGAAGCATTTCTCCACAGTAAGTGTTCCTGTGGTCTTTGTTTCTGTAGTACTATTTCTGGGTTGTCAGGCAGGTCAGGTGGGGCTGGATAAAGAGAATAAATACAACAGATTATAAAAAACTGATTATTTCAAGGGAATAACAGGTTTATCATGTGATTAATAGGGGAGTTAATGTAAGTAGGCATATACCAGAATACAAAGTAAAAGAAACAAAATTCTAGTTTTCCTTTAGATACCCCCCCCCCCCACACACACACACAAGATAATAAAAAGGGCACAATATGAGTAAAGAGTGAGCTATGACTAGTAGAATGTAAACAATTCATGTCACTGCAGTTAAGTTTGTATGATCTTCCGTTATAGCCTAGTAATACTGATGTTTAACTATTTATAGTTTATACATCACAGACCAATCAGTACATACGTTTTACCACAGTAAAAATGAACACAATAACCGTTCAATTTTTTGTAGCAAAGCAGGCGAAGAATAACAAATTAAAATAAAAAAACTTGTTGAACGTTAAATTTTACTTACATGGAGGTCTGATGTAGGCCATTAGGCTAATATTTATTCCAAGTGTTTACGCGTGTGTGTGCCAGCACACCATAACAGATATTCAAAAGAACAGGCTAAAGCTCTATAGAAAAATTATTGGGGTAAAGCACATGTAAATTGGGCTATACAAGGTGAATGTCAAGGGTAGATTTACCACGGGAGACAACTCCGACGAGTACTCCAGCAACTATTATATAAACGACCGATATTTTTACCTCGTCCTTATTTTTTCCTGCTCTAACCTACAAACTATTTCTTCTAACACAAAACTTGAATGGGAAGCTGTTGCGAGAGGCAGTGAAGGTGAAGCGTAACACGGTCTAGCTCGCGCCTATTTCGTTCAACCCAGTTCTGGGTGTGTACACTGTAACGGAGAAGGGGCGATAACGTCCTTCTGGGCAGCGCAATGGTAACGGTTCAACGAGAATAAAAACAAGATCTATCGATTGGTCTCCGATCAATTATTCATGCTTTAGATTTGGGTACACTGGGTCTTGTGTCTGTGAGGCTATATATGGCGGATAGTTGCCTTTTGTTAATGTTTAAAATATTTGTAAAAACAAAACAAAAAACCATTTTACAAGTCAGTGGTTGCAATTTATCTATTAAATAAGCAGTGACCATATAGACCTACTACTTTTGGTTGCGTATTTTAAAAAGTAGGCCTAAATGATGAAGCAAGTTCCACGATTAGCAGCTTTTTAGGGGCAGGGTAGGAGATCAAGAGATGCATTGAAAGTGCATTGGACTTGTTGCAGTAACACGGCGTTTACACTTGCGACATGTATACTATGAGGCCTACATGTATAAAAAAAACTCGCAACATGTTAGGAACATGTATACTTGTTACGAGTCTTTTTTTCTAGACATGTATAGGAGGCTATACATGTCGCAAGTGTAAATGCAGTACACAATGACAATGCATACACTAAATCCACACTACGGACCATACGTCAGAACTGACACGAGTCGTATTACTTTGTATAACTACTAACGTGCATAGGCCTGTTGGACTATTGTAAGCTATGACAATCTGTGGCCGCTAAACGGGACAGCGGCTGTGCCTAATGCAAACGTGACATCACATTTGCTAATAATTCAGCTATGGTTAAACCAGTGTTTATTCCAGACTTTTTTCTCCGGGGGGGGGGGGGGGGGGAGACGACTTGATATTTTAGGGGCGGCGGACAACGGTAAAAGTATGTTTTCTATATAAAACACGTATTGTTTAGGGGAAATTGACATAAGCAAACCTTCAGGTTAAAAAAGGGCACTCATAACGAAAAAAATGAGCTAATCACAGAGACCTTTAGTGCGTGATATTAGTTTTAATTCTTAGAAAATGTGTTGCAAACTAATGATAAATTATATTTATTACAGCTGTGCTGATAGAGATGGACTATATTCAGTGATCATCCTTAAACAACGTCATGTTTTTAGAACGATTTTACCTCCCCTTCCCCATCAGCAAAAAATCAAGCCCCCCCCCCCCCCCCCCCCCACAAAAAAAAAATTAATGTCAGCCTCATCCTACCACCCCCCCCCCCCTCAAAATTGCAACAAGGATTTCTTTTAATATATTTATAGTGGTCAGTCAATACTGAGTATACTACTCAATTTTTTTTTTACTACAATTAACAAATAAGAAGACTTTTCAAAACACATATTTGAAATAAATATCCACCTATCACAGAAGTCCTGACCCCCTCCCCTTCCCTGTGTGTTATAGACGACCCCTTTCACACTTACATATTGCGTTTTTTTTAATGAGCAACCATCAATCAAAAAAAAAAATAATAATAATAATTGACAAAACTGAAACACAAGGAGTAATGTGTGCTATCATACAAACTACGTACTTCAATAATTAGGCCCACTTGGCATCTTCAATTTTTTATTTAAACGGTTCCACCTATTAATATAGATTTGCACAAACTGCTCCAACCTTGTAGATTAAAAGCCTTATAAAAGTTATTGCCCTAAATCTACACAATTATCTTGGCATTTTTTCCTTCTATTTTTAAATGATATTCCCAACTTTTAAAAATAGTCATTTCAATATCTTGATGGAAACATTTTAAATCCAGTTAAAACCAACAATAAATTTACATGTGTAAGATAAAAAAAAATGATTAGGAGACTAGAATTGTACCAGTGGGACTGACTTTACCATTGCCTATGCTTAGCAATACCATCTGGATAGTCACTGCTAAATAGCTGGTCAGGATATAAGCACTTTTAAAACATGATGACACATTTATTAATCATTCAAAGAAGCTGCTGGTTTTGTGTCAGAATGCAATTAACAACTATCTTGGCCCTACATCCACACCTTGTTTACTGTATGCCTGAGCAATAAAGCTTCTTGGTACAGCGGCAACAGTTTTGCATTGGTAATACAAGAAAAAAACAGCGTGCATTATTCAAAAACATAACAGTGCTGTTACAATTATTAATTTAAAAGATGCAATCAAAAACTCATATCTCACTTTAATAATTAACTCTCTTAGTATTCTCATACATTATCCAGCATAAGCTTTCTAATGTGATGATACAGGCCCAATACTGAAATGTTATACTTCAACAGAAACTACGCTGCTTTATGACATAATCAAACTTAACATTTAAAATCTGTCTTTTAATAATTTGAATGATTTTACAATTTTCATAACAAACGTATGCATGTCTCCCCCTGCCAAATGAAAGTGCAGATCCAGTTACAGGGAGGATTTACACTAAAATAAAGCAGTTCTAGCAAAGAAATATAACAAGGAGAGTCACTAACATAGACTTAAAAAAAATAATAATGTTGCCTAAAGAAGAGAATGATTAGGGCAACAAAAAAGGTGATATTAAGTTCCTTTAGTATATTGCCTTACAACTAATTGAAAATATTTATCACATTATTTTTATTTTCTAAAAAACTTGCTAAAACCTTTTTTAAATATTTGATAACACATATTTCTGTACAGACAAATAATTTGTTTTCAAAGTATACGTATTATAAGTGGAATGAATATGAAGTACTGGGGTGGAGGGGGGTGTCCAAAATGAACACATATAGATGGGAGGAGGGTACACAAAAATTAATATATCCCATGAGAAATAAACAGATAATCACTTATAATTATTTAAGGATGTGACTGAAACACTGCATCTTTCACTCTGTTCCCATGTATATAATTAATTACAAAAAAGAATTTAAAATACTTACTAGATGAAAAACATTTTATGGTTGAACACAGGTTTTTATTTTTCAAATTTCTTGTGGACTTTGGCTTTGGATGACCTTTTAAATTTATTGAAGCACTCAGTATATGATAAGCTCTATTTAAGCCTACCAATGTCCTTTCAACTGAATGTGCACAAAGAACGGTGTGTATTTTTATCAACATTTTTTAACACAGCACACTGAAAAGAAAATGTATTTCAATGATAGGTTAAAGTGTGTACGGTAGATTATTGTGTAATTCTGATTTCTGACTAATTTAAGTAAAAGTTTTTTTAATTTTAAAGTAGGAAAATAACTCATTCCGTTAATAAATATAAAATGAGTAACCATAATTTGTACAGCTCACTACTTCTAACCCGAAAGTTTTGAGTGCTGACCACACTTGTATGCCAAGGTCATTGAAACAGATAAACAGAGTTTCTTCCAAGCATCTCATCGGGGGTAGGGGGGGGGGTTGTCTCTCTCCCCCTCCCCCGAAAATTTCAAGTACCTCCCAGGAGAAAAAGTCTGGAAGAAACACTGCAGATGAACTCTTGGGCACGAAAGGGAAAAGATGATGATGTTGGTCATAATTCAGCAGATTAGGATTAGTCTGTTGTTTAAGTACCGGCAATTTTTTAAAAGCATCACTACTCATTGGCATACACAGGATTTTGTCATGAGGTAGGGGTCATATTTTAACTATTTTAAAAACGTGAAATTGTGGCTTTATGACATTTTAAATTTTAAAATTGCAAAGTGACATGAGCCAAAAGATATAGCTTAACAAAATGTTTTTTTGGAGGATTGGGAGGCGGGGGTGGAGGGGCTTTGTAATCCCTTTCTTTCCCTCAACACACCTTGCATATGCCATTGCCCAGTGTCAATACTCTTTCCCTAGCACTAACCATAGCCCAGGGCAATGTAAAACAGATGGTACTATACAATGTATAGTATACATTTTCTCGTCTACAAAGTATAAAGGAAGTATTTTAATCATTCAACGTTTTACACCTCCCTGAGTCTGAAAAACATAGTTTTGCAATGTTGTCTGTATGTCTGTGTGTATGTATGTGTGTGTGTCTGTGAACTGTTCACTGAACACGATAACTTGAGTACCGTTACAGCTAGGTTGATGCAATTTCATATACAAGTATTATATCAAATTTGTAGTTCTGTATCAACTTTTCAGCGATTTCCGATAACCGGAAGTGGAACTTATTCTACTTTTAGTTTTTCAAAAGTCTATAACTTGAGTACTGTTCTGATAGATAGATCTATATTTGTGGTAGGTCAATATGTAATATGTACTATTATGTATAGATTCTATATAATATATATATATTTTTTTTTAGTATATAGATCTAGTATCTAAGTATACTTAGACTAGGCCTAATCACTAGTAATCAGCCTAATCATTAATCACTAATCAGCAGTAGGCAAGTGAAAAATATAAATAGTGTCAATGTCAGAGTTTGAGGGCTTGTGTTAGAACTAGATCTAGGACTAAGGTGGCAATTTTTACCAGCAAAAGAATTAATATTTGAATAGCGGCCCTTGCCGTCCTAGGGCCTAGGCTCGTTCTATAAAACTACGGATACAACAAAGTACAAACAAAGTCACAAAGTGTAACACAGGGTCGACTCGAAATAGCATCCTTATATTTATTCAGTACTGGCCTGTAGTCAACTAGATTTTAGATCACTTTATTTATAATACTTTATTAAAACTTACTTAAAGCCCTCCTGATCCCGACTTGCCGTAGAATCTAGCTTCTGGCTGCCTGTTGAGTGTGCTGCAGTGTGCTTAGTGCACAGTCCTTTTTAGTTATCTCAAAAGATAACGCACGAAGACTTTGAGTTGGTTTACATTACAGTTTTATGAAGTCTATTGTCTGTGTTTATTGCCCCCAAAATACCGTAGCCTAAACTTTATAGCTATGTAAATATGTCAAGTGTGGTGTTAAACGATAATAACATTTTAAAGTAACTAAATTTTTTTTTAAAAAGCTTTCTTTTTTCTGTTTTGCTGGCAACTAACTTGTCTGTCAAGGTCATATATTCGGATATTCCCATTTTTCTCGTGTCCCTAGATCTAGTGTTTTCAAAATGGCAACCTTCAAGTTTTGCTTTCGATTTCAACACCCAACAAGAAGTACAACTAATAATATTATAAAAGTTAGTTTAAGAAAAATATATTCAACAAAATTTAACCAAAAAGATCCCACCAGTTCTAATAAATGGCTTGAGAGACAAAGACGTGATATCTTCGTAAAACAAGCAGGCATAGAAAACTATCGATGTAGGAGTGCTTTTAAACTTTTGCAAATAAATGAAAAATTCAACATTCTCTTGCCTGGAAATATTGTAATTGATTGTGGTGCTGCGCCTGGATCGTGGTGCCAAGTTGCGGTTAAAAAAGTGAACGCACTAGAAACAGGTAGATTAAGAAATAATAGGTAATCTATCGTTTTAGGTACGTATAAATCGCCCGCGACTAGTAATGTGAAAAACAGGTGACTCCTTAAATTTTAATAATTATTTCACATTTTGAGGAGGATTTATGTTTTGAAAAATACAAAAATGTTTCCTTTTTTCATTTATATATACCTGTTTTTAAACAATTGAATTAAAACCTTTCAGTAATAAATGAAGACTAGCGATGTTTCCAACAGATGCAACCATGCTCATTACTATAGCAGCCATCTTGTTTATTTATTTTTTATTGTATACTTATAGCGCGAGATTCAGGGGAAGCCACTCTAACTTACAGATGGCCGCTTTTTATATAGCAAATCCTGCTCGCAAACACTGCTGTTTAAAGTTAATTTCTTGCCTATATTGATTATATTTAGCCATTGATTTAGGTTTATTATTCATTTATCTATAATATTTGACACAAATATAATAATATATCACAATATACTTCTATTAAAGCCTTGACAATTAGGTAACTTGTTCGTACATTACATTACTAGCCGCGGGCGATTTTACGTACCTAAAACGATAGATTACGAAATAATATGTTGTATAATAACTATTTAAGACTAATAGTTTATAAATTAATAAAATTATCTATCAATGCATGATATGTCGATATTGGATATAACCGATATTGATATGATGAATCTCACTGACCAAATCAAAGGTTGCATGTTCATGTGTGGACAGAAATGTCTGCATGGGTACCTCATCCTCATATTTGATATAAAAAAATGTTTCAACAGAACTGTAATTAATCTCAATATTACTGCATTTGTACCAGTGGGGTTCGACAGTGAATCAGGCCGTTTAAGGCAGCAGTTCAGTTTTCCCAAGAGTACTCGACAAGAAATGCGTGTATTAATTAAAACCACATAGATCTAGATCTAATACAGTTATGTATTATTATATGCTGGTACAGGTATGTTGAGTCAGTGACTGAGTAGTGACACGTGAGCAAGCCCTTAACTAAAATATAGATCTAGAATCTAGTAGTGCATAAAAGTAGGCTATACTCAACTGTAGATAAATCCCAAGTAGTACCCACCTTCCTCACACATCTTCACGCTAGATTATTATGTACTATCAGAACTAGCTGGGTGGAGGAGGGGCATAAGAAAACTATGTTAATTGTCAAAGCATTTATTAATTTTATTTTGTTATAGTAGAAAAGATGGAGAGTAAAATTTAAATTATGATAATCAAAAGTGCATTTAAGTGGATTGATCACTTAATCACTTTTAATCATTTGCTAAATGACATTCGGCCATTTAGGGGTGGGGGTGTCTGGTTCACTGTGATGGCATGAAACTGGTAGGTGGAGGTATCAATCGACTTAAATAACATGACATTTAGGGCCTAATTTAAGGACAATCCCTCACAATTATTTTATAAAATGTATTGAGATATTATTAATAGATGTATTATGTGAAAATAAATAGGTTTACTGTGATAGTGATAAAACTGAACTTTTACTTACAAATTTGAATTTACATCTCATACAGTCTTTTTAGAACCTGATGTTAAATAGACATTAACTATATATTACTGATATCTAGATCCAGAGGTGTAGCGAGGTGGGGGGGGGGGGGGGGCAGACTGCACCGGGTGACACCATTTAGGGGGGGTGACACCAAGGCAAAAAATAGCAAAATATATAGAGAAAAATGATAATTCCACTAAATTACGTGATTAATTTGAGTGTTAAATAGTGTTTTAAGAGGTGCAAATCAAAAGTCTGAGGGGGGGGGGGGGGTGCAAATCAAAAATTGAAAGTTTGTCCCCGGGAAGGGTCGCTACGCCCCTGGGGGGGTGACACCATTAAGTGCCACACCGGGTGACACCCGATCTTGCTACGCCATTGTCTAGATCTAGATTATATGTTTAAATGAATTTTTATTGGTGGAAAAAATACTTCTAAATATTAATAAGCATTGAAATATTGATATTTTTTGTCTCCCATATTCAGAAGCTTTTAAAGTGTATAACTTTTAAACACAATTATGTTACTCTTTCTGGCACAGATCCTTCTAAACCTAAAGGTCTTGTGATAGGAATTGACTTACAACATATGGCACCCATTGAAGGTGCATTTCTACTAAGTTGTAGTGATTTTACTTCTGATGTGACTCAAGCTAAAATCAAAACTATTCTTGGTGATCGACAAGCTGATGTTGTGTTAAGTGACATGGCACCAGCAGCAACTGGAATGAAGTCACACAATCATGAAATCATTGTAAATCTTTGTTTCTCTGTTCTTTTATTTAGTTTACATGTATTAAAAAATGGAGGTACAATGCTTTGCAAAATATGGATGGGTGCTGACCAGAAAAGATTAGAAACAGCCATGAATAAAGTTTTTGAACACGTTCGAGTTGTTAAGCCAGAAGCCAGTAGGGATGATTCATCTGAAATTTTTCTGCTAGGGCGGGGATTTAAAAGAAATGAAAAGTAGTAGACTATTATGTTGTTATTTGGTTGTCAATAACTCATGATGAACTAAAAATATATTTTGTATAGATCTATTTAGTTTCAAGGATAATACAGGATTTGTCGTTTTTAAAACATTAGAAAAATCCTGTTTCTATTGTGACTGACATATTCTGCTATTATTCCCACCACATCTTGATTTACCAAAGCTTATGCACTAAATGTAGTAAAAGCAAATTACTGTTGATCTTTATTTATTTTAAAAAATGTGTGTTTTTTTCTGTAATAATTTTATGGGGTTGTTTGTGTACTATGAAATGTATTTTAAAAAGCCAGATATTTTTATATTAAATTAGACATTGATTGTAGTTTTTTATGTGAAAATTAAGCTGGCCATTATGATTCAAAATAACTCAATTATAATATATTTAAATATATTGCTCATATACTTAGTAGGTCTACTCTTCTTTAGTAAATTTTATTCTTCACTTTATTTTTCCCTTCTTTGTGCCATTATATTGTAAGGCTATTTTATGTGAATGTTTAACAGGATGCTACAAATTTATTTACTTATTGTTTGTGCCTTTGTCATCAAAAGTGGTAGACAAAATATTTTTTCCTTAACTCATTTAGAATTTATGTCCATTATTAAGGAATGGTATGTTTCTTTAGTTCAAGATTTTCCAACATGTTTTAAAAATAGAAATTAGAGGACACTGACTAATACTTTTGTGCTAAAACTACAGCTTGGAACTTCAGTGTACTCTATTCCTAGTAAAGATCAACTTTGAAAAATATGTGTAGCCTTCCTCCAATTCTGCTTACTTTTTCTCCATTACAATGCTCCCTGCCTTCTTTTGATATAGTTTAAATCACGTTCTGAATATTGTAAGTAAATTTTCTCAAAAATAATTTGCTGCAGTTAGCATTATTTATTAACTAGAGATGGAATTTAAATACTACTTTAATCTTAGCAACATTTTTTTTTAGTGAATATGAATCAGATGATGTTACTCACCTTTGGTTGCAGGCTACTATACAAGGATAGAAATTTAGGTTAAGAGAGAAAATTGCACTGGACTAAAAAAAATTCAGCCTTGTAGTGCTGAGAATGAATAAAAAAAAACAGTTAAACCGTTTATAGGTGTTGTAAACTGATAAAATTCAGGTTTCATAAACAGAGTTTCTTTGTGTTGATCTGGGCACTAATCTCTGCAGGATTTTATTACTTGGCTACTTATTATTCAACTGACAGTAGTAGCCAAAATTGTTATATTCGTGGGTTTGAAATGTGCTTCTTTGGGCAAAGTACAGATAGGTTATTTCATTGCAAACTTGCAAGAATGTCTGAAACTAGGTGACCTATTTAAGGACAGATTTCATCTGGCTACCAGTAGTTTTAATGACCTAAAGACTACAGGACAAGTTGCAGCAAAAGTTTGCAATACTAGTTTGCAGACACCTACTTTTGATGTAACACAATAGTAATAGTACCAATAAGGGTTAAGACTTGTAGATCAAAATAATAAAACTGAGCTATACATTGTTCAAAATCACAGAATTATTTCACATCATTGAATCTTAAATCCAATATCATGTGAGGATCAGGAATGACAAACTCATGTATTTAAATATTTTTTTTATTAATACAAGTACAAAAACAAAACCATTTTAATAATTTAAAAGTTTATTTTAATACCTGTAGATGTTTGAAAGACTGAGTATTCCTTGTAAATATATCATCAACATTTTAAGTTTAATATCATTTGTACAATATCAAACAAGTTAGTGAAAAAAGTAATTACTGTCACAGTTCAACAACAAAACTATTAGTAAAAACTAGCAAGTGATATGTCGATTAATAAAATAGTGAAAAAAATGTCAATGACATGGAATTTGCACATGAAAATGTAATGCCAGCACTTAAAGTATTAATCAACTAATAATCAAGTTTATTAAGATCCTCAATGTTAATCCAAAACATATTGACATGCCTTTCATACATATTTTAAAAAAATATACTGTAACAACAACTTAAACTATTTTTTAAATTAGATTAAACTTTTAACATTAGCAGAAGGAAATGCTTAAATAAATCTAAGAATATTCAAATAAAAAAAATGCTTCCCACATACAAGATTGATATTTTTAGAACTTTTATTTTAAACAAATTCAATATGATCAGACCCAATTATGTGTGCAAGTAATGTTAACTAACTATCCTCATGTGTTCTGTGGTGCTTCATTTGTGGTTTGATTCTTTTTGCACAACAAAACATGATACAATCCAAAGACAATTTCTATACTTGGTGATTTGAACATAAATCTCATGGGCAGCAGCTTCAAATCCTGTAAACCAAGAGTTATAATTAAGATGATGCATAACTCTTAAAACATAAAACTGAAGAAATGAAATAAACCCAGGCTTAGTTATTTGCAACTTAGAAAATTAAATACCTCTTTAAGTTTTTCTAATTCTGTAAATTTTTGATCCATTTTATCAATAAGTTCTTTTATACAGAAGATCTGAAGATAGAAAAATACTTCTTAAAGTATTCAAAGGACAACAAATAGTTTTAAAAAATATTATTTAATGGTGCTTGTATTTGTAATTCAAACTAACATGACCCAAAGTAAATTAGCGGCATACATTTTTTTGCTTTAAAAACATCTGAATTCATAAAACACCAATAATGCTAAAAATAATGACATCAAAAGATATTTTTATGTGAGTAAAGCATAATCCAATATGTAGTTATTTGCTGCATTTTAGCTGTACATGGTAAGTTATTATATTTGTGTAGTTTATACTAAAGTGTAGTGAATTTTATTAAATTACATAGGAAATAGATTTTGCACTTAGCATGTCATTCAATTAAAACACTATATTTTTCAAAATTCAATTACAACATTAAATGTGAAAACCTACCTGTAAATGGTGTGTTTTAATATTGGCCTTCATTTGAACAGTTTCATCAACAAAGATTTCATTTGATTTGATAATGTTGTATGGTACAAATTCAATGGTCATATTTTCATGGTAGTCGTAGCAGCCTGGACTAATAAACATAAAACTCAGACCATGCTTGAGACGTCCCCTAGAAGAAAAAGTATACACCATGCTTAAAAATTAAGTAAATTCAAGTTAATATTTTCAAAAATGGTATCCCTTTTATTAACTTAAATAATTAATATAAGATGAGAGGTATGGACGAGGTCTCACATTAGTTACTTACATTAATTTTAAGGGTGTCATTAAATATGAAGCAAGCTTAAGGAAAACGGTGTCAAAAAATTTAAAAAATTAAGTTTACCAAATAAAACAACATACCGAACCATTAGTGGTAATAGTTCACCAGCTGTGGCATCAAATTCCAAGCAGACACGTCTAAATGTATAATACAGGTTGGATGAATCAGCAGCATCATTTAAGGTTAAACGTTCCACAACTCTTGATATACCAGTTGCCTCACTGAGTTAGCATTAAAATTGTAATATATAAAATAAATTGACCACTTATCTTACATTTGAGAAAAGAAAAATTTTTGAACAACAGAATACATTCAAAAAATTAGTGTTAGTGATTTTTAAAATGGTATCAGAAATATTTTGTTAATGCTATTAATCATAAAAAGCAATTAAAATTCCAACAGTTATATTTAATGTTAGTTTTAAAAAATAATGTTACAAAGAAAATGTCTGTATATAAAGTTTCCTGCTGATGTACTTTTAACTTTTTAAGGTGGGCCTAGACTAGATTAATTAAAATTTCTATTCCTATGTTAGAAGGTTACTTTGTTAGAAAATCTTACTCTTCAACTATTTCTTTCCATGAAATATGGGATGTTACTCTGGCTAGTAAAGAGCCTTCTACTTCAATTTTTGAAATAATATCAACTATAAGCCTTGGGTTGAGATCAAAAACAGAAACTTTTCTTCTCATGTCAGTAATCATTAGAGGTCCAACTCTGAAAGTCAAATCCATCAACTAATTGTTATAAAAAAATTAAACATTACTTCTGAAAGATGTTATAAATTGCATTATTTATGGCATTAAATTATGGGACTGAAATTTATGATATAACTCAGAGGTTATTTTTTAAAACTAGTTATTTTTATATGTAGATATTTCATTATCTGGAGGGGGAATTGTGTTTTACAATTGATAAAACAATTATAAAATTTAAAACTGACCAATAATAAATAGCATAAGCTTTAAAACTAAAATAAAACTTACTGTGGGTGCTGCATTAACTGCTCCACAATCCCACTAGCCTTCCAGGACCGAGCATAATGAAATTCCTCCTTCAAGACACCAGCCACCTGAAATTTGTAAAATTTACAAATTACATTTTTATATAAAGTAATCACTTCATTACGAAACAACTAACACACAGACATTTATATATCTGTTGCAACCTTGTTTTAAGATTGATCACTTCACTTTTTCAACACAGAAAATTTAGAAAAACTCATTTAATCCTTCAATAAGGTTCATGCATACTAGCCTAATATCAGTTACCTCCCTTACATTAAGCACAGCTGGTGGGAAAATTCTTTTATTAGGTTACGTATGGCTGCTAACCCAAAAGACCTGAGTTCAGATACCTGGCTCAAGTCTATGAACCCACCCAACTCACAATATCAATAAGGGAAAGTAAAGGCAGTTAGGCATTGTGTGGACCATACTATCCCTTGATATACTGATCTCAAAAGTAGTCACACATACCCCATGGACCTTAAGGTTCTAAAGGGTACTTTAGTTTTTTAGGGTAGGGAAACCCCCTCATAAGCATAAGGTCATAGACTAGAACTATCATAAATGTCAGCATGACTGGAAACAAAAAAACATACTTGTAAAAACTGTACTGTTCCATGAGGAGTATCCAAATTTAAAATCTGTGGATCTTCAACAATTATCATGTGATTGATAACAGAACTTGAGGGACAAGGAATTATATCAACATTACATGATCTTCCTTGTGCTACTTTGTCCAAGGAGTCATACCATGGAATATGATCATATTCACGGAACTCGGTATCTAAAAAAATGAAGAAAGTGTTTTATAATGCATTCCTTTTACTAATAATATATATAATATGAGTACTGGAGATACAATTTGAACATTTCCTTTCCTGTTACTTGTTAAAAATGAAAAGCAATTTAAATTATGCCCTGAAAAAACAACGATGTGACAGTCAGATGAAACAGACAGTTTTAATAACTATATTTTTCTTTTAGGCGCACTTAGAAGCATTCTATAGACACAAAAATCTTTCACATTTGTGTTTAAATTAAATGTGCTAACTTTCTAGAGTTAAGTAATTAATATACCCATACACAGAGCAAAATTAAATTATTAAAAAAAAAACATTTTTCAAACCTGTGTTGAAAACATAAAGACCAAGAGTGTTTAGTAACATGACTGGCCAAACTGGTGGCTGTTTATCATTTTGATCTTTCTTCAGACGGAAAGTAAGCTCAAATCCATAACCACTTGGATGACCTCTACCACTAAAACTAAAAACATAATTATAATTAGCTTACATTAAACAGCGACAATTAAGTAATTCATTTTTATGGTTCAAGTTAGATATTGTAGATGCTATAGTTTTATTTTGTTTAGTTCAAAGGAGAAAAAAGGATGTAAGCATATTATCAATTAAGTTAGTTATTTTACTACAATAGTTATAATTATTAAATTATAATTATTTATTAGTTATAATTGGTGATACAGATTCAATGTTTAAATACTAAAATTCTGACTCACTGATTTCAATTATAATGAAATTCAATTACATTCACATTGAATAATTTTTATTCAAAGGCTATAAAAAGATAAATGCAAATTAAATTTAGGAAATAAAACGGAGTGATAGTTTACTTCACACATTTGGGTGAGTTAGCAAACTTATTTTTCTTCTCTTTGCACTTACTCGTGTACTCTGCCATCACCATATAGATCTGAGAGTCCATAAGTTACATAGTGCCAATGAGGCGAAACGCCAAGCTCAACACTGCCAGAATTAGAAAAGATTTTTACAAAATCTAAAGGTATGTTTCCTCCACACCTGAAATGAAATTTAATTTAGGCTTAGTTGATAGCAAAAAATCAAATCTACATTGGTCAATAATATTTTATGCTAGTCTGATTTTTGAGTGTACTTGTATGATTTATTACTAGTGCTTAATTTTTTTTACTAGTTTTCAATTATTAAATTAATTATTCACAATAGCCCACTAATTGTACTTTATGTATGTTTAAATTAACAGGTAACTAACGGGTATTTAACAACAAAATTCCCACTCATTATATATAGATTAGGCCTATATAACCTTGAACTCTATTCATCAGCTGAAGTCTGAAAAGTATTCTTCAGTTACTGTAGAAAAAGGACTCCAGTTAAAACTGTGGTTAAAAAACAAGCTGTCCCATCTAGATTAAATATTACATATTTTTAGTTTTGTATAGGTCTGGTAATAAATAATATTCAAGTAAGGCTTACTAAGGGAAGGGCTTAATTTGGTCGATTAATATGCTTATTTAGGTCAACATATTTTTAGAATTTTTTAAAGGAAGTTTAATTTTATTTATAAAGATCTAATGCGTTTTTTTGGGGATAGTGTAGAATGTCTATGAATGAAGTGTAAAGTTCAGAAATGAGTATAGATGTGGAATTTTTTATTTTATAGTACAAATGCAATGGCATTAGAGCGATTAGGCCTTCTAATAAGATTTAGTCAAAAAAATTTCAATAGGTTGAATATAATTTTAAAAGAATTTTAAAGAATATGAATTTATATTAGGGGCCTACTAATTTTAAATTTATAATTAGTAAAAGTAAAGTTCCCTTTTCAAACCTGACAGTCTATACTCTATAGTATAGGGCAAGTGAAGTAGAGTTCACTTTTCTATAACCTCGGAATATGAAGGTGAAGAGATAGTGTGGTCAGCACTATGCCCAGCCGCGCCAGCCGCCTTTACTCTCCCTTAACATGAGTTAGGTACCCATCAGAGTTGGGTGGACTCAGGGACGGTCCACTGACTTGAACCCAGTTTCGAGCTCGAGATTTACGGGTTAGCAGTCTAGCTCTCTACCGTTACACCACTCCGGCCCCATTTATAATTAGGCCCAGGCCTAAATCTTTTTTAGCATCAAGACAAAGATCTGGAATTATGTGCAAATTCTAAGAATTAAGTTAGACTTGATACTTAATAATAAGAAAATTAAAAATAAGATGACCTAGAGACTAGATCTACATTTTTAAAAATTAACTAGGCCTAGGCCTAATTAAAATCTAATCTAATCTAGATCTACTTTTATTTTAAGAACAAAAATAATAAAGAAAAAAATGTAGATCTAGATTTCTAGATCTAGCTAGATTCTAGATCTAGATTATTCTAGATCTAGATTTCTACATCTAAACACAAAGAGTAAAAAAGTCAGTAAACGTCGAACGAGGACAGGGATTTTTTTCGCCATACCAAATTTTTGTGCTGGGGCTTGAAATTGAAGAAGGATTATTATTGGGATACAAATTATAAAGTGCACGGTCAATAGCTTCTATTCCAAACTCGCTGCTGCTAGACATCGAATGTACTGTTTCCGTCATTGGGGCGGCACTACCCGCTGATGCCGACATAACGAACATACGAAAAATACATGTGTACGGTCTGTCCCTGTTTGCACCAGTAGGTTGCACTTCTTCGCTCTTATTAAGAATTAAGAGTGTACTCCCTTTGACCCCATGTGGGGGAAACTTTGTAAACATATTTTTAGTTCGACAACAGATGTTTCGACAAAGTTGAAATACTGTACGCATATGCAACAAGCGAGTGAGGAAATTAAACTAAAGGGCTTAGATTTAGGACGTCGAAAAGAAAAGACGTCGAATTTCGTTCATTTGTTTTAGGAAAGTCTATAACTATAACAAAACACAGTCTCTCTTCGCTCCCTTTAGGCCTACAGGGACACATATAGATTTCTATTATATAATATACGACTTGGATTCAGGCCTATTATATAAACTATCGAGGCAGTAAAAAATAAATGTCTGCAATATGAGACAAAATTGGAAAAAATTATAACTTCTCTATTTCGGGTTTATGTAATGAACAGCAAAGCTACTCTTTTGCAGTATATAAATAATATTAATTTAAATTCGTATGTTATAAGAAACGAATGTCTAATTTTTAAAAAAAAATGGCATCACTAGTTGGGTAAAAATCTTTTTTTTTAGGTCTAAATAATAGGCATATTATCTTACACTTTCAAATGTGCTTTTATCTTCACCCCATAAAATAAAAAACAGCCCCCCCCCCTTCCCATTCAAGAAATGACGTCTTACTTCTCATAATAAATAATTCAAACGAAAATGTTTATGTTTCTCAAAATTTCTATTTCGTAAATAAAAATACCAAATAAATGCATTTTCACACTTTCTAGTCCTTCTACACTTTTAGTCACTTTTCCTCACGCTTTTTACCCCCTACCCCGTCACCAAATGTAACCCCCCCCCCCCATCTCCTCATGATTTTACCCGGCATCTTTTCTTTCTCTTTTTTATTTTTATGCAATGAATGGGACCTATTCAACAAATCAGTATTTAGGTCTATATGTCTGAAAGAAAATTCTGACCCAACATTAAACCGAAAGTAAATTGAATGAAGTTATAGGCCTACGCAATCCTATTATTTATGTGTAATTTTTAAAAATAAATATTAATCTAAAGAGAAATGTCAGAGATGCATAACAGTTTTTCAGCTCCCAAGCAAAAACGAAGATACGTAATATTTTCTATTAAAAAGTGTTATTTTCAAATTTCTCATTTTCGCCTATTTCTTCTTTTTTTTTCATTATCGAGTGGCTGTATCTGTTCTTGTTTATAAAACCATCAATTCCAACTATCCATGACTGAAAAAGTTACTTATTTAACCAACAACAGCAGGCATGATATAATCTGGTGCTTTTATTAATCGCCCCCCCCCCCTTTGTAACGCCACTATTTTCAGTACAATTAATAGTGTCGAACAACATATGCGTCGAAATATCTGCTAGCAGCTAAATCCAGGACCTCGCCAAGTTTAATGCCGTTTCGCGATACATTGAAGAACATTTTGCAATAATTTTAATAAAAGTTTTATCATAACTATTTGTTCTGTTCACACATTTGTTATTAAATTATTTTAATTAGAAGTTTTAGTCAATCATTTTATAAGTGTACAATGTCTGAATATTAAATAGGCTATAGAAATCTAGAAGAAAAATTAATCTAAACCATGCAGACAACCTGACATATTGAATACTTCCGAAATACACTAGGCCTGCTCAATTTTGTTACCGTTATGAATTAAAAAATAAAATGAATTGCAACGGATTTCATGACACTATAACAATTTTTATGATCGTTTACCCAAAACATTATATTTGCTAAATTAATCTTCTATGTTTGTTAATCAACAACAAAACTAATTTTTAAAAATGTATCTAAAATGTAGAATCTAACCAATACGAGATTATCTTATCTTGTTTTAAAATGTCAACAGATCTACAATCTAAACAACGATCTTCCATGCGTACCCAGTAGATCATAGTTCAGTCCAGACATAAATTCTAGATCTAGAATCTAGATCTACGTGTAATCACTAAGAATCTGTCACTAACTATTTAAATCCACCTCAGTATCTAGAATCTACATAATATTTGCGAATGTTGAGTAGCAATGACTGCAAAAAATATTGCAGTGGTTGATGAAGAAATCTTTGATGAGAGTGAAGAAGAATTGGTTGATTCTCAGCTACCAGTTGTGTGCCACCAGAATCGGCACTTTGGCAAAATAGAAGGATCCAATCTTTGTTTACAATGTTGGCGAATGAAAGAGCGGGTACACAATTTGCTTTTAAATAATGCAAATGGGTTTATAATTAGGCCTAGTTTATATATTTTATTGAATATATAATATTATAAATATATGAGTACGCTGAGTACGCCTAGATAAAAGATTATAAACTAAACTAAAACTAGACTAGATCTATATATAATATATATAATATATATTTTTGACATGTAGGCCTACGCCTATAATAAGCCTATAGTAATTATTAGACCTATATTAAATATTATAATTATTGTTAGAATCTATGGGGAATTAATAATTATAATAGTTAGGATAGTAGGTTATAAATGTTATTAAATATTATTGAAGTGTCTAGGCCTATTCCCACTCAAAACTTTAATTAATATAGTTAAGGCCTAATGTTGAAAATCCAGAATTTGGAATGCTTCAGCATGTTAGTGAGAAATGATGGCAACTGTCACATTAGAAGTCCTGAGTTCAAATCCATTTGGGAGTCTTTTTAAATATCACAACCTTTATTTTTGTTGTTACTGATGGAAGGGTTATTTTTTTCCGCCAATGATAAAATAGATAAAAAATAATGATGAAAATATGAATTATAAATAACTTAGGCAGAGGCAATAGTACTCCCAGCAGACTGGAATAGCCTTGGTCTAGCACTAAGTTTATAAGTGGGAAGACCTCATCTTGAGCTCTATAATAATTAAAACAGTGAACAATAGTAGAAGTGTTTATACATTTCAAATTTATCCAAGTATTTAAATCATCTAGATCTACACAGGAGACTGTAATCTGTAATTTTCTTCTAATAATTCAAGCCGCTTCCATTATTAGACAGAAAACTAGTGTTTAAAAAAAGTTTCCTTTGTTAAGTCAGTTAAGAATCCATTTCTTAACCACTTAACTTTCTATAGGCCTTATTCGTTAAGCTAGCAAATTTGCTGGTAACTTAGTCTGAGAAAAGTAAATGTAAAAACAGAGCACAGTCAGTTCTTATTATTAATACATGTTTTATATGTGTACGTAAGTTACAACCAAATAGGGTTATCCTTAAAAATGCAGTATTCTACTTTTCTTTCACCTTTTAAATTAGTCATAGTTTATAATATTTAATTTAAACTTGAAATCAGATGAAGACTGTCAGTGTTGCACTTGTTCTTTGTCTAAATGTTGGCGTTGATCCTCCAGATGTTGTAAAAATATCTCCTTGTGCTCGGATGGAATGTTGGATTGGTAAGTTTTCTACATTGAATTTTTTTTAAAAGTGGGTTTATGTATATACAAGTGTTAGATAATGCCCCAATAAAAGAATCTTCTTAAAAAGAGGTGTTAAATTACTGGTAGTTTATTATAAAATGACCTGCTAATATCAATGCTAACCCAACCCCTAACACGAGTCCTACCAAAGCCCTAACCCTAATTTCTGGGACTAAACCTGGGACTACTGTACTACTAACAACTTAACACATACCTTATTTTTGAAGGGACTATTGTCGGACATGGGTGATACCAATACTCTTAAAAAGTATTGTGATAAAAACATTTAACTGCTTTTTAAAGAATGTTAAGCATTGATTATAAAACATTTTTTAGCAGTTCAAAAGTAGGCCTATACCAATTATATATACATTTTTACACCAGTATTTTCATAGATCCTCATACTATGATTCCTCAAAAAGTCCATAGGTTCAAATTACAAAAGAAATATGAAAAATGTAATTTGTAAATATATTAAACAACTTTTTAATTAATGTTAAGCATTAATTACAAAAATATTTTTAGCAGTTCAAAAGTAGGCCTATACCAATTGTATATACACCTTTCCACCATTATTTTCATAGATCCTCATACTATGAGTCCTCAAAAAGCTTTAGAGTCCATAGGTTCAAATTTACAAAAGCAATATGAAAGATGGCAACCAAAAGCTAGATACAAGCAATCGCTTGATCCCACAGTTGAGGAAATGAAAAAGCTATGTGTATCATTGAGAAGAAATGCCAAGGTATTTTTTTTTTTTCTTAAATTTCTCTTCATTTACAAATTTAATACATTTAGTTACTTTTTATAGACAACTGTAAATCACATCAGGATTAATGCCATGATGAACTTGATTACCTTGTTTTCTGGAGTTAATAACTTACCTTGTAGAAACCTGGTTAGACTGATCTCATTAAACATCTTTGTTTAACCAAATGTTTTTTTTCAATGCTGCAAAGAGTTCACAGTCCAACATTCATGTTATACAGTATAGCAGATTTAAACAAAATAGCTGATTAGAATAATAAACCGGGAGTGATCTCCCCTAAACTTTCTCGAATATTCTTATATAAAATAACAGGGGATGGGAACTCGGGCTATAGACATGATTTTTAATCCATTTTAAATACTTAAAGTTTTAAAAATAGAATAAAATCTCGTAGACAAATTAATTGCACACCAAGTGAACGCGAATAAAAAAGCGCATAATAGTGCGCAATATTATTAGTACTTTTAAAATTTACATTAGTTTTTTGAGAAATCGGAAGTAGCGTAAATAAGTACTTCCAGTCAACGAAAAATTCTCAAAATTTGACAGAAGGTAGAGAATTAGATCTTTTACTTACATATCAAATTTCATTTATCTATCTGAAATAGTACTCAAGTTATAGGCTTTTGAAAAATTCAAAGTAGAAAAAGTACCACTTCCGGTTATCCGAAATCGCTCAAAAGTTGATACGGATCTACGATTTTGATAAAATACTTGTATATGAAATTTCATCAACCTAGCTGTAACGGTACTCAAGTTATCGTGTTTACACACGGACACACACACACACAGACACACACACAGACACACAGACATACGGACAAGATTGCAAAATTATGTTTTTCCGTATCAGTGAGATGTAAAACGTCGAGATTTGCAAAAATCTCGATTTTTTTTTTTTGCACGATTACAAGACTTTCTCTATACTTCGTATATACGAGAAAGTAAAAATGAATTGCAAGTAATGCAAGGAATTCCCTGATTTCCAAAAAGGGTTATGGAGTTGTATTAATGTTGCAGTTGAGATCCAGTTGTATGAGAATATCTATTATTGGTGTATTTTATTGTTTGATTGTGTTATTTTATTTTTATTTTGTTGTTTAAATAATTGTCACTATTAAAACTCCTTTCCAGGAAGAAAGGGTTTTGTTTCATTATATTGGCCATGGTGTTCCTAAGCCAACATCAAATGGTGAAATTTGGGTTTTTAATAAGGTTGGTATGTAAGAACTATTTGTTGTGTTTTAAAATAGTTGTCATTGAACAACCTGTTTTTATATAACAAAATAGATTCTGTACAAGTTATTGGTTTTTAATCCAGTCATAGTAATATAAAAATAGTTTTTTAGTATATCCTGTTCATATATTTGCTTTATTTCTTTGAGAATATTATAAAATATATAAAGCAAAGTGGTCAGGTGCCCGATAGGGCACTTCCCGGCGCCGCAGGCGCGTCAAATTTGGCACGATGGTGCCTTGGGGCGATAGTACACGATGGCCGGTGACGGTTGGCCGGAAAGTCGAAAGAGGGGGTCAAAACTGACCTCGACTGACCGGCGCCTTATATGGGCTATATTACGAAAAAAAATTTCCTCCGACGACCCCCCTTGAAATTTTGTGAGGTGGTAGGAGAACACCGTGGGGTGTCACAAAAAACTCGGCATATCTGGGAAAACTTCGTAAAGGGGTCAAAACTGACCAGTCGTATTTCCCTATATAATCTTTGTATTTTATGTGAAAAACAGAGGGTCATTTCAACGCGGATTTTAGGGTACTTAAACTCAGTATATCTGGCTAATTTTTTGCATACTCTTAGGTAAATGGCTTGACCTTTAGGGAAAACTGTCGGTTTGACTCAAAGCCCTCGACGAGGGCTAAAAAGTGACCGCGAGTGAAATTCTCTTTATATGAGCTATATTACGAAAAAAATTTTCCTCCGACAACCTCCCTTGAAATTTTGTGAGGTGGTAGGAGAACACCGTGGGGTGTCACAAAAAACTCGGCATATCTGGGAAAAATCGGGAAGTGGGTCAAAACTGACCAGTCGTATTTCCCTATATAATCTTTGTATTTTATGGGGAAAACAGAGGGTCATTTCAAAACGGATTTTAGGGCACTTACCCTCTTTACATCTGGCTAATTTTTGGCATGCTTATAGGTAAATGGCTTGGCCGTAGGGCTGACCTGTCGGTTTCATTCAAAGCCATCGACGAGGGCTAAAACGTGACCGCGAGTGAAATTCTCTTTATATGAGCTATATTACGAAAAAAATTTTCCTCCGACGACCCCCCTTGAAATTTTGTGAGGTGGTAGGAGAACACCGTGGGGTGTCACAAAAAACTCGGCATATCTGGGAAAACTTCGTAAAGGGGTCAAAACTGACCAGTCGTATTTCCCTATATAATCTTTGTATTTTATGTGAAAAACAGAGGGTCATTTCAACGCGGATTTTAGGGTACTTAAACTCAGTATATCTGGCTAATTTTTTGCATACTCTTAGGTAAATGGCTTGACCTTTAGGGAAAACTGTCGGTTTGACTCAAAGCCCTCGACGAGGGCTAAAAAGTGACCGCGAGTGAAATTCTCTTTATATGAGCTATATTACGAAAAAAAATTTCCTCCGACGACCTCCCTTGAAATTTTGTGAGGTGGTAGGAGAACACCGTGGGGTGTCACAAAAAACTCGGCATGTCCTGGAAAAATCGGGAAATGGGTCAAAACTGACCAGTCGTATTTCCCTATAAAATCTTTGTATTTTATGGCAAAAACAGGGAAATTTTAACACAATTTTTAGGTTACTTAACGTCTGTACATCATGGTAAGTTTTTGCATACACTACTATAGATGACTAGGCCGTATGGAAAAACCGTTGGTCAGACTCAAAACCCTCGACGAGGGCTAAAAGATGATCGTGAGTGAAATTCTCCTTATATGAGATGTATATATATTAAAAAAATTGATGAACGATCCCCTTAATATACTATGACGTCGTAGACCGACCCTGGAGGGTAACAAAAAAACTTTATTCCCGTTGGAAACAGCCATTATAGTCGTTAAATATGTTCATATACCGTAATTTCTTATATAAGCATAGCAACTGTTTGTAAAAAAAAAAAGTAAACAGACATACGTCATACGTTCAGTTTTCAAGGGAGGTAACGTTTTTAAAATTATTATTTTTCAAATAATTGTATACTATTTTAAACAGAAACAGAAAATGACGAAGTATAGAATTTGTTTTAGTAGAAATTTGAGTTGTTAATTCAGTTACGTATCCTAATTAAATAAATTTATTAATTTTAAAAGGCAATGTAATATAAACTATGAGATATACTGTTCATTGAACCTTTGTAGTTCTAATTCCATTTTAGTTATAGATTGCGTACTTTCCAACTTTTCTCTGGGATTGGAATTTAAATGACAAACAAAAACACATTTTCTAAAGTTAGCATTACTGTTTAAATTAAAGCACTCCACACCCAATCCATCGCTAAATAATTAAGTATTCAAATTCTCAAATGTTTTTTAAAAACCTAAGCGAAGCTAGGCAGTATGCCTAGTTATAAAATAAAACTATTTTTAAATTTAATAAGCACCTCAGTTTATAGTGCTTAGTTAGATACTAATGTTGTTTTACTTGAACATTGTACCAGTTGGAAAATTAGTTAAATATTAGTAATGAATTAGTTAGGTTATTTCTTTGAGACTTAGTTAACATTTAATTAATTTAAAAAAAACTTACAATTTAATTATTAGTAATTTTATCAATAAAAATGTTTCAACATTGTATATGATGAATTAAGGACTGGGAGGGGGGCAAAAGATGTGTAAAAAGGTGGTGTGTTTGGGTGGGTAGCATGGTGAATGGGGAAGCTTTTGGTGTGCTAGGCAGGAAGGTTTAGGTGAGAGAGGAATATGTTGTAGCGTGGTGCGGAAGACAGTTTTCTAGTGGCTAACCAGTTGTTTAGGAGGATATAAAACTTTGTTGAGTCATTTATAGTAATAGCTTATAGTATAAAAAAACCATTTATGTGTGACAAAAGTTAGACAATTAAAAAATTGCCTTTTTTTTTAAGAGTTATACCCAGTACATTCCATTATCATTGTATGACTTACAAGTCTGGATGGGAAGTCCTTCAATCTACGTTTTTGACTGTTCAAATGCTGGCATCATTATAGACCTCTTTAGAACATTCACAGCTCAAAGAGAACAAGAGGCTGGAAGTGTAAGATCAATTTTCACTAAAAACAACTATGGGAAAAAATATTGAATTCATTTAAAAATAAATTTAATGTGTTTTTATGATGTTAGATTTTTTTTTATTTTGGAAATAAATAATTCTTTTGAATTTTTTAAAAGTGCATCCTTTTTGTTCAGTATAAATTGATATTTTTAATTAATTTTTTTTTCTAAGCCTTCAATATTTACATTTTTCAAAATCTTCTGAACAGACATCAACACCACTAAATGCTGAACAAAGCATACCATCAAGCATTAAAAATAGTATTCTTCTAGCTGCTTGTGGGTCTACTGAACACTTACCAATGAACCCTGACCTTCCTGCTGATCTTTTCACATCTTGTTTGACTACACCCATCAAAGTTGCATTGAGATGGTAGAACCAATTTTAATCTGTAAAATGTGTAATGAATATTTGAATAAATGTAATTTTATTTGCACTATGTGGTTATCATTGGTGATTTATGTGCTCAAATACCTCTGCTAATTATCCTTTTAAAATTACAGGTATGTTTTACAAAACAGAAGTCTTGTACCAGGATTAACTATGGAAATGGTTGATAAGTAAGTTTTGAGTATTGAATGCATTTATAAAAAATGAAGTATTGACCATTTTTTAAAATGTTAATGTAGTGACTTTTTGTTATATTAATACTTGACTTGATTTAGTCCTCTTTGCTCCTTATGGAACATAGGGCCTCCACCATTTCCTTCCATTTCTTCTGATCCCCGGCTATTAATTTTGTCATCTCCCAAGACATCCCTGTTGGCTTCAGTTAATATAAATACTGTTGTCCTTAATTTGCCTCTCAAGAATACCTGGCCAGCTGAGTGACAGAAGAACTATGCTGGGAGAGTTAAACTGGATTTTTACAGCTATTACTGATACTATAGCCTGGAATTCACTGCCACGAGGTACTATTGTTATTTTCTATTTTCTAAAAAAGTGTTTTTACTTCAAGGCACAAAACTCTGTGATCATATAATTCCCAGCAACTATTTTCTTTGTTTGTCACTTTTAATTTTTTTCCTCAGAATTGTTTCAGAAGCTTTTTAGACAAGATCTACTTGTTGCAAGTTTATTTAGAAACTTTCTACTTGCTGAGCGTATCATGAGATCATATAACTGCATACCTATTTCAAACCCTAAATTACCATCAACACATCAGCATACTATGTGGTAAGATGACAATAAAGCTTGTGAAGTTTTTGTAATTGAATTATTACATTCATAATTTCAACTTCATAAATGAATCCTTGATTTTCAGGCAAGCTTGGGACTTAGCTTTAGACCTTTGCTTGCAACAGCTGACTTTGAAACCATTGATGGCAGATGGGATGACATTTCTTCATAGTCCGTTCTTTGCAGAACAATTAACAGCATTTAAAGTTTGGTTAGATTTTGGTTCTGAGACCAGACGTCCACCAGAGCAATTACCAATTGTACTGCAGGTTGGATAGTGCAAACTATTGGAAATAAATATGTTTATAAAATATGTTCATAAAATATTCAAATGTTAAAGTTAAAAAAAATTCGACCATTTTCCATGAATTCTTGCAATTCTTACAACTTTACCATTTTTAATTTTAGGAAAGCTATGAATATAAAGTAAGGTGTCATTATTTAAGTGTACATAACAGTTGTAATTATACTAAATATTACGTTTGTATATGTAGGTGCTACTAAGTCAAGTCCACAGAGTGCGGGCCTTAGATTTGTTAGGAAAATTTCTTGATCTTGGTCATTGGGCTGTTAATTTGGTATGTAGTTTCCATTTTTATTTTAGTCGCCTCTTAACTTGTAAATATTTTTATCTTAGTATTATTATTGAAAGAAAATTATGTTTTTTTATTGAATAAATTTCAAATATTTTAAAAATGTTCTCATTTTTAGGCCCTGTCTGTAGGAATTTTCCCATATGTCTTAAAACTGCTTCAAAGTTCTGCTAAGGAATTAAGACCTCTACTTGTATTTATATGGGCTAAAATTTTAGCTGTTGACCCGGTAGGAATATTTTATTTGTTATGCATTTTGATGGAGAGGTTATAAGATGCTAAACTGTAATATGAATGCAAAATTAATAAGATTATTTCTACTTGAATAGAAAACAAGTTGATTTAATATCTATTGTATTTTAATAGAAATACATTTCTTTCTGTAAATAACCTGAATTTATTAGTTTATAGTTTTTTTTTAAACTTTAGATTAAACTTTAATTAATTTTTACTTTGCATGATTGATTATAAATTATTCCAACAAATTTTTAAAATGCCTAGCAATCCATTCTTTCTATAATAGTCTTGTCAGATAGATCTTGTGAAGGACAGTGGTCACAAATATTTTTTGGGTGTACTTTCAGAAACTTCAATGGCAGTAAGTAATTTTATTAATCATAATGAACAAAAATTATTATTTCTTCACAAAGTAATTTAGTATTTATTGATTATATTTTTGTTTTGTTTTTCAGGCTGAGCATAGAACAATGGCAGCTTTTGTCATGGCAATAATCATGAACAATTATGCTCCAGGAAGGGTATTTGATTTTATAGTCTTTTTAAAACTAAAGGCACTTTGTATTAACAATGACAGCCCTAACCTAATTTTAGCTCTGTATTCCCTCAGCCCAGCATACAATTTTATGATACATTCTCTTTTGATAATATTGCCTGGTCCACAAAATTTGTAGGGTTTTTAAGAAATGTTGAAACAACTATGTAGGCTATTTTATGATTTATTTTATGTCATTTAAAAAAAATTATATTAGAAGATATTTATTTTTTCTTAAAATATTCAGATAGAAATTTCAGATTTTTCTTTCTTTAGGAAGCTGCCCTGAAGGATAATACTATATCAATATGTCTTGAACAGCTGGGGGATGCTAATCCACATCTTCGACAGTGGTTAGCACTTTGTTTAGCAAAGGTATCAAATACTTTTAATACATGTTTTAGATAGTTATGTGACTTACATCTGGTGGTAGAATAATCTCTTAATTTTGTTGATGTCCTACCCAACAAGTTATCTTTAGCCATCTATAAACATAGTTGAGATCTTTAAAATGATTTATCAAACAAAACTGTGGTTCTCTACTTTACCCAGTTTATTGAAAAAACAATTAATGATCAAAATGTTTTTAAGATGTTTTTAAAATTCTAGGTATGGAGTAATTTTGATAATGCTCGCTGGTGTGGTGTTCGGGACCGTGCACATGAAAAGCTATCCAAGCTTCTCTCTGACCCTGAGCCTGAGGTTAGTCTAAATACATCATGTGCTGCTTTGTTGGGTTTAAGCATTAATACATAGAAAACTGTAAGCAGAAATTTAAATCCATTTTTTTTAGTGTGGTCATATATGTATTTGTATTTCAGGTGAGGGCAGCTGCAATATTTGCCCTAGGAACATTTGTGTCTAGAGCAGTAGATCGTACAGACCATTCAGTTGCGGTGGATGTAAACGTGGGAAATCTCCTTGTTGCTTGTATTACAGATGGTAGTCCATTGGTCAGAAAGGTGCGTTCACATTTATTAGGGTACCACTTTCTTGGTTGTTGTGGATTCATAAACTTTATGTTGCTTTGTGGGTTTGCAATCTTAGCAGATTAAAATTTGTGGGATTTCAATTAAATCAAAATATTAACAAATGAAGATTTTTCTATTTTAGAAAGGCACTTTAATAAAATGGCTACCAAGTTGTTCAAGTTCAATGCTTATCTAGCTTGCTGCATAGGCATGTGTAAATGGTACAATATCCACAAGCATTCATGTTTCTGATTATCAATATCAACAGCTAGCCTTGTGATATTGAACGTTCAGTTGAAGTCATTAGTCTCCACCCTACTTTTGGCTGATACTGAAACTTGTTAAAGGGATAATAAAGCTTGACCGATAGATAGTAATTATTTAACATGCTACCAGTAATAAGTTTTTAAAAAGTTAAAATACTGTATAAATATAGTACTTGTGATTACAAAAACTTTAATAAGGTATTGTACCATTAAATAACTAATGTTACAGTGACAATACAATCCTCATTCAATTCACTACACTAATGCATATTTCATAACAATAGCTTTTGCATGTAATGGTGGTTGCTTAAATGAGGGGTGTTTCTAGTAATGTAAACATTGTGTTGTTAGCCAATAACATAGGGTAGAGAGATGGGTTAACACATTTTTCTGCAAGGTCTCTTAGAATAGCAAAGGGTTTTTGTTATCAATAAATGAAAACTGTGTTGGGCCTATTGTGTTGCACCATTAAATGACTGTTTTGAACATGTAAGTCTAGAAAAGTAATAAAATTATTGTCAATTAGTTGAAAATGTATAAATTTCAGAGTTATTTACATCTATTGGTTTTAGATTTTGTAAAATTTGGGACATTGAATTTTATTTAATTTAAAAATGAGCAGAACCTGGTCCATTTATCTTTGATTCTTCAGTAATTGTTTCTAAATCTGTGGATATTTTCTATTCATGCTTACTTTACTCTCCCTTTTTTAAACAAAAAATAATTCACAGCTATCTTAAATTAACAAATTTTCATAAAATACAATTATTTCTTTTTGTCAGGAGCTCGTTGTGGCCTTTGGTGGGTATGTTTCAGTATACCTCTCACATTTTGTGAACATTGTGAAAAAAATACAAGAAGAAGAGGAAAAAGGAAAAGAAAGAATGGTCATGTCTCTGGATGCAGCTAATATGTTTTCTCACAAAGAATCAAGACCAGGTAAATAACAAGTTTTTTTTTAACAATCTTTCAGATGACATTAAAATTTATATTTAACAATTTATTTGAATTCTGAATTTTTAAAAATTGTTTTTAAAATTTTGGTTGATCTGGTGCCTTCTTCTGCACTTAAAAAGGATGAAATATCAGGATATCTTGAATTTTTGTTTGTTTTATATGACCCTAATTTTTTTTTACCTCTTAGGTTTGTACTAAAAACAATCCCTATCTTTAACTCCTTTATTATTGCTCAAATGTTAATGTAAATATTTTTATTGGACAGGAAAGGAAACATAATTTGTTACAAATTGTATACAATTTAAATTTTCTGAATAATTATTTACTGTTTGGTATACATGTACATGATAAAAATATTGTTTCTACTTGAGAAATATTAAATGAATTTTGTTACATATATTTATTATTTTATTATTTAACATGTAGTTAATACACATAGGCTTCTTTGTTAAAGCCTGACTGGTGTATGATTTTTTTTTCTAACTATTCACTTAGTTGAAATGAAAAACTGTATGCTTAGATCTAAAAAATATCAATATCATGAACTTTGTTTTAAAAAAAATATATAAATAATTATTAATGTTTCTATGAAAAAAAGTATATTTTACTTGGTTTTAACTACTAACCTGTTAAGGAAAGGATTACTTAAGCTATCATTTCAAAATAAAATATCAGTGCCTCAAGAAAAAGAAATGATTTGAAGAACAATCCAGCTATATTGATATAAGGGTTTCAAGCACTGTGAATATTTTTTTAGATGTTTCCCCCCAAGTATTGATTTTCCCTTTTTCAGACAGCTTTGCAAGTGGTGGGATGAAGAGAAGTCATTCACGTGGCAGCTTTAAGAGTTTAACCACTTGTAAGGCAAAGCTAACTTGCTTTTTTTTCATTTATCATCGTAAACAGAGTACAAGTAATATGGATTTGTGTATCTGCCATATTGCTGCTACATGAAATTCCTACATTGAATAGTTTCTTTTGGCAGTACTTTGGCTAAGACAGTGTTTCATGCACCCAGTTTTTACCTGATTCTTGTGACCAGTACCACCCAAAGAGTCTTATTCATTTCTGCTTAACAGCAAATTTAAATGCTCCATTGCTTGCTTTTTCATATTACCTGCTAAAACCCTTTGCATTCCCTCCCATTTCATCCATCTCACATCAGTCTTCTTGTTCACTCATATTCTATTTTTAAGTAATTTGAATAATTTTAAAACAATTAAGACACTCAGTAATTTTGTTCTAACTTGGTAGGCTAAAGTTTTTATTTGAACAAGGCTTGCTTATAAGTTAAATTTTAAATTTTACTGTTCTTGTAATCTAACTATAAAACTTTACCCTATATGCAAAACTACCTTGTAGCGGATAGATACTGCATGCTTCGTGGTGAGCCTTAGTGTTGTGGTGCATTTCAGCAAATGCATAAATGTTTTAGGATGTTTTCTTTCATTTCTTTTGCCTGCCTGAAATGTACTTTGTTTACAAGTAGCACTCGTTTGGAACAACTGCACAAAATATTTACACACTAACATGTGTGCAACAAGTCTCTATTTAGGAGATGACATAACCTATGTACCAATCCACAAGCAAAAATAATATTACTACTAGTACACAATATAAGTTTAAAAAATTTAAAATGAGAGGCTTTATATTCTTCTTAAATGGACCAGAACTGTTACAGATAAAAGATGGATGACGTGAAGTACTGATAGCTCATCAAACATTATATTACAAGTGAAATTATAAAGACAATAACATAGAAAAAATATTAGTTTTCTGTGGTTGCTACATTTTAGAATTTAAAAAAAAGTATTAATGTGAGCTACATTTTAGGATTTAAAAAAAAAGTATTAATGTGATATTAACATATAATTATTTGTTGAAAAGTTTTAGTGCTTTAGTATGATGAACTTTCATAAAATGGTGTGTTTTTTTAAAATATGCATGTATAATTTAGATTTAAGGGTTTTTTCTAGTAATTTATGACGGATCTTTATATTTATTTAAATTTAATTTTCTTCAGAAGAATCTTTTTAGGTTCTTTGGTATATATTCTATAAATTGTTTTTTATAATAATATTTGTGATAATAACTTCCTACTTGCTAAAACATTTGCTTCAATGCAAGTACAGGTGTATTTGGTGTTTATATTTTTCTATGAATGCTTTGCTAATAAAAATGTTTGAGATTTTAGTCTATATATAATTCTATTTAAGTTTTATTAAGCATTTTCTTTTTTAGTAAAATGTGATTCTTGTATGATATAAAAAAGTGTACTTTTTAAAATTTGGCTTATATATTGATAGGATTACTATTTTTTTCAAAAGTATATGTTTTTTATTTTTAAAACCTTATTTTAATTATGTTTAAGTATAAATACATAAATGCAATCAAGATATTCTAATTAGGCAAAAATGTTTTAAAATACAAATCAAATTTGTATTTTGTTCGCTCCATTTTACAGCTGTGTGTGTTTTTATGAGACACAGTTGTTTGCAGTGGGTTAATCAAATGCCTACACTTAATTGGTTTCGTTAATTTTTTAAACAAGATTTTTCTTTACGGATTTCACAAAAAAAAACCTTAAAAAATAAAGATTTTACAAAGAAATAATATATCATGAAGAGATTTCTCCTTTTAGGATCTATATGTGTGATTCTTTCAGGTTTTAAGATTTTGTTTTCTACCCTTTTCATTAGCTGCCTCTAGCCATCAGCTGTCAAGCATGGCTTCTTCAGCCAGCTCAGACAACCTGAGTGATGAACGTCTAATGATTCGACGCGTATCTTCAGGAGCTTCTATTGCTGGCCAAACTTTTGTCACTGTCTATTCATCAATGTGGCAAGCACTAAATGAATTAGCTGCTGATCCTCACTTAGAAGTGGCAGCCATGTCTCGAAGCATTATCACTGCTGTTAAAAAAAAGGTTTGTGCATTGTTGAAAAGTTCTAATTTTGATTTTTATTAATCTAATAATTTATTTTTGCTGTGATGTTTATGCTACTGATGTAAAATTAATGTTTTCTGTTAATTTTAAAAATGTATAAACTAAATAATGCTGAATTAAAAAAAAATTCCCTACATTTAAACTACCCTAGCCAGCTTTTAATTAGATCATTCTCTACTGCTAAAAGAAGTCTCGATACATATTTATTTTTTCTACCATTATTTATTCTATAATGTAATAAATTAAATTTCAGGCTCTAACTACTGCACGACCAAGACAAGTTGTACAAGCTGTAGTGTCCCAGAATAACCATACTTTGTCATCTAGTCCCTCCAGACCTGCTAATATGCCTTTTGGGTATGGATATTTTGATCACAATGAACATACATCCAATAAAAAAATATTATATTTATCAATATATACCATAATTTATGTTAAAAGTCTGTTAAACTTTTAATCAGTTGAAACATTTCTCCAAATATTTATTAGCACACCCCCACAGAACATGCTAAGTCCTGGTAGTGCTCAGTATTCTTTTGGTCAATCTACAAGAAAAGTGTTGGACAAGACAAGCCCTATGGTATTGGTATAATAAGTACATTAATGTTATGGAGGTTAAAGTAGACTGGGCAAGGCTAGACACATTTTCAATATTAATGAAGAATAAGCTAAATCAATTTGCTAAATGAGATAACATACATTGATTTAAGTCTTAGGAACGCTATGATAAAAAATAAATCACTTTTGTGATTAAAGCTAACAGTTGACATATATTTTTCTCTTTTGTGCCCATAACAGTTGACAAACCACTCATTATTTAATATGTGGTGTTTTTTTTTTTCAAAATATTATGTGGTCGAATTCCCAGGAATCTTCTTTATTTTAGTCAACCATAGTGGCTATCACATCTATGTAAATTTAGCAATAGCTAATTGTTTTTATATGTAAGTACTTAAATACCATTTTTAAAAAAGCATTAAAACTGTTATTCTAGCCTGATGAAGCCAAAGAAGAAGATAATGCTCCAATCTCAGAGAAGGTGACAACACAGTTTTTTGACTGGAGCTGCAAATACTTTGCTGAGCCTTTTATGTGTCTGAAAGATTATCAAGATCCAGAAAGTTCAAGCTATCACCAGAGAGAATACAGGTTCCTAAGAAATGCCAGAGTTAGATCTGTAGGACGAGATCAACTGAGAGCAGGTAAACTGCACTAGTTTTACTTGATTGTGTTTAGTTGATGGAAATAGTTATGTTTTAATTGGTATTGTTCTGGGTAATTTCTTAATCACTCTAAATTCATTAGTTTCTGTGGTGAAAATTGTCTGCTAATTATAATTTTTAAATATAAAACTTTATCATTTTCATGTTAGGTGTCTCAAGGCTTGATGATCAGATGTTTGTGAACAGGGTAGGCGCTGTTCCAACTGCTATCAAATTCCATCCATATGAAAACTTCCTAGCAGTAGCTGATAGCTATAATGTATCGTAAGTCTTCAGTTGTTTTTACAATTTCAATTTAACTTCTAAATAATGACATTATTAAGGAGTTTCCCTTATTTTTAAATCTACACCCCCTCCTTTATTATCCTTTACTTTTACAAGAGATGGTATTACTTTCATACCTACACTAAAAATTTGGAGTAGGACATATACACTCCATTTTATGGTTGGTTTAACTTTTAAATACATAATTCTGGCCAAAATTTTGCTATGACTGTATGAATGATAGGTACTTGGGTATTTGTGTCAATTTCAGACCCCCCCAAACATTTAAAAATGGCTTCAATAATGCTAGTAAGTCGGAACAAAGTGCAGCAAGTTCAAAATATTACGTGGCTCACATTTGGAACATACACAGCTACCTTATACCCACTAGGGCATTAAAGACTGTCATGGAAAATTAATGACAAGCTACAATTGCTGCTGACCATCCAAAGATTTAATCCATTATAAATCTCATCCATTGAAAGCAGTGTTTCTAACTTGGTGTCTTAGTCCAGATCTTAATATAATATTGTAACTGAACATAATTGTTTTCTTTATTTCCCTTCAGTTTTTGGGACCTGGAGCAAGGAACTAAAATATCAGATATACCCAATCCAGCTGCTGTGGACAGGGTCACACAACCATTAATACGTGTTAGTCGCATCACATCAATAGATTTCATGAATGCTCATGATCAAGCATTATTCATGTTTTGTACAGGTAATTCTTTAACCAGAATTTATAAAATAGTATTTGTTCAAAAGTAAAAGCCTGAAAATTTAATTAAATTTTTTTACAACAACACAAATACAAACTTCACAATCCCAAGACTTTGCAAGACCCAAACTAAAACTAAACTAGTTTAACGAAACTAGGATCTTATTAAAGCAACATTCCATCTACTTTGAAACAAAACTTTCCAATTTTAGAAATATGGTTGCATAATACAACTATTACACAACAAAAATCCCCAGTGTTAATATTTTCGGATACTGTACTTTTTTTTTACCACCATACGTGAGATGAGAAAAATTACATGAATTAGATATTTATTGAGAGAGAAAACTCAATTACAAGTTATATGGTCACCATGTAAATATTTACATTTTTTATAACTAAGACATTCTAAATTGATAAAGCTTTATTAAAATGTTCATAAATCCGCAGATGATGGTGCAATAAGAATTTATAGAAATTTTCTCTCACCTTATGATGCAGACAAAGAATTAGTCACAGCATTTAAAGGTCTTTCAGAATTGGTGCCATCAGAAAGAGGTAGAGTGGGAAATTCTGTTAGTCTTAGTAAGAAGATAATATTTAACTTAGTAGTGACTGCATAAATCTATGACCTGAATGAAAAAATGTTCGCTTGTCACATTCATCACACAACTATTTATTAATGTACCAAAGCTCAGTATTGAGTTAAGAAAATGTGTTAGTAAAAACACAAGTTAAATCATTTTTGCAGGTTCTGGTTTGGTGACTGAGTGGGAGCAAGAAACATCTACATTAATTACTTCAGGAAATGCAAGAATTATACGTTTGTGGGATATGCAAAAGGAGAAGAAATTAAGTGTAAGTGTAGGCCTACTGACACTATTATGCAAATATAGTTTTTTTTAACTGATTTTTTTGTAATAATAACAAATGTCAATATAGATAGTATTAAACATTAAAGATAAGAATGTTAAATAACTAGTTAGACAGTTAAAATGAAAACATTCTGCATGGAGAATACAATGCAGTTTAGATTTTAAAAAAGGGCCAAACATACAAACACTTTAATATATAAGTTTTGCTTCATTGATACTGAGTTTAATTAAATACTGTGTTTTGAATCATATTAACTGTTAATACATTTTTATTTATTTGTTGACCATCTACTTGTGTCAAATAATAAATTATATTTATATAAAATACTTAATTGTATGTATTTACTCTCTAAAATATTAGGATATCAGTACAGGAGCAGAAAGCTGTGTTACTAGCTTAGCCTCTGATCCTCTAGGAAAGTCTCTGTTAATAGCTGGGTGTGGAGATGGATCTGTAAGACTTTTTGATAGAAGACTGAATCCAGCAGAGTGGTTAGTACATATAAAATTTAAAAACAATGGGATAGATACACTGATTGCAGTTTAAATGAACTTTCAATTGTACTATTTCTGTTTTTTCAATAAGTGTTTTTTATAAGTAACTAGACCTATTTGTTCGTCACCCATCTACCCATTTGTGTTCATTTGCTTCAGCCGTGTCATGACATTAAAGGAGCACAACTCTTGGGTCCTTAAAGTTCATTTACAGAGAGGGTCCGAGGGTAAAATTGTTAGCGCTTGGTAAGTTATTTTTTGAAAAATTATTTTTAAATATTCATATTATCAGAATAAAACTCCACTGTTAATTATTCATTTTTATTTTAAATACTATTTCTTCAGTTGTGATGGAGATATACGGTTCTGGGATCCTAGATTTACAGACTCTGTCCGTGTGTATAATACACCCACATCATTATCTTCTGTAGATATACATCCGAGAGCAGATATCATAGCATGGTAAAAAAATTTGTACCTGTATTATTTGAAAAGTTATAGCTCTGATTTTTCTTAAAAGTTAATCTTTGATGTCTTTTTTAATTTCTTTATAACAGAAATGTACCTTTTCCACTTTTTTATGAAAATCGTTTTTTTATTGTGAGAAAAATTGTCAGCTGAAAAAATCATTTTTCTGACCGATTTTCAACTTTTAAAAGTGAGACACTCTTCTGCTGATTAATCTTTCCTGTTTTCTTTTACTGATAATGAGAAAGATGGGAGAATTTATTTGAAAACTCATTTAATGGTATGGAAATTGGGGAATGTGTACAATTTCCAAATATTTTCACTTATCATGTTTCCATTATTCAAACTACGTTATCAGCTACCTATGGTAAGCTCATGGCGAGGCCTACAATGAACTTAATTCTACTGTGTAGTTATTTTCATATTTAATTTTAACAAGGACATTTGTAGTTGGTTCACGGTTAAAATAAACTAGATTGTCGAAAGTTTTACACATTTAGGAGGCATCTAAAAGTATGGGAGTTAACAAAATAATAAGATAACTATAATTTGGTAACTACAATATATAACCACACCCTGTTGTTTTTAAATTAGCATTTCAATTATTCTAAAAATGTCCTTGAAATGTCTTTCACCTTAAATAAAATTGCTTACAATACCTTTTTCTAGGTGGTCAGTTACATGTCATTGGCCTACAGCGTTTTTCAGCTTTTGCCAACAAATTTACTTTGATAATATTTCTTTTTTTTTTTTTAACCAATTGTTTATTCAACAGTGGATCTACCAATCAGTGCATGACAGCATACAGTCCTAATGGAACAGTTCTAAGTACTGTAAAATACCATGAGGGATTTTTAGGACAAAGAATAGGGAATGCAAGTTGCATGTCATTTCATCCTTACCAGGTATATTCATTTTTCAAATTATTCTTTTTATATCTTAAATAACAATTGATAAAGTTATATGTAGTTAGAGTTCTCATTTAAAAAGCCTGAATGTATATTCAAACTAATAAATAAAAATTTAACAATCTTTAAACATTATTGGAAACCTTTAAAGATACTCAGTTATCTAATGCAGTTTGGATGTTAAATATTTTTCGTTATTAATTTCTTAAGATAATAACTGTATCTGTTAACTTAGAAAAGGTTCATGCCATGTCCTTACAAAATTAGCTTCAAATTAAATTTCAGTTTTTTAAATTTATCATGTTTTATTTTCATTCGTTTAAATTATGATTGTTATAATTAAGACCAATTCTCGTTACAGATAAAACTTGCAACTGGTAGTGCTGATTGTTTTGTTTCTATATACACTACAGCACGAAATGTTCCTCCTCCTTAACACACAAAATGTTCCTTCTCCGTAATACAAGCATTTGTCAAAAATGTTCTTCATGCAGTGGACTTTTGAAACTGCTAGAGAGTCTTGTGTTATAATAATGAGTTCATGTATAAAGAAGTTTAGCTAAATTATAGTTGCTAATAAAGAATTAATTCATAATTAATGTTACCAATCTTGTAAACCAGAAGTTTTTAAAGAATACTTCAGCTATTCATTAAGTGATAGCAGTTTTTTTAATTTTTAGTTTTTTTTGCTAGAAATTTCAATACAGCACTTGGTGTGCAAATTGTGTTTAGGAATGTATGTAACATTTTTAATACAAAATATGTTATACAATTTAAACAAATGATTTTTCAATTCTGTTCCTGTTATTATGAATACAGGTATTTTTAAAACAGTTCACCTGTAAATGTTTTATTTTGTTAACATCAGAAAACTATTAACCTGGTAAATTCATATCATATCTGTAAATAGAAATGTGTAATATTTGAGTTATTTTGTTTCTGCGGTAATTATCTTCTGACTTAGTTTTTGAATAATAATCTGTCTGTATGATGTCTGAAGATTATTGTTGTGTATTTCCAAAAAGATTTTGTTAACTAATTGTAATGATTTATTAGTATTAGATAAAGTGATGACATGTTTCTATACAAAAAGTTTATTCTCACACACACATAATTTAATTATTTCATTATCCTAATATAATTGAATTTTTATATTGTGAAAGTAGCCTACTTAAAAATTATTAGCACTTTGATACGTAACTTTTTAATATGCATATTATGTTATCAAGTACATTTTCTTTGAAAACTGTTGCAAGTTCCACACATTTGAAGTCCACATTTATAATTCTTTGAAAGACAGATTTCACAACTTCTTAAGCTTTCTCCTTTACACCACCTTTAAAAATGTATATTCTTGAGATATTCAACTTGCATTTCCTAGTACCCTTAGTAGGTTGAGATATCAAAGGTAGTGCTGCTAAAAAGTTTGTTTTAATTAAATTCTCATTATTTCTAAGTGTAATTAACTACTATGCACATGAAAAAAGTAATTGCACAATGAATTAAGTTTAATATTACTTAATCAATAAAAATGTTATAGTTAATATTATGGTTGACACAGTATTACTACTATAATTTATAGAACATGATAAGAATGGTTGAACATTGTCTTGTGCATATAATATATTGTTATTTTTTTATATGTACTGATTAGATGCATTAATGCAAAGAAAAAAGTTTGTGAATGAATTCCCATTTGTGATTCATTTTTTTATTTTTACTAGGTCTTCTTTTAGAGCTGCATATTGAAACTATATATTTTATAATCTAAACCATTTTCAATTAAAGTAGCTACTTTCTAAAGTATTAGGCAACCCAGCATCAATATGCCACCTATTAGTATAAGTCACATAATGTTTAGATTGTTAAAATTATTTCATTACTTTGATGAATAACATATTTAACATCTGCTTTTAAAATTAAAGGTAAAATAGTGTACTTTAATTTGATTAGATTTTAATGTAAAAAAGTAATGTTTGCATTATTACTATTGAAAATCCTTGAAATGTAATGCTTGTATGCATAGTAATCCATTTTTACCATAATATAATGTGCAATTCCACCTAATAGAAAATAACAGTTATTTTAGTTTGAATGTATTGCATTCTTTTTTTTTTAAGATTTATTATTAATTTCAATCAATAGAGATATAAATAATTTTTTGTATATTTTTAAAATCAAAGACATAATTTTTAAGAAACTAAGTTAAATTCTACTTTCACAACAAAATTACTAATTTAATGATCTAGGTTAATTCTTTCCCTGTTTCAGGCTTACCTTATGTTGAAAAAGAAAAGATTTTTTTTTTAACCAAGCATATAACAAACTCAAATTCTGAAACCTGCTTGTAGCAGAAGATTTATTTTATAGAAATTAAAAGAATTAAACATTTTTTTAGCATAATTGACTGTAAACATACATTGGTACAAATATTGCTGTGTATTTTTCCCTACACCTTTTGATATATCATTGATGTTTGAACTTCTATTGTAATTTTGTATTTGATTAACCAAAAAGGTGCAGTTTTTAATCATAATAAATTAGATACACTAATGCAGACATTAAAAAATATTTGTAAAATTACTTTGAAATTACATTTAAGCTAATTAATTTTGTTACTTTTTTCAATGTAGTTTGAAAATCATAAATCACTGTATACTGCTCTTTATATTTTTAAGCATTTTGCTTAACAATAATTTATTAAATGAAATTGGTTAGTTTACTCTAGGGTTTCAATAGTTGGTTTATAAATGTGCTGGCATAAATAGAGAAGAATTTATGAGATTTTGAGGATCATATTATTGACCTCTGTTTTATTTTTTATTTTTTTTTATTTTTTAGTCAATAGTCATGCATGATAAGCATACTGCCATTCACTTGTATTTTATTCTCTAGGTTGTAAAATTAAAAACTGTGATATTCTGCCAGTTAGTCTTTCAAAATCATCACAATATGTCCTCAAAAAGTTTATGTAGTTAACACCTGGTTTAAGTATCTTCAGTGTCTTAACCATGTGTTTTGTCATGACATAATTATTGTAAATCCAAAATTTGTTGTAGAAAAGTCTTTAAATATCCAATCAGATATCAAATAAAATTTTGAGTGTTGATGAGTTTAGCCTAAAGCAAGAGTTAGAACAAGAACACCATTATAGTTTCATATACCAAAAAGCTTATGGTGAAATCTGAAGATATGTATAGAGATAGTAAATAACAATGGGAATTTCATCTGTCATTGTAAATTAAAAGAAAAACAAAGTGTTAAAAAACTAATTTTCTTATTTATGTTTTTAAAATTCCTACAAAAACTGGCAAACATTGCTGTAAGCTGTATCATGTTTTATAAGATATTTATAAGTGGTAACTGTTCTAATTTGCTACTTTTTACATAATTTATATTGTTTCTGCTAACAGAAATATATAAATCTGTTCCATTCAATTATGTATTGTTTGTATTTGCTGTGAGTTGTTTTGTAAGTCTTATTTTCTAATTATAATTGTGTCATGTAGATATACAGAATATGGAGAAAAAAATTCATTGATTTGCTAATTTTCTAAGCATTCAATTAGATAATCTAAAATTATTAACTAATGTAATTTTTTCAGAAGTCACTTTTATTCAAAGCTTAGATCTACTAGGTTTCTTTTAAACTAAAAAATCAAGGTTTTTTTCTTTAAAAAAAAAACTACACAAAAATTAAACCAAATTCCTAGGAATCTGTCTATTTCAATTAACTCAGTTATAGTGAACTTTTACTTTAAATATGAATCTAAAGAATCAAAATGTATATATTCTTTGCTTTAAAAAAGCTTAGATAATTGTAATTTTAAACAATTTCAAGACAAAACAATCATGCTGGGTTTTGAATGTTAAAAAACTACTTTGAAAAAAGAGTATCAACATCATAGCTTACTTATTAAATCATAAACATACAAATGAAACTTGGTTGGTAAAATTATATTGTACTATAATCTCCCTTAATAAGATCAGATTTTATTCCAAAAGCACATCACTCTGATTTACTATTTTGATTTTTCTGCATATCGGTAAATGAAATACTTAAGAATAATTTGTATGCTTCATTACTGATTGTGTTAATGACTATCAATGCATTCTAGAAGCAACAAATTTTTCAAAAAGTTAACTATTGGCCTTTTTCTGTACTATTAACTTTATTTTAACATTATTTTTTTTATGGGCAGAATGTAACAAGACTTCATTGTCTAAAGCCGTGTGCTCAGGAATTATATTTTGTTTTATAACCACTAGATAAGCATTTTCAATTGACATTGTTAATGTACTACAGACTTTGTTTCTGGGATATGCTGTATGACTTTTTTTTTTATAATTGTGCATTTATTATACCAAGAAATGTAAAAGATTTAAATAAACAATGCAAGTTTAAATAAAAAACATGATTTCCTTTTGCTTGGCACTTAATTATTTATCTACTTTATTCCTTTTTAGACCTCATAGTAGTATCACTTTAAAAAAAAATTAGCAACCCCCACCCCCACACACAGTTACATTCACACCCACACACAATCACACACACACAAGTAAAAAAAAAGCTTTCATTTTTTTGCCAGATTGGATAAAAATTATTGATTTAATTATTTTTTAACATGCTTACTTTTATCTAAAGCTACCCGTCTTGCGTGTAAACTAGATCTATATCTATTTTGCAAATCCATCAACTCGCAAAATATTTGAGCCATTGTTGGCCTAGGTTTGTAATTAAATCTAAACTTACTTGAAATTCCACCAAAAATTGGTACCTGGCCAACTTAGCGGCGGTGTCCACTCATTCATTATTATTATGATTATACATTTGTGTCACTAAGCTCAGATACAAATATCTAGATTCTAGATCATATAGTGACTTACAGACTCTTAATTCTACCAACGAAAATCGTATTCGATCAAGACTATTGTAATTAAAAATTAAATTATTAAGAGCTGTTTATAATGGCTGGATCGGAGGGAATGCAAAAAATGCTTCCAGAAGCTCATCAAAAGAGAAAACATCCTTTGCATCCACTATGCGCTAGAACTGCTTTTAGCTGCAATAAATTATTTTTATTCATTTACGCTTTGCTCTTTTTGGTAGGTTATATATAGGTTATATACTCACTGATTCATATTTTCTTTATATTATTTAGGCCTAGATTCTAATCATCTATTATTGTATATTGTTAAGCCTTTCCTTAACTACTTATAAAATTATAAATGTAACTACTAACTATATGAATATGATTTAAATTTAGTATTTAGTCTTAAGATCTAGATCTACGATTGATTGATTTTTATGGTAATTTATGCCATGCATATTCATTACTAGATCTATATTCATAGAATCTTTCAATCTAGAATGGGGTCATCCATAAATGTCAAATGACCTCACACTTTTTTTGACGATTTTTAACCCCCCCCCCCCCTCCGTCTCACATCGTCACAAAAAGCCAAATTCCCCCCCCCCCCAAATGACATAACATCTCAGCCTTCAACCCCCCCCCCCCCCCCCCCCAAAAAAAAAAAAACTGCAGTTGAATTTTTCTTAAAACATGATATTTTTCCAAAATCTTGTCTGAACTCTGTCAACTTAGAGTTGTACACATAAGCAATATATGTTATTAAATTTGTATAGGCCTATATTGGAAGTAAATCATGAGACACATGAAATTTTTATGGACGTCCACTTCTGGGTTTGGGTGGTGGCAGGGTGGTATGTTCCTCCAGATACGTGTATACAGGATGAGCTACATCCAACCCACTGGATATTACTATTATTTTTAAATTAAATAAAATATTATGCATATATACATACAAATTGCCAGCTGCCACCATCCTTCTCTCACCTACCATCCCTCCATTAAACCCAACAATCCTCTACCTTCCCATTTGATCCTGAGGCTGCCACCTTCTTTGCTACCATCAGCTCAAAACATCTGAGCCTTATAAATGCCTTTAATGACCTCAATGCTCATCTAAATGTACTAAAAATTTCACTCACTATCAGAGTTTCTTCCAGGCATCTCAATTTACCCTCCCCCCCCCCGAACAAAATTAAATTTATATAATTTATTAACAGTGTCCGCCCCCCGCCCCCCCCCTCCCAAAATTTTCAAGTTCCCCCCCCCCCCCTGGAAGAAACACTGCTCATTATGATTGCTAGATATTTTCATTAATTTTTTTTACTGAAAATAACCAGTTGCAAGAAAAGAAATAATTTAAAGTATTGTGTAATTAATTGTTTATGTTTAGTAAAAGCTATGTAACCTTAGTTTTCCAATACTAGTTGCATCATTTACCTGAATAATGAATAACGTGACAAAAAAAGATTTATTCCCTGAAAAATATTTAATATCAAATTTAAACATATTTTATGGTCCGATTCATAAATCGAGATCACACTTTAGTTTTTTTCTTCAAGTTAAATAATTTGTAACGCTGGTCACTTGCAATCCATCAGCATAAAAAAAATTAATGACGTGGACATATAAAAGGGATAGTGTGGTGAGTTCATTGCCCCATTTGTCTTGATTCTGGTATCCATATTCAAGACTTTTGGGTTAGCAGTCATATGCTCAGTCAATGTATTTCTCTATTTATTTATTTGCTAGCAGCAACCATGCTATTTGCTGGCCCAGGGCGGGACTGCTTTGCTTTTAAGAAATTATAACGAATTAAAATATCATTGTGTATGTTTACATTTTTCAAGCATTAATTTGATTAATATCCATATTAGAAAATGTAAAATTAGTATTTGCATCTTATTATTATTTTGTATACTTTAGTTTGTAGGCATAATCTTGATAGCTATTGGAGTACTGGTAGAACTCCACAGGGATAGAATTGAACCAGTCAACAACCGATTAGCTGTACCCACAGCCCTTCTGATAGTAGTTGGTCTAGTCATCACAATCAATGCTCTATGTGGAATGGTTGGCACAATCATGGAGAAACCTTTTCTCCTCAAACTGGTATGTTATTGATTTAGAACTAACTTTCTTTTGTAAACAACTATAATATTAAATATTGCTAATATTAACTCTAAAATATCTTGTTAGCTCACACGGATTAATTATTATTTAAATTGTGAGTCTATAAATGCCTAATATATGATCTAAAAAGATGATTGATTGAACTTTATGTGCAGTCTTAAAAGATGGCAGGACATTATCAAATTAATCTCTTGTTTTGTTTTTTTCAGTTCCTTGTTACTACTGTGCTATGTTTCCTGGTTCAGATAGCAATAGGGATTATTGCTTTCATTTACAGAGAACAGGTAAGTGGACTTGAGTTTAATAACAAAGTCAGAGTTTTGTCACTTCCACTGTTTACAAAAACTCTGCTGTAGCATTAGACAAACTGTATCAGTGGTACCTTGAGATACATATTTAATTATTTCCAATGCCTGTTTCATATGCCTATTTCCTCCTGTCTGGAAGCAATTTTCTCCAAAGCAATTAATTTAAATGCCATTAATCTATTTTTAAAAAGCCACCCTTGTTGTTATTGTAATGTAAGAAAAATATACTTATTAAAAAACAAATATTGTATGGAAACATAATAAAAGACATTGTAATGAAAGTGGTATATACTTTCTAAAATTTTACTAATCTGGACCTTATACACCTCCCTTAGTTGGAAAAACATTATTTTTCAATTTTGTCTGTATGTCTGTGTGCGTGGTTGTGTGTCTGTGAACATGCAATTTCATATATAAGTGTTATATCAAATTTTTAGTTCTGTATCAACGTCTCAGCGATATCTGATAACACGAAGTGGTACTCATTCTACTGTTGGTTTTTTTTCAAAAGCCTATAACTTGAGTACTGTTTCATACAGATAGACAAAATTTCACAAATAAGTAGATATAATTCTCTGCCTTCTTTAAAATTTTGAGTAATTTCCGTTCACCTGAAGTAGTACTTTATGCTATTTTTGATTTCTCAAAAAATGCATGAGTTTAGAAAGTACTAAAATTCCACACTATTATACACACATTGTTTGCCGTTCACTTGGTACACAATACTTTTTCCTACAAGATTCTATTCTATTTTAAAAAGTTTAAGTAATTAAAAATCGATTAAAAATCATGTCTATATCCTGAGTTGCCATCCCCCATAGTGTTATGTAAGTATATTTGAGAAAGTTTACGGCAGATCACTCCCGCTTTAGTTGCCACACTGTCCTTACAGTAACCCACAAGTTGTCTAAAAAATAACTCAAATTTCCTTATATTTTAAACTTTTCTGGTATTTCAAAGCTTGCTCAACAACTTGTATCTAAGATCTAATATGTTTGGACACTTGTATATCAAGGAACGACTGCTCATAGAAAAATAGATGATCTAATTAAGATCTTTAAATTAAATCAGTTCTATTTCATTTATTTTTAATTATGCAAGATGCTTTTTTTTTAGAGAGATCTTAGTTGTATTGCACTAGATACCTATGTAACCCATTCTAGGGAAATTATTGTAACCATATTCTAAATATACCCTACATGTCCTGTTATTAATAGCTAATGCTATGTGATTGAAGTTTTTTTAAATAAACTGGTCACAAAACATATGATTTAGATCTAGATATAATTACTTCTATTATAAATTTTAAAATGTACAGCAGAAATTTGCTTTACTTTATGAAATTAAACATGTGTTTCGTCGTCGTCCCCCCATCAAATATTCTGAGAGGTCTGCGTGGTTGGGTCGGCTAAGCTCATAGTTGCCGATAAATCCCGAGTTCAAACCCCTGGGCAGATGGGGCTCTATAGCGGGGACAGCCATTCATCTAGGAGAGACAACTCTAAAATCAAACAACTGCTGCCTTGTATTTTGTTCTTGGTTGGACAAAGACTATGGAATCAAATCCAAATAGAAAAGCAGGCTGAAATCGGAGTCAACGGCCTATATAGTGCATAGCCAGTTGACACGTAATAACTTAATTATGTTGTAGGGATTCTCTTCCAACACTAAAAATTAAGAATGAAGAAGAAGAAATATTCTGAGTCCCTGTTATCCTGTAATTATATGTAAATTACATACTTGTATTGTACATGTTTGAATTGCAAAACTAAAAAAAGTAATTCATCCTCTTGATTTGAAATTAGTTCTAACAGCAAATTATAGTTTCTTGTTTCATTCCATTCTGATTTCAAATGGTTTGTGTATCCAGTTATTAATAGAGCGTAAGGTGTTTGAAAAAAGGAGGGATGTAAGCAGAATTTCAAAAGGTGTCACTGCTGAAACTGCCCCATAAAATCTAATGTAATGTTCCTCACTAGAGGAAGCTCCTGACACTGTTTGAGAATCACTCAGCACTGGAGCTAAAGGCACATTTAGACAGGAAACAGTAAATTATCAACCTAATCAGTTTGGTCCCTGTCAATATGGCCAGTAACTTATTAGGCTCCCACACTCCCACCTAACACTAAGCTCTTTCCATCCGTTAAACATTCAACATGTGCTGTACACTAAGTTCCTGTTGGGCACATTTGTACTTATGCACCAGTTACACTTTATTATGAGATATATTATTGGGAGTCAGTATGTCGTTGGTCAAGATTTAGGGAGCCGAGTGAGATAATCAAATTACTGTTTAACCTGATTATTAAAATTAACAAAGATTTTACTACTAGAGGCCGCAACTAATGTATGTGGCGCTAAAAGCAGCAATAACATATTAGTGTCATGCTAATATTGCTGGAATATGTTGAGTTGGTAGGCGTGGGTATGTTGTGACGATGTTTCATAGAGCTCTGGTTTTTGTTAACTGATTTACAATGTTTATCGACAGTTACTTTTTAATAATGCAAGTTATAGGTACATCGTATCTCTTTACCCCCTACCGTGTCAACCAAAGTCAGCCCCCCCCCCCCCCATTTCCTTCAGTGCGGGTTCGGGGGATAGTTCGTAGTTGGATATTTTAGTAAAAGCATTTGTCGCTCACGAAATAAGTAATACACGTTTTTAAAGAAATGTCTAATAGGCTACATTTCAAAGCTGATTATTATTTTTAAAAATTCTGGTTTTATTACTACTACCGTGAATATTTTGCATATTAGCGGTGCTTTTTGATCGGCAAGTTGACTGGGCTTTAAGATATGTCAACATAAAAAATAAGTTTGTGTTCTTGAATAATGTACTCCGGACAAGATGGACGTGAAAACAATGCAATTTTTCCTAATAACAACATATGGGCGGTACAGTCTTGTGGGTGCGTTATACTTTATTTTAGTAATTTTGTACTTTCATGCAGTGTCATTTGAACCCATCGGGAACATAATAGCCTTACCCTTTACCGTGGATGGTGCCTGTTTCCTGTCTCTGTGTGCCATTGGCTGAGTGATTCTCAAATGGTGTCAGCAACTTTCTCTGATGAGAGACGACAAATTAGATATAATGTATTCATTTCACTATCTCGGGCGTGTTGGGTTGTTTTTTTTCACACTTGATACCCGACCAGGAACGTTTCATGTTAGCAACTCACAGTCATTGTTGACATCGCGATATTCGTACTTGAAGACACTGACACCGGGGGGGGGGGGGGGGGGGGTTGGGTTTGTAATCCGGGGGAGGGGGGGGGGTTTAAAGTTCTATATATCCTGAAAAATGCCCGACAGTATTTACTATGGAGTCGTCCATAAATGACGTCACACTCGTAGGGGGGAGGTGGGTCCGTAATTTTGTGACGGTGTGTGATGAGGGGGGGGGGGGGGGGGTCAGATGGTGCGACGTCACACTTTTGCATTATAAAAAAGCAATGTTAGAAAACGAATTTTAGACGTTATTTTGTGTTTTAGAAAACTGTTTTTATAAATTGTAATAACAATTGATTAAAATACTCTATTTTGAGAGTTCAGACAAGATTTTGGAAAAATATAGCTGTTTTTTTTTTTAAATTCAACTGCAATTTTGAGGGGGGTTGTAGGCTGAGGTGCGACGTCATTTTAGGGGGGGGGGTCTGGCTTTTTGTGACGACGTGTGACGGAGGGGAGGGGGGAGGTAAAAATCGTCAAAAAAAAGCGTGACGTCATTTATGGATGACCCCTATGCTACGTTTTTCGATGTTATTGTCGCAGTGTCTATCTCCCATCAAGTCGCCATACATGTTTAAGAAACTGTAAGCGTGTCTACAACTAGCGTTAGGTTGGGAGTAAAGCTTCTGGCTAAGTGTGTAGTGGAGGTCGTGTGTTTTGGAGGGGAAGTGGGTAATTTTTAACTAGTAATAGTACATTATGCTATTTTATGGCATGGCCTCCATAAATGACACCACGCAATTTGAACTGTTTATCGTCACTAAAAGGTATTAGAATGACGTAACACGCCCATTTTACTACTATTTTTACGCAAATCCCCGCTGCGTGTCATTGACATGTATAATGTATGTTACCGATATTGTGTAATGTTTACATGTTGACATTTTCTTACACCTCCTGACGTACAATATCTACTCTAAAGTACGGGGCAGCATAAAACATATCTTATAACCTCGTCTGCACATATTTACGAGTCATCTTTAAAAAAAAGTCGTCTGCTACATAGGCCTATAAACAGCACGGTCATGGAACCATGCAGTAATCGGTATAGCACGTGTGTGTAAGTCTTGGTATGTGTGAGTGTGTCGCTACTTTCCTAAAAATTTTCTGCCGATTGTTCTAAGAAATAGCACACATCTAATGCAGAGATACTTTATTATTTTTTTAAACTGAGAAATAGGCCTTGATTTTAGGTCTTGATTTTATATCTCTTGTGCCTATAATGGGCTCGAATGTTGGAAGGAACAACATCGTCTACACTCGTCTGTGTTATTGAATCACTTAAGCAGTAGAAAGGTTTGCCCGCACCCTCCCTGTGTACTGTACACAACCTATGACATTTGATGTGAGGTGTAGCGGTCTGGTAGATCGCCAGTGTAAGGGATATTATCGATTTGTGAGCCCATCCTTGGCCAGCCACTAATGTATCGTCTGCTGGCATAAAACACGCCAAGATTGAATGACGCTGTACTAGCCGTCATCCGACCGGTGTATCCGGTGTATGGGTTGATGTTAGCAGCTTTTTACTTTCCAGCCTCAGTGTTTATTTTATTGTAGTAGCCTTGTTGTATTGCTATTTTATTTTATTTTTCGGAGCTAAAAAAATGACCCAAAAAAAAGTAATGATGGCTTTCACAGATACTGATAGGGGTAGGGGAGACAAGTGTGATTACAGTATTGATCACTATGGGTTTTGAGTTAGAAATGATGATTTATATATATATGTATATATATATATATGTAGGCCTATATATATATATATATATATAAATATATATATATATATATATATATATATATATATATATATATATATATATATATATATATATATATATATATATATATATATATATATATATATATGATAGCAGGCTTTTATCGGGTGGAGAACAAGTGCAACCAAACAAATAATGCAAAGTTTTCTAAACGTGTGTTAGCTTGATGCTTGTCAAAAAATATATTGCTCACCCTTTATTGACTGCACTAAGTCATCTAACCTACCCCCTCCTTTTGGGGAAAATATAGAAAGATAGTCTAGTTCTTGTTATCTTGTATATAGGATGTCATGTTTATAATGTTTCTCAGTGAGAATGTGTAGCAGTTCTGGTCCTCTGGGTGGGTAGTTCTACACAGCAGTCAGGTGCTAATACTCAATAGTGCTATCCACTCAGGTCAGCCTAGGTACTTAGGCTTGTGTCCATAAGTAGTCTACTTGTCCACCCCCCACCAATCTAATCTTGTGTTTCCTCTTTATGATGCCATTTATCAATATCTGATTTTGCCTTCCCATTTCCTCGTGTGAAAAATTTGCTTTTGAGTTTGTATGCGAAAATCTTTTTTTGTTTCAGCTTCCATATGCTGTGAGTTCTGAGTTCATGTTTGCTATTAAAGGCTACAAAAAAGATCCAGAAATTGACGTGGCCCTTGACTGGTTGCAGACACGGGTATGTTCTTCACCCATAACCCATGTTTCTAACTCTCCAGTATACAGCTTTATATTTGATCTCATTCCTTTTGTCATCGATTGAAAAATCTAATCATTAATTTGTATAAATGTCATTAAAGGCACCAATATGATGTGTAAATTTTAAATGTCGGTATATTTCTAGTACAGTTCTCCATGTTAATAAACCTAGCCTGTGTCAATTCAGTGTAGCCCCTCTGTTTTCTAGTACAAGTGCTGTGGCTTCAGGTCGTATGAAGACTACCAGCGGGAGAATGATGAGTACAGGTGTACATCAGACAAAGCCCAGCCCTGTGGTGTCCCTAAGTCTTGCTGCATACAGAGACCTGTAAGTTATCACAGCACATGACATTAATACTTGCAGGCAGATACCTGTAAGCTAACACATCACCGCACATGACATTAATACTTGCAGGCAGAGACCTGTAAGCTAACACATCACGCCACATGACATTAATACTTGCAGGCAGAGACCAGACAGTGCACATCACTGCACATGACATTAATACTTGCAGGCAGAGACCTGTAAGTTAACACATCATGCCACATGACATTAATACTTGCAGGCAGAGACCAGACAGTGCACATCACTGCACATGACATTAATACTTGCAGACGGATCAAAATGTTTGCACATCATCACTATATAACCACTCAACATTCATTTATTATTAAACTTATTTCTAGGAGTTCTGCTTTTTAAAAATACCATACAGCAATAATGATTTTTTAAAATCTTACTAGTAATCACATTCCCCTACAATCTGATTACTTCTTTGCAGCCTTAAAAAAATCTAAAAATTACTTACAACAAATACCTAAATTATTCATATTTTCCTACATATTTCTTTTGAAATTTTCAAGGTATGCAGGATTAAATTGAAAATTCACGATAATCATCTTTGAGCCATTTTAAGCCATTATGGGAATTGACTATGTGTGCATTTCATTTTCACTATGATGAAGCATTTTAATACATTTCTTTTTCTAGGGGGTGACCTTGCCAGAAGATTGTGGTTTTCGAATAACCGGGAATGCCACGGTAGGTTACCTTAATTAATGTGCTCAAGAAGAAAAAACATGGATATGAATAAAAATATAATTTCCTCCTTCATGCAAGGTCACCAACGACTGGCTTTATGATTTTCTCTCTAGATATCTGAGCTGATACACAGAGAGGGCTGCACAGATGCTCTTATTCATTGGCTTATGGAACACCTTGACCTTGTTGGGGCTATAGCTTTGGGATTTGCTATCCCACAGGTAATCATAGATTGGCAGGTTTAAAGAAGGGGGAGGGGGGCTGATTTGTTCTATTATTTCCAAACAAATACTGTAGATTTCTATGTAATTTACAATGAGCAGAGAACAAAAACATCAAGACAATTCACCTTTCAATAAGCCCTAACGTAGAGCTACATCTTTTTCCCCCCAGCCAACATGCTTTTTAAAGTATTATTTTATTTCAGATTTAGATTGGTCTCCTTTAATAATATAGTCACCTAAAATAACTACTTAATTATTCTAAAAGTGATAGAATAACTTAGAAAGTAGAAGAGTTGGAAAATTATTATTTAACTGGTAATTTGCCTATGTTCATGATAAGTGGAGGGGTTAGAGAGAGTTTATCACCTATCATTAAATTCACTGTTTCTTAAATAGTTATATTTTGCCTATTTTCTTGATGACTGGCAGTTTTAGTTTTCCCGTCTTTCTGGTAACAAAGGTTTATAAGTCTCTTTTCACCTCACTAAAAGAATGGTCTATATATTTAAATTTTCACTCAGTTTGGTAGTTTCTCTCAACTTGTAACAAAATCATTCTAATGTAATATAGATCTAGATCTAAAATAAGAATTAACAGAGAAAGTTTTTTCTAAAAATTCTTTTTTGGATTCCAAATTTAGTTCCAGCATGAACACTCATTGATAAATACTGGAATGTCTCATGAATTGAGTAGACATAGTTTTTATGTTTTAAACCACGGTTAGACATTTTATTCTAATTTCGACAGCCATTTCAAAATCCCTCAATTTTGAAAAATTTAAGCAGCTGCTGTTACTTAAATATTATATTTAAATAATCATTCTACTATGTTCTTTTTGAAGGAGCATACATGCCCAACATGAATGATCAGACCAAGTCCTTTATTGGTTATTTTTTTAATGAGTATTTTAAACTTAGGCTGATAATTTTGTGATAATTTGTTCAGTCCCTAGTTTATCAGCCCTTATACAACTGTAGAGTGTATTTACTTATAGCTACTTTTCTTCCATTGCCTGACCGAAAAAATATTCACATTAATCGAGGCAGTTTAATATATTTACACAATTGAACTATATAGAATTTAGTTATTCATGGAACTTATTATTTTTTCCCTAACAGATCTTTGGAATTTTACTGTCATACTACTTTCTGCGTAAAGTAAAAGAATATCGTGTGTGGTATCGTGTGGATAACTTCAGGTCATAAATTGGACTTTTTTTTTTACACCAATAGTTAATACTCAGCTATTATTGAGTAAAGTCATATTTGGTTTACTAACTAAATTATCACATATTGGAAATTTTCAATATACTTTTTAACTAACCTTAGATAAGGTTGTTTGAAGTTACCCAAATTTTATCTTTACAGCTATCTTTAAAGAGAAACAGTAAAGCTTGTGCCATATCATTTGATTGCTAAATTCTTTTAAATAAAATTTTGCTGTCTAATTTTTAAGCATGTTCTTTGTAGTTTAAACTGATATACTAAATTTAGTTTTTTTTAAATATTCGGGAAAAAAAATCAGCTCATTTAAACTAATTATATGGCACAAAGTTACTTAAATCCTGGGTAAAAAAGTATTTGTATTTTAAAAGCATGCGGTTGTTATTGTAAATTATTGATTTTAACATTTTGTTTCCTTATTTCTTTTCATTTTTTATATGATGCATTTAGTTTACAAATGGTTGTTTTTTTTTGGCTGCAAATCAGTCAACTTTACAGGACTTGATGTTAGATTTGTTAAATCTCACTGTCAATGCAATAGCTGCTTATAAACATTGTTATGCTATGAATTGTTTTAAAAAGAAATCAAATCTCATTTATTATTGTTATTAGATGTTGTCTCTTACAATTAATTTACTTTGCCATTTTGTTCCTATATTTTTGTACCCTAAGCTTATAAGCATCAGGGTTCAACTGTCTCAAACTTTTTAAATTTAGGTTTGTCAACATTTATATTCATTAACTTATGAAATAACTATTACTAATTATAATAAATAGTATTTTAATAATTATAAATGCTATTTTAAAATATAAATTAATATATATATATATATATATTAATCTTGATCACTACTAAATATTATTGTTCAATAACACATTTTAATTAAATCACACACACAGTTTTAATTCAGTATTTTTTAAAAATATGATCTCAGCATTCCAGCAATGTTTCTTAAAGCATAATTTGTATAAAAAAATTGTATTCAAAGTTTTTTTTCACCTAAATTTTCATTCCACTTATATTTTACATCCAAGTAATTAGAAATAGTATTATATGTAGTCTATTATTAGCTTATTATTTCTAATGTATCAAAGTTTTGAAAGTTATTTCTTTTTTTTTTTTTGAGTTGCTTTTGTAACATTTCATATGATTTTAGGCATAGTGCTGGCTTAATATCATACCGTGTATATTTTTCATGTTTCACTTTAACCACAATAGCAATTTTCAACACATTTAATTAAATCAACCACATGTTACAGAACTGTGGATTTTAAATGAGATATGTTTAAACAACAGTTATTTGCATAAGATATGTGTTTATGTGATAATAATTCACTCTTAGATATAATGTTGATTATTACAGAATCCAAAACAGAAAACCATTATGCTCACATTTTATTATTGTAGTAAATTGTTTAAATATTTACACACAGTTTAAATATTTACACCAACCTAAAGCACACACTGCAAAGTTAAAACTGCTCAAAACTGAGTCAGTGAGACATTGGTAATCAAGAACTTTTTTATGAATCTTGAAAGTACTTTTGTTTTGTAAGCGGCGGTTTAATAGGCAATATTTCATGTTTTTTTTTTTTTTTACACAAAACAAAAATGTTATATTAATACTAAGTCAACCTCGGCAATTATATATGGACTATTTTTCTTATGTTTCTAATTTGGTTTCTATATTATTTAAAAACTACTTGTTTATTACCTCTATAATTTATTAGAGATTACAATCATGTGTGGATTTACACCGAATAACAGAAAGATACTTTTTTACAAAGTAAGCTGTTAATAATATTTGTGTTCAAGTTTTTATTTTTCCTGAAACTTTACAGTTCTTTTGTTTCTGTGATTATAACAGCATCTTAATATACATTTTTTTTTACTTAAATTAGATCAATAACATTTACTATACCAGTTTTACTGAAGTTTACATAGTGTATGTTTTTAAAATAAAGTAATGCTTCCATACTTTTAACGATGTGCTTTTTTATTTCAAGTAATTCATGTAGGCCTACTGAGTTGAATTTCCTTATAAAATGTAGTGCTAAGATTTGCAAAAATCATTCTCCATAAAACACATCTAAGACTTTGTCTAAGAGCTAAGTTATCTAACAACAGTACTATTATTTGTTCTGCAGAGAAAAAGCATGCCACTTTATTAGATGCTAAAATGTATTTTAACAATAAGAAAACCTCTTAAAATTTTTTACCTCAAAAATATTCTTAATTATGTTACTGATAAGCCCATAAATGTTAATAAAATATATTAGCATTTAAGGCCAATCATAATAATTCTTACTGTGAAACCAATAATTACCCAATACATTAAAAAAATATCTTATGTGAACTAGATATATGACAATATTATTATTATTCCATTTGCAATATTTGAATTACATAATGGAAATGAAGCATGCTTTTTTATTATATGACTTCCTTGTGGTCAGTAAATTTTAAATCTAGTCTTTACTAAATGTGTTACCTTCTTTTATTGTAATAAATGCTGTTAACCGACTGTATTTGGTAAGTTATGCTATTTATAATAGACTGACAACAGAGAATCACATCATGAAATGGAGACCTGGAAAAAATATTGTATATTTACCAGGTCTAGCAAAATATCAATGAAACCTGGAATTTTTTTCCTTTATCCATTTTATGCTTTTGGCAGTTGACAAACTAACAAGTTTATCACTCAAGAGCACAATGGATATTAAAACTAATTTAAATATTTGGATGATTAATATTTTTTGTCAGAATGCTAACATTCGTCGTGGACGATAGATCAAGTCCTAGTGTGAGTTGAACATATTGTCTCCTGTCTTAAGTGGTCATTTACAAATGAGGTCCCACATAGGTTGCATGTGGGTGTCAGACTTGGGTGATGGGCAGTTAGGTGATGTAATGAAATGAGCAATGAAAAGCCAGCAAAAAAGAAATATGAGCCAAGAACCAACCTAGGTAACCTATATCAGCACTAAATTTTGAGCCAAGAGCAATAAACTTATGAGCCGAGGGTCACTTGTCATCAATCTAATAGTAGGTCAGCTCACTGAATCCAACAAGCAATATTCAAAACGTTTCAACTAGAATGTATGATCTATTATTTGTCAGATTCAGTTAAGTTAAAGACCAGTGGCATCACTAGGATGGGTGACATCTGGTGTTGTTACTGAGGATATCCGAGTGTGGTAACTATTTTCAATTTGGTGTCATCCAACTATATATTAACTGTAAACAAAATTGTATTGAAAGTAGCTCTTCAATTTGGTGCCTCCCTTCTGACGCTAATGTAATATATCTGCAAAAAATCTTACAATAAACTAAGGAAAGTAACGTCAACGCAATTTATTATTAGACACACTTAATAATAGATTTAATGCCATGTTATTTTTTTTTCATCTACTCACAAAACCAGCTTAGATGCTAAGTTTCTGTTAAATATTGTTCATCACACAGCATCTCCCCTCTTTACAACACCTCGCTATCAATGTTAATCTCAGGAGGAGAACAATGAACATGTTGACTTAAATATACAAAAAAAATCCAACTGGTGTTTATTTTGTAATTGTTTAATTGTCACTAAACAAAACAAAATTTTGTACAAAAAAGCAACAACAGAAATATTTTCTGGATGGAAATAAAAGTAATTAGTTATATATACAATAGATGGAGCATTGGGTAAATAATATACTAACAGCTAAGTTTCTATTTTATGTAATTTGGTCACACCCCATTACACAAAAAGTTCGATTTAAGAATATCTAAGAAAAGTCCACAATTAATCGTGATTGGAAAACCGATTATGAAACATTGGGGGAATGAGCATTAGTTAAAACATCCATCACTTGTTAATTAACTCCAGTGTAACAGGAAATAAAATTTATTTAACTAAAAACTATTTGGGCTTCTTAGAAAGAATTTTTAAACATCTTTGGAACATTGGTTAGGTAATTTTTGCACTTGGAATCATTTGACAAACAGCAGACCAAGAAAATTAAGGACACCAGAATGATGTGTTATCACAGGTGACAGTTGTAAAGGCTAACACAATTGTGCTGTCTGTGCCATAAGCTCCTGTGGTGAGACTTGCCTTCTCAATCTAACATCATGTCTTTATACTCGGGAAACTAAAAAATAACACTTGTTTTAAACCTGCTTTATAGCTGTTATGTAACTGGAAATATCTACGCTTATTTCTGTGTATGTTTAATAAACATATAAATTTGTCAAACACTACAGCAACAAATATTCAATGCTAATGAAAGTTAAATTCGTGAATTTTGAAACAATTTAAACTTGTCAGACATTAGCAAATTTAACTATATAATTCATAACAATTACTACTGTTAACTATTTGTTATGACTGTACTTTAGCACAATATATTTAATAGATAAAAACTGATAAGCCTATATTAAACATGGCAATAAGGGCTTACTTCCTGATATATTTTTTAACAGTAAACAGATTTAAGACCCAAGACTGCAACTTATATAATCTAAATAAAAATATTTATGATATGTTGCTATAACTGTTTGTACAACTACCATTTTTATCATCGTATTGACAAAGATTTTGATGTTTTAAATAATTTGAAGTCAGCAAATAGTAAATTCTCTTTACTGAAAAAAGGAGCCAAGAAAAGCACGTGAGCTGAGAGAAATTACCTGTACCTCAAAATTTTGGTAGAAACATACCATCAGTTTCAACAGGAAACAACACTATTTACAAATATTGACATTTAAAATAAAGCAATTAAAGAAACTAGCCAAACATCACAATTAACATATTCAAAAAGCAATTGGGTAATAATTAATATACTTATCTTACTGGACCAATTATTCAAATAAAATAATCATAATAAAGTCCAAATGTATAATTCAGAAAGGATTATAAAAACAATATTTCACACTAAAAAAAAACAAGTACAAGGAAACAAACCACACTACAATTAAGAAAACATCAACAAAACATAAATCAAATGTGAAATTTTAATACAGTTTGTTCTATAAACCAATGAACTAAGACTAGAATATTTTAAGTCTAAAAGAGTATTTAAAACTCAACCCAGGCTGACTAAAAAATTGTTTGCTTATAAAACACTGAAACTTTCTCCAAACTAAATTTAGTTAATGTGGATTAAAAACATTGCACTTTGTTGTATTACAATTTGAAAAGTAAGATGTGGAAAATATAGTCATAATATATGTAAAGTATTTCTAAAAAAAATTAGTGTCTCACAGTAAAAACATTTTTATTTAAATGAATAAGAGGAAATAATGAAATGAACACCCAAAAACAATTTTTTAAAACTTAATCATAATAAAATTCAGTGTTCACAGCACTATGGTTGATTGGGGGGGGAAGAGAGAACCTGTTTAGAATTCCCATTTACTCATCTTAAATGTACCCAATTAAATCTTTTAAGCCTTATCATTATCTCATCTCAAAGTATCCCACAACAAAAGCATCTTTAGAATTATTTTAGTATTAACTTATTGGATTTCAACCCCAAAACTAGTTTAGTTATATCTAAGAGCTTCATAACTAATCCTTAACTTTTCATAGGTGTGGTCATTCACATTCAAGCTTCTAAAATAAAACAATATAAACTGTATTGGAAATAGCTTTTAATACAAGTTTTAAAATTTAATAATAATGAACAATTCTATTTTTTCTGAATTTAAAAAAATGGCATCAATGTAATTTACAAAATCATTTGTGATTAACTGTGAACTACATCAATTCGGTCTGGATGAAATAATACTTATGATTCAGATTCTATTTAAATTTCACGAAAACTTTAACTTATTAACCATGTTGTATACATATCTACTAATCACTGAATTAACTGAAGCTGTTGAAAATAAAATACCAAAGTTATATGATTATTTTCAAAGACAACAAGCTGTAGTTACAGCAAAAAAAATGTCAACTTAATAGAAATTTTGCTTTGATGAAGGCATAATGATTTGATAAGCATAGACATTAAATGCTGATTAAGAATTTGCAAGACTTAAACAATGAAGAGATATGTTTTACAACATTATAAAAATACAGCACTTATTTCTCAACATTAATTTATAGATAGGCATCTAAAAAAACACTGCTGTTGTAAGATAAAACAAATGGAATACAAACAAATAGAAGCTCAATTTTTTTTTTGAAATACTCGAAGGACAATGGAATTTAGTCAAAGTTACATGCTAGCTTTACAGAAAAAAATATCACTGCGTTACTTAATCAAAATTAAAAACATAAAGCATACAACACTATGTATGTCTGTAAAATCTACATGACAATACTGAATAAGCAGACATTATTTAATGCACAGGTCACAAGCAGTTACCATCATGACTCAACTTTTGAGATCACCCATACATGTATCCTCTTTTGACTACTGGTATGTAAATTCTAAGTCACAAATAAGAACTATTTGTATTAGAATACTGAATAATAAGAAAAAACATGTATTTTTACTAAATACCCTCAGTGTTAGAGTTTTCACTAATGAATAACTGCAAGGTGCTACATGATGAGTAGCAAAATGTATTAAAGTACAGCCAGCATTCTAGAGAGGCACTGTGCAAAATTTGAAGACAAATTCAGTATAAAATGTACAGCTTAAGAGCATCACATTCCAGATGCCCCATCCTTAAACCCAGATGCATTAATGACAAGACACCTTAGCCATCACAGATAAATCAATCAGTTAGCCATTTCTTTTTATGTCTTCTCATTCTTATCACCATGGAATCCACTGGGCTTAGCAAATTTGTCACCATACACTCTAGGTTTCTGGAGAGGAGAGAAAATTAATTCTTTGAAATAACTTTAATTAATAACTTTTAAAATGTATGAAACCTTAAATTCTACAACTTTGGGGTTGCTTTACCTAGTCTTTTTATAAACTAACCTGAATGCCAGAATTAGCGTTGAAGCCGCCACCAAATACAGGTGGGGAGGTACCTGGACCAACAAAGGCACTAGGGTGGTGAGGAGCTGGAGCATAAGGGTGGCTGTGGGGCATGTTGGGAGGCTGGGGAGGTGGATGGAATGGCTGTCCTGACTGAGGGCGTCTCATGGGACTGGGTGGACTTTTTGCTGCAACGTAGGTTAAACCTACAAGACAAAAAGGGTAAATGAGAAAACATTCACTACATCAACAAAATAACTAAACACAGTGAGCCAATTAATACTTAGCTGAAACATCTTTTTTAAAGATTTCATGTGTCATAAACTGGCTTACTTGGTGAGATAGACCTGGGAGCACTGGTATTGTATGGAATTGGACTTGAAACTGTTCGAGGTCTTACATTATGACTACTGGAAGTTGCCTCGTGATGTTTGGCAATTTCATTGAAGTGTCTTCAAATTAAAAAAAGTTTATTATACAGTTATTGCCAACTACAAGCAAAATATAAAAATAAAAACAGGATAATTCTAGAGTATTTTAGTGCAAGTACCGTTCATCATCCATCTCCAAACTAGACTCAGATTCTGACAAATGGCGACACAAATTCTCTCGTCTTTCCATTTCTAATTGTAGTCTGCGCTGCAGCCGCAAGTTTTCCTCTCTGATATGTCTCTCTTCCTGTGCATACTGTGCCATTTTTTCTGCATCTGTAGACCAACAGACAAAGTTAGTAAAAACAAATATGTACTTCCAAATATTCAGCCTAGGATATTCTTAGTAAACTCACGTTCTATCTGTGCATTTCTAAGCTGATCTTTAAGTCGGGTGACCTCGGACCTCAAACTGTCAATGTGTTGCACCAGGTTGGATGCTGTGTCCCCATTATTTATATCACGAGGGCTTGGTGGGGCTGAGACAGGTTGATCTAGTTTTTCTTGGAGTAGTCTGTGATAGAGTCAATTACAGTTTAAACATGGAATTTTGCTTTTCATAATAAAAATGAATAATTGTTATGTGACTTTTTTTTAGTAAAAAGAAAATACAACTATCCCACTCTTAAAGAAAAACAATGTTAATAGCATCAGTTCAAATGTACCATTGTACCTTTTCTCAGCTTCTAATTTATCCATTCTTTTCCACAATCTGTTTACAAGGGACTCCTGTTCTTGTTCAAGAGAATTCTCTAGTTCTACTTTCTCCCTTCGAAGCTAAAGAAATCAGAGTTGTTAAAATTGCTATAATTGCTTTTAACAAAGATACTCTCATCTTTATTGAAAAAAAATTCTTAAGTATGTGTAACTTTTTTCAGAAATTATGGTTATAGCAGTAACATCTAAATTTATAAATCAGATCAATAAAATGGTATTCATATTAAGTCATTACCAGCTTATAAGGGGAACAATGGAAAAACATTATTTGCATTTGGCAAAAAAATCAAGGTTTTAAAAGAGAATATAATAATGTTAATAGTGATTGACAGTCAGGTACTTTGCAAAATCTTGTGTAAATTTAGGATACCTGTTCAAGTGTCTGCTGTTTGTTATAAGTATCAGCCTCAAGTTTTTCAATTTTCCTCATTAGTTTATTAATTTGGCATTCTTGTTCCTTTTCCAGTGTCTCTTCAAGTTCAATTTTTTCTTGGCGCAGCTAGCATAAAACAGCATAATAGTAAAACCATATTAAACATTTAATTTAATTGTGACATGAGTTCAATGTTCCACCCATATTAAGACCAGCATTAAAAAGTAAATAAAGACTTACTAAATATTTAATTATTTTAAAGGTGGTGTTAGGATGGGAAAGTGGGTGTATAATGTGAATTTGAGTTAGTAGAATGCTCTTAAATTTGAGATTATTGGTTGAAGTCTTTATTGTCGATTTGAAAAGATGCTTTCACGTTATGTCTTGTCCTCTAAAGTTAATCTTTGCAAAGATTAATAACTGCTGTAGGAAGACCAGAGTTCTTTATTTTCTTTATTAGAAATTTCATGTGGTTTGAAGTGAATTTAAGTTAGTGATGGTAGAACTTACTAGAACTGCAACTGTGTGTATAACATAAGCTCCCCCCCCCCCTTAACATTTGGTAAGCTCCCTTAACAGGTGGTGGAGGGTCATATGTTTGAAAAATAGAAAACATCTACATTGTCACACAAGATAAAAGGTAATTTATATAACACTCAAAGAGCAGAAATGTTTTTAGCAATTTTAATATTTACTCAAAATTATATTTTAAACCGAGTGACAACACTATTAAAATTAGATAAAGTAGCTAATCTTACCTGATACAATTTACGTGAAAGGTCATTTGTCAGATATTCTTCTTCTTGTTCATAATTCATAGCCAACATTTCTTTTTCTTTTTTCAAGGACTGAATTTTTTTAAGCAATGTATTGCTAATAAATTCTTCCTCTTGCTCTGCTTTGGCTTGCTAGGAGTAGAAAAATTATTTCTAGTTGCAGTATTGTTTTATTTTTATACCATGCTTTTCTACGAGAGAGCAAAAGTTAACCATAACAAACTTAGTAACACTGTAGAGATGAGCATAGAATGGTGATAAACAAAAACAAAGATCTGGCCACACAATCTCAACATATGCTGTGCCCCAAAAACATCTTTTTTTTTTAATGTAGCATACTTTACATTTTTAACAAGGAATACTCAGAAACATCACCATTTGTTTTACCTATGTCATTAGAATTATTCTGTAATTGCTCCAAAAAAAACTTAAGTCTTATCTTTTTCAAGCAAATTTTTAGTGAAGTTGTAAATGATGTATTAACATTGCATCTTTAATCAAAATAGATCTAACATTATCACTGGTTTTTTTTAGATTAATGCAAACTAAACTAACTAACCAATTGTAAATTAAAAAATATGAAATAACTAACAATGGAAACACTTGCTCTCCTTAACTCCCGGTTTTCTTCTTGTAAGGATTTACACTTCAGCTTGTAAGTATCAAGCTCCATTTTAAGGACCCTGTTTTCTTGCTGCAGTGACTCAATTCGTTTATTCAGCTGTTCAGCTTGAGCTGGAGAGGGGGACTTCATGCTAAATGTTGGTCCTCCATCAATAGAGCTGGTATCACTCTCTAGCTCACTGGCACTGTCTGCCATTTCTTTAGCAAATTATTTATGTGAGTTTACACCTTGATAAAAAAGGACAGCTTAATAATAATACATTGACTTTCATAAACATAAATATGTTATAAAGTTGCATGGTAATGGTATTAACTACAATCTATACAAAAAAATTCGAAGTAGTGTGTAGTAATAAAATAAGTAAGCCTGAATTTTTTTTAAAACTACAAGATTACCTGTTAAGTTGATTATATTGGCTGTTTATTTTTTTGTAAGAGTTGGCTTGGAATTAAATATGAGCTTGTAAAGTTCTATGGAATAAATATATATTTAAAAAAAAAAACAATAATGTAGCTTAATTTTCAACATCATAAGTTTACCTGCAAGTACTTTTTGAACAAATGACGACAATTTAACTATGTTGGAAAAACCTTATAACAATTATTTTGTACTCATGAAATCTAAGAAAATGGATGGCAGGCTATAAGCCTTTTCTACAATACTGATAACGAGCCGACCCACGGTGTATCATACGTCGCTATTTAGTTGTTGTTTTTTCTACTTTTCAGTAATTCATAATTTGTGAATTCGACAGTACCAATGCTGCCACTGAAAATATTTGCTTTAAAACACTAACCCCCCCCCCCCAGTGAAAGCAGCCTCCTCTTAGTTTTAATAGCCGTCACCAAACCCGGCTCTACGATTGTATTATGTAAACATTTAGCGTGAACCACAGCTCACCAGACCATGTGAGGTGGAGGGGGGGGGGGGGGGGTGGTAGCGATAGAGAGGAAGAGAGGGGACTGCAAGCTTGTTTTCTAACATCTCCCAGAAGAGAATTATATATATAGATATTATGCCTATTTCATATTTCACTGCAGTTACATAGTTTCCATCTTTATTCTATAAATAGTTATTGCAATGCTACCTAATAAAATTATGCTCAAAGAAAAAATGCTAATGGCTCACAAAAAAAATTTAAATAAAAAAGAGTAGGCCTACTTCATAATCACCACAAGTATTGTATCAGTTTTTATTTTGAGTGTCACTGTTTTGATTTAACATTCTGTCAGGGCTCAGGGATTATTCTACACTGCAATATTTTAACATTTAATTAGAACCCCTACTACAATTAATTGATGAAACATACAGGCTTTTAACATAAAAAGCAGGCAGTCTACTATACTACAACAAAATAAAACACCTAAACCAAACTTTTGTCAACTATAAGAAAAAAACGCTAGATACAAATATGAAATTTTTTGTAGATCTAGACTCTAGCTAGAGTATTCTAGAGACCTGCCAGCAAACACAGAAACACTGTCCCAAATTTTAACATATTTTGTATGGGTATGGCTAATTGGCTCCATTGAGTAACTAGTCACTGTCTATTGAGTAGGCCCTTATTGACTCAATATTGAGGCAGATGTGACATTAAGAAGAGTCTAGATCTAACTGAATTCGGTTGTTTTTTTAATAGTAAGACATTAATTCTATGTGGTTAGTCTCCATATGTCTTAATCAAGTTCTTAGATTCATGATTCAAACATTGTTATCAATACTTTATTACTTAAATATTTGAGCAGACTGTTCAATCAATTTTCTTTTTAAATGTTGACCTAGGCCTCTGAATTTTTCTTTTACAGTTAGGCCTACCTACAGTATTTAGTTTAGTTCATTTACCATGACAAATAATTGTCTCATTAATATTTTATTAGCATGTAAGACTATTTACTATTAACTAAGCTTCTAATTATCTAATATTATCAACAATAATAATAATAAGAGGAGAGAGAAGATTGTCACTAAGTCAAGAAGACTTGAGAGATAGTCCAGCCAGACACTCACTCTCACACCTCACATCAGATCAGTGACTAAGACAAGACGGGATATTTTTATTATTTTAAGATATTGATGCGATTCTAATTTTTCAACACCTTTAGTAGATATCCACTTTATGTGCATGTAATATATTCTAGCTTCAAAACATTTTATCGTAAACAACGATTCAGTTTCTAATAAGAATATGTATTTTGGATTTGTTTACTGATTACTGTCAACATGAGCCATTAATAGAGACCTTGATTTTGGTCTCCATTCCGGTAGATTTCTAAAATGCACAGGGAGCATTTGAAAAAATAAATACCTTACAACTTCAAAGTAAGAAATGTACTGTTCCAAATTTTAAAAAAAGTTGTTTAGACCTTTTTAAAATATTTCAAAAGCAATAATTTAAAGTTATCTATAAAATTTATAAAATACCTTATCTTTTACTGTGTTTTTGGTAGTTGTATAATAAACGATCCATGTGCTATAGATCGCAAAGTGGTGGCATGGATAATTTTCCGTTGTTTTTAGAAGAAGAAAAAATTGAATTGGAATACATAAGAAGAATTAGATAAAGATTCTAGATCCATATATTATAATATTTTTAAAAAGTTTAATAAAAATCGTCTTCATACTTTTATATGAAACTTGTGTCAGAATTAGAAGTCTAGTAATTTTTAAATGTCTAATTTTTTTAAAGCCGCTAAATAAAATAGAAGTTTATTACAAGCAACCAAAAATATGCCTGTATTATTATTAGGCCTAATAATAAAGGCCTATGTTTTTGTTACTTTGTTATTATATTAATTGTAGGCATATAATTAAAATTATATAATAAATTCCCTTACGAAGTCTTAATTAAATTTATAATCCAGCAACCGGTGAGTTTATTTAATTTAAAAAAAATATAATAATCTCTGCAGATTTAAAAAAACAACTAGATATATCAAATTATCATGTTGTATTTTATCAGTGTCATTCCATCATCAGTTATTGCCAGCGTAAGCCTATATAACAGAGGCGTCGCGGGGCGGGGAGATGCAGACCGCACCGAGTGATACCGTAGGGGTATGACACCAAGACAATAATTTGAAAAATATATAGAAGAAACATACTTTTTGCAAGTTCAATGAATGATTAGTCAGAGTTTAAAAAGTATGTGCCGCAACATCTAATAATTTACTATAAAAACGGTAATTGGTAAAAAATGTTGAAAAGTCGCAGATGATAATTATAATGTCAAATATTTGGCTACTTCTATCAATTATGTGCTGGCACCAATGATTTTAAAAACTTTAACCCTCAAAAGTTAAAGAGGGTCATAGTTCATAGGTTGTCATATGGACCCCTCAAGCAAGAGAGCACAAGCTTAAAACCTCCTACTTTCTTGAATAAAGTAGATCTAGTTGCTGCTTCATAATGAATTTTAATTCATACATTGAGCATTTCTTCAATCATGCTAAATCTTTGATAGAAAGATTATTACCAAAAAACGAAAAGGTAGCATAATTAATTTTATTAATTTTAATAATTTAGAATAATATAATAGGCCTAATATTAATAATTTAATATTATTAATAATTAATAATTTAATAATAGGCCTAACCTAAATCCTAATGTAATATTATAGGCCCTATAGCCCTATAATATTATTAATTAATAATTATTATTGATTAGGCCTATTAATATTAATTTTTAATAATTATACTTTATAGAATAGATTATTGTAGTCTGATATCTATACTAATAGTTTCGCTGTCTGATGTTCTATCTATCTATCTAGAATACCTATGTATCTGACAAGAACGTTATAGAGAAAACACAAGCAAATTAAAAACATGCATAGTAAAACGGAATCACATTTAGCATATAGTATAAAATAGTATCAAGCCGGAATGACGTCATTGATTCTCAAGTAAACATTGAATAAAAAGGCAATTTTGTCTCATCTAAGTGGTTTGCGTGAAGAGTTTCAATCATACAATTCTTCGGGTAGGGGCAAAGCCCCACCCTCGCGAAAGAACGTCAAAGCCCCCCCCCCCCCCCCCCCCCAACTCAAAAGAAATTTCTTCATCGATACTCTATAATAAAATTACCGCCTAATTAATGTGTCTAATCTAAAAAGTGGTTTGCTTGCAGTTTCTTTCATGCAATTCTTCGGGTAGTGGCTAAGCGCAACACCAGTGTTTCTTTCAGACTTTTTCCTCCCTGGAGGGGGGAACTTTTTCTAATCTAAAAAGTGTTTAGCGTGCACAGTTTTTTTCATGCATCTCTTCCCCGCCCAGGTTCTTCCTTTTTTTTTATGATCTACAAATGCGACAAGTGTTTCTTTCAGAAATATATTTCGTTGAATGGGACGGTAGACATGATTTGGGGTGTGTGGGGGGGGGGGGGGGGTGAGCCCCCTCCTCCCAAGTAGAGTTGCCTGAAAGAAACTCTAAATGCAACTTTTGTCATGAATGAGATTAGGTGCATGGTTTAGGGATATGCCTATGACTATATTTTGTATAAATTAAAGTACAGATTCTGGATAAAAATCTGTTTTCAATGTCATTTTTTGTTACCGGTTAAATTGAATTAGGTGGTGATTTTGGTTTTAGTTTAGAGAAAATAGACAGCACTATCAACCTAGCGCCCATTGTATCCTTCCTCAACGGGCCATTTTTCTCGTTATTTAATATTTATAGTTTATACTTTCAGTTGGTTATGATTTGGTTAACCCTTTGAACCCTGGCCTCCCTGGCCTAATGTAAATTACAATTTCTCGATAAAAATTTCTTGTCCAATTAATTTAAATTACAATTTCTTGATAAAATAAGAACCACAAATGGTTTATTTAACTCATTTTATACAGTTTTTTGTGTGCAGGCAAATATATTAAAATAAAGTTGATTTAGAGAATATATAGATTCTATATTGTTTTCAAATTAAATTTTTTAAAGGCAAAAATGAAAGAAAATGAAAATTTATTGCACTAGGTTATAGCTGAACCTCAGTAGATTTTAGAAATTTGGTTGCTTTTTGTATTGGAAATTAATATCATATTAATTTTAAATTAATAAGAGACAGTGGTAAAAACAAAATTTGACAAATCACTCAAGAGCTCTGGGCAGGTTTTTTTATGAAAATTATCTCCCTTTGTCCAAATGCTAAATTCTAATATAGATCTATCTATGTTTTAGATCTAGTAAGCCAAAAGTGGCATTTAAAACTAATTTTTACAGGCCAGCAGCAATCAGGGCCTAATAATTATAATTAATAATTTACTTAGCAAATATTAAACATTTAATCTTTTACTTAGGAATTAGAATGGTGGATTAAATTTCGCAGCCCCCAAGAGATATTGAAGAAACATAGAGATTACTTGTTTTGTGAGATTCTCTTCTACATCGTTGGATTTCTAACATTTGTACATGGTAAAAAAAATTGCATTTTCTATTCTTACACTTGTTTTACACAAATACCTCAAGTTCAGAATTAGCAAGTATATCAAAATATGTTGTTTTCAGCTCACATTAATCATTAAACTATATTTTCTTTTTTTTTTTAATGTCAAAGATATGTTTTGGAATGAAAATTATGAGTTATGTGTAAGATTTCTTATTCTATTTAATTTTTTCCTTTTATAGCAATGCGAAATGGTGGACGTTATCGTTGGCTTTGGTTAGCAACCATTCTGCATGGCCTTGTTGTAGAAAGTGTGAGCTATTTTGTGCCGGATATTGACAATTTTTGGCATGCTCAATCCATGGTAATGTTACTTGGACAACGTCTTCCACTGCACATAGTTTTTTTATGTAAGTAAAAAGATATATCCAAGTGTATAATTTTTTATATCAAACTGATATGAATGACTTGATAAATTGTCAAATATTATTTTTTAGATCCAGTATTTATTTACATCGCTGTTGTGGCTGTATCCCATCTCAACCTTCGTTGGTGGGCAGAACCATTTGCAGGTGAGAGTGATAATAGTAAACTTTGTTAGAGATTTCAATGCAAGTTTTGTCAAAATGAATGTGTTACGTATGTGAATTATTTTTGCACTAAACATTTTTTCTTTCATAGTTGGTATCACAGTCGTTCTTCTAGACATTCCCTTTGATATTATGGGTATCAAACTGCTTTTTTGGACATGGCATGATGATGATCCAAATATTTATGATCGCCATTACTATGTTCCATGGACCTCATATTATTTCCATTCCTCCTTTGCTGCATCATTCACTGCACTATTTTTTGGATTGAGACAGCTGTTATGTCAAGGCAGATTAAAGTTTCAAAGCTCTGGGTAATTTATAGATATTTTTAAAGGGATTTCTTTATTGCTTAAGTATATGATGTAATAATAATTATAAAACATTGTTCTTGCACACATGTTTTGCTTTAGATTAAAAAAGAAAAATAATTTCTTGATATTGTTTAAAATTATTTCTTTTTCCAGTTTTTTTGGTGAGATTTCCATCGCTGTATTTACTGGTTTGCTCTCCATGCCTCTTGGAATACTCCAGTTTATTCCATTATATCATCCTCTACATGATTCTTTAGGCATTCACACAGAAGTATGTGTGCTTCTCTTTTTGGGGCTGTATATTTTAATTGTATGGAGTGCTGATAGATTACCTCTAGAACAAGCAAGACTACCAGGTTTTCGTAAGTTGAATGCTATGAATCATTTATAAAAGTTGACTGCAGTTGCATTATAGAACAGTTGTTGAGTTATTGTTAGATTATTTATAAATTTATATTTAATACTAAAATGTCAAATTTAAAAACATTTTCAGGCCTTTTTAAGCTGAATATCCTCACTACCTCAGTGGTTGTTTACTATGGGTTTTTTATATACCTGGTACTGAATGCAGTGCCTCAAAAGATAGTTTCAGTAGGCTACCATCAACCTATTGGTCCATGTAATGTTTCAGTGCAAGTTCAAACACCATTTGGACAGGTAAGAAATTGTCCTTATCCTCCTTTTTACTACTAGATATTTGAAAATATCTTTAAAAGATCTGATCCTATACGTTTGATTTTAAATGAATAATTTTTTTTAAAAATTAACATTACAGACGCTGAAAAAGAACAAGTATTTGTGTGTTGACAAATATTCAGAAGAATATTTCGACTTCAGGTGTTACAAAGGGAAACTCCCAACACGAGCTGAGTGGTATACCATATGTGGAAATGACTATACAAATCATGCAGAATACATTACAATAGTAACTACCTTCTGTGCTATTGGGTTGTTCTGGTTTTGGCAGCTGCTGTGTAGATCAGGCAATCTGCCAAGAGTTTTGAAGTTAACAAAGCAATCGCGAGATAAGCAACATATGGATTGAAACTGGGACAATTTTTATATATCATTCCCTAATACATCAGGCTATTTTACCACCCAGCCACTTTCCAGTTACTTTGTACAGTGCCATGACATATCTAAAAAAATTTAAAAAACGCAGAGCTTTATGACAAATTATACATTACAGGGTTGCTACCTTGATGCTTTTATTGATTTATGCAAACTATTAAGTTAATGAAGATTTTATAAAATCATATACTGTACAAGCACTGAGAGCTATAGATTAATTAATAAACATGTTATCTTCTAGAGTTAAAACATTTTCCAGCTGTCTTGAAAAATTTAGCAATTATTGTTTTTATTATTTATTTTGTATTTTATGTAACAAAGAATTACTTTGTTCTAAAAAGGTATAAAGAAAAAATATTTTATTTCAAGTGTAAATGTATTTAGTCTTATATTTTAAATTCTTCAAATGACTTTTACAATTTTTAAACATGTTAGAAATATAACTGTAGATTGTTTAGGGTAACAAAAATCATATTGCTTGAATTATTTAAAATATAATGGATTAATTTATTGTTTCTGCATACTCTATTAAAATTAGATATTTTAGCCCATTGACTCATTGATAAGCTAAGACTACTGATCCATTGAAATTTACAGAAATTTATTTCTGGAAATATTTTAATACTTTGTCGTAGTTTCCTATTTACAATGAAGTTTTAAATATAGTTTTGATATAAACTTACCTATTTACTTCTGTAACCTTTCTCTATAATAATTCTGAAATTACTATATTCTTGCTTGATTTGAATATTTGTTTGGTAATTAGATGTATTCAAATTAATGTATAATTAATTAATATAATGTTTGATTGAAATTCATACTTTATAATAATTTAATAAATGTAGAAATCTTATTATAGTTATTAAAATCAATTTGCATTGTGGTGTTTATTTAAAATTAATGTAAACAATTTCTTTTCAAATGAATAGTAATGTTAAAGCAGCCGAATAACAGAAAAATTCAGTAGTAACAGTATGTTCATAAATATACACATCTAGTTTATATTAAAATAAAATGAATATTTATGATAAAAGCAATCAATGACAATTAATAAATAGAAAATAAGTTCACATATTCTATTAAAATTGGGTGGTTCATTAGGTAACCAGATTAACCTGAATGTTAGCCTTTCATCATATTTTATAACAGTCAATAAAAATATCAAGCATTGCATATATGGCACTTCAATTATTTTGAAATATTTTAATTGTAATATTTTAATATTAACCCCAATTACTCAAAATTTTGTTAAAGTTTAAGATAACATTAACAAGACATTTAAACATACTTAAAAAGTGGATTTATATCTGTATCAATAGTTAAAAGTTGTTTCTACAGCTAAATCTATATATTTAAGTTGAAACATTACTACGAAAATAGTTGTAAAAGAACTGTAAAAACTAAATTAACAAATTATTTCTGCTCAAACTAAAAGATGTAAAAAAAAAAAAAAAACCATTTAAACAACCTTACTGAAAGCAATACTGAATTTAATGTGTTAAAGTATAAGCCAAAATGTGTACTCTTAAAAACACAAATGAGATGTATCACAGATTAAATCTTAAATCATGTTACTGTTATTGTATTCTGATTCAGCCAGAGTGTAATCAGTAAATCATGCATTAATCAAACAAGATTCTTCATGGAAAATTCTTTTTTACCAAGTTAAATAAACCAAAAAGTCTATATTATCATAAAAACTTAAAACTACAAATGTTAAAAATGTAAGCTTAAATTGTAAAGATTGTTTTTTGAAACAATATACATCTAAATTAATAAACTAATAAACAAACACAAGATTAAAAAGGAAAATATCCACACAAAAATTGCCTGAAAAGCCTAGCAATAAAAAAACATTTTTAAATATTGAGTCTATCCTATTTGACTAAAACATTTTTCCAAAAGGACAAAATAAAACAATTTTTAGCCAGAAAATCTCAGAGTACTAAGTATAGATATGTAAAAGCTTGGTAACATTAATTGAAATTCCAATAGATAAATGTACTGTTCTAAATTTATTAAGATTTTCAGCAAAAATATTCATATTTTTAAAATGAGTAAACTGAGATTTAAAAGTGTATACTACATCAACCCCAGTATTACTGTGTTGATGCCATTGTTTTGGTTTGATAACAAAAGGCAAATGTAATAATGTACACATGGCATAGAATGTTCCAGGAGACACACATTTTAAAACATGGAATATAAAATACTTTAGGCATAACAAGTAAAGAAATTATATCACATCAACATCTGTAACAAGTGCTACACAAACACTTAACCAAATCTAAGGGTAAGGTGAATGAATGAAGGGTAATGGATGTTAATGAAATCACTGAGATCATTAAATGGTGTCAATGTTTATTTGATGTTTGTATAAGCAATATAGGAATTAAAATTATTTGTAGGAACCCATCATTGTCTTGATTTATAGACTAAAAATAAATCAGCGCATGTACTGTTTATTTAAATATATTTGTAATAAAAACTTTTCAATTTTACATAGAAAAGGAAGAAAATTATTAGCATTAAGAAACAAAAAAATTAGTATATATAACAATTTTTAAAAAATATTGTTAGAATCATTATGTTACAGGGAAATGTATTTATTTTTTATTGTCATAAACTATATTTGTCAGAATATAGATCTACATGAATTTATCCTAAACAATTTGTTTCTTAATCAGAAATAAAGCTGAATTTGTAGCTACCACATGAAGCATGTGATCTTATATGTTAACAGCAGTCAGTAATTATGAAACACAAAGATAAATAGTTTTAATATTGCTAAAAAAAAATTTAAAAAAAAGGAAATTAAGTAAATTGTTATCTTTCTAAATTCTAAATGACAGCAATTTTACTCATTACAACCTAAAGATGTAAATAGCTGAAGATAAAACAAGCAATGACACATTTATGAAAACATGCCAAAGTTTCATCTTGTTTTATATAAAGTACAATTACCTTATAACACATCTAGTAAAATATACAATAAACCCCTGTGTATTCTTGTCTTTTATTTTAGTTGACCAAACAAGCATGATAAATAACAAGAGAAATTTTGTTCAAGTTTCCATGAAATAATATATAAAGCATCCTGAGCAAATTACTTTACCTAGAGTTGCACTAACATCACTAACTAAAAAATAACAAATTAATACATAATCCAAAAATTACATTATAAGATTCTTAAAAGAATTTCTATTGATATTTCTATTGATATTTAGTCTTATGTATATTTTGTTAAAGTGGAAATTTACAGGAGAAGTTGTAAATAATATATGAATCAATATTCCCAAACATATTGCATAACTGTTAGTAGCATGTATCTACCAAAAACCGTTTGTTCCAGAAATAATCATTGTGTCCTGTTACGTGTATCTACCTAGAACCATATTTCTCATGAAGGGGGCCATCTGTAGATAGAACAGTAAAAATATAATATTTATTTGATCAACAGTATCTATATGCTAATCACTCTTCATCAAAAGAAGCAGAAAAAAATCAATGGGTCAGCAGAATGGTAAAACTAAATCAATTTTTAAAATTTTAATCAAAGGAAGCCTGGTTTAAAACAAAGAAGGGTTGAACCACTCCTTGTAAACAGTATCAAGCTACAGAAAATGTAAAATACTTCATCCAAGTATCAACTTGGTCTGGGAGGATCCGCACGATATCCTCATATATATATATATATATATATATATATATATATATATATATATATATATATATATATATATATATATAATCATTACAAGACAACAATTTTAAATTTAAACATAACTTACTGAGTCATTATCATTTAATGCCTCTGCTATCATCTTTTCTATGTTTCTCATGATTGCAACTTTCTGGCCTGATGTTAAAGGATAAACTACTTTTACTGTTGGAGCTGCCTAAAAATTGAAAAGCAAAACAACTGTTTATAAATATTATAAATTACAAAATAAAACCTTTTTTTTTTTTGCTTAGATAATGTATTTGATTTTAAGAACAAGACTATTGTGAAATATTACTTTGTTGATATACATATTATTAAACACAGTCAGAAATTGAATTAAAATTTTCATAAATATAAACAGACAGTTGATGGTCTTAATATTAATTAGTTCTTGAAATTGAACAAATATAATGTCACATTGATGGATTATATGCCTGATGTGATATCTAGTAGTATTAACATAGAAGAAATTATTCTATTGGTGTGAATAAGATCAGTTAGATGACTTGATAAGCAATAAAAAGAAAACAAACCTTGTACCAAAATGTGATAGATATTGTCTCTCCATAGCCATGCAAAGATTCAACTTGATGCCACCTAAAAGAATGGTAATAATTATACAACCCTGCACCAGTACTTGAGTACTAAGACAATGTTCAGCTTTCAATGTTATGAAAGGGGCGTGTGTTTTGCAACTGATATGATCATGTTAATACAACAATTGTCCAAATTAATGCGTGATACAGATGTAAAAAAAAGTCAGGTTCCTAAATGGACCCTCTACTTTTTAAAAGAATAAAAAAGACTAGAAAGTCTACTTAGTAAAGTAATTTTAAAGGTAGAAGGTTAACAATATATTTTTCTTAATGAGATTAAAAAAGTAACAGTAGTGACTCAAAATATTGTAGTTCAACTGGTAAATAATAAAGTAGTAAATGAATCATAAATCAACACATGTAATTTGTAGTAATATAAAAGAGGCTTACCAATACATAGGTAAGTAAAGAACATCCTTGGGGCCTACTATAGCTTCATAACCTTTCACTTTGGCAAAGTTTGGAAACTTCTCTAAGTCTGGGTTCTCAAAATCTACCTGAAATTTTTAAAATCATAAATTAGTAAAATACAGGTATTTAATAAGGTATAGTGAAAAGGAAAAATTATTTATATAATTTGTTACAATAGACTTATGAAGAGAAAGTCGTGAACTTGACTAGCCCATACACTGTTGGTAAAAAAAAGTTCTGCATAATAATGCCAGTTATAAGATAAAAAGCAGTGACAAACATAAATTTGAAATAACCCTTTCATTTTTCTAAGATGACTGAACCAATCTGTTTCAATTAGCTGACAAATTCAAGAATATCAACTGTTACTTACCATACTTTGTCTGTCATGTGGGTGATAAATAGGATATGGATACAAACATTCAAACTGACTTGGGTCAAAGAGTAAGAAACGTTTGTAACCTTGGATTTGGGCAAACAGATTTTCTTGCTCATCATAGTGTGCTGGTGTAACAACTCCTGAATATAAAGTTAAAAACATTGTTTTTCAGGAATTTCACTAGACATCAAAAAGATGACAATGTGTTTACAGTTGATTCTTTCAAATGTACTCAAACAAAAAAAACTTAAACTGGGTCACATTAAGCAGATTTGTCTTCAAAGAAATAAAAGCAATTTAAAAAATGCTTTAATTAATTTATATCTTGGTTTTTACTAAATTAAGAATAACAAGTTCTTACCTTCCATCCCTACTAACAGCAAATTTGATGTGAGGGAGCCCCATCTATTTTTTTTCTGTATTTCATTAGCCCAGCTCCAATTAAAATTTGTGAAATCCATTACAATACGTTTTCCTACTGTGTCATTTAATGGCTGTTGTAGGTATATTCTGAACATAAGAGATAGTCATGTTATTATAATGTAAAATTCAATCAGACATAAAAATTAACCACATTAAAATGTATAATTACTTCAAGGTTAGCATATTGCTTTATACTTACAGTTCTTTTTTATCTTTCTTTTTTAATTTTGTGGCAAAGTCTTGGAATGTCATATCAGTGTGAGAGGTTGGAGGTTTAAAACTTTTGTTTTGTGGTAACTTTTTATCATCATAATATTTGAATTTTCCATCTGAAGATGAATATACTGTATACTGTCCTGTTCCTAGATTAGAACACAAATAACCTAAATCCCAATGATGTGCAGATCCAACCAAATCTGAACCCGTTAGTATCACTGGTTGCTGAAAAGAAATGCATCTACAATTAGCTGAGATGTTAATAATTGTGACCATGGTAACTATACAGATAAGTGATTGCAAGGTGTCTGCAGGGAATGCCTTCCGCCTTGCAGCAAGCAATATTTCTGCTCATACACATGCACCATTGAAGCCACGAAAACATATAATTTGGCTCTAATTCCCCTTTGTTTTTTTTAAATATGTAGAACTCAAACTGGTAGTGAAATGGTTGTGCCTTGGGTGGTTCAAATCTAACTGGGAGCAAGTTAAGACTTTATAACTCTTGTGTATGAGTTTTGTATATTTTTTTTTGCTGTCTTAATGTCATACAGATCTATATGAAATTGGTTTTTCATTTGTCAAATACTAAATAGATAAGCTAATTATTATATAATTATTATTGATTAATACTAATTTTGGAAACTAATGATGTGAGTGAACAATTACTTTACTACGACCATATTATTTATCCTATATAGTCTAATAAAAACAATGAACATCATAATTAGTGCTGTTTTGCAAACATAGGCATGCATAGTGGTACAAAAACATTGCCTTGGAGGAATGCAATATTTTTTCCCCACTGCAATTAAGCCTAATAAATTTATTTTTTGTTGCTATTGAATTGAAAGAAAAGCAGCCTAAAACTATAGCATAGAGTAAGTAATATAGTGCGGTGATGTGAAAGGTGTGTATACGGAACCAAGTATTGTGATTATTTTATAGTAAAACTGATGTCAAAGTATGTTGATGTTGTACAAAGTGATTAAGTTTCACAAGGGAAACGACTGGGTTGAGTGATGCGCAGGGTAATGTAGAGTGGTATATAGTTGTAGGGTGGACAACCATAAGGACACTGAGAGAAACTAGTTGACAGTTGTCATGGTGATTGTGAGAGACAAGGCTCTGTACTCTGTAGATTATAAGTATCAAGTGTTGTGTGAATGTGCATGGCATACACTACAGTACAGGAGTAAAGAAGAGGCTATGACTAGATTCTAGATAATATGATATGATGAGATTAGATCAATTAAAAATAGATCTAGATGCTGTTGTCAATAGATCAAGACATTCAATGCACTGCATGTGGATTTTTAAATTAATAGTTAAAGTACATCTAATATAGACTATAGTCTAATATGGATCTAATCTAGGTCTAGAAGTTATTTTATTAACGTTTTAAAAAAATGAAATTGTGAGAAATTTCCTTCCTTGTTTTTGTTTTGCAGTTTAAGCCTTTAATTTACGCATTTTTAATAAACTTACTCCATTTTCAATTAATTGTTCGGCTTCAGAATCTTGATAGTGTAAACGAGGTATTTGTTGAGTAGGGAATATATATTTCTTAACTTCAAACTCTTTGGAATCGACCTTTACTTTTACTGTTTCAGTAGCCATTTTACGTGCTAGAGATCTATGCTGTTCTTTTAATAGCTACATACACAAAGGGATCGTTAATTGTTTGTAATATAATAACTACATGTATGAGCTATTTATTTCATTTGTTGACAAGAAAATGTATTCTTTTATAATTAGATTTCAAATTTAAAACAGGATCATTATTCTAGATCTAAACCTATTTGTTTATTTTTTTCTAAACAACAAATTAAATAAATCTAAAACGAGGAGCAAACTTTTTGAGTCAGCTAACAACCTAAACAATTCCAGACGCTTTTCCGAGAAAATGTAGGTCTACCACTTCTAGATCGATCTAGATCTAGATCCTGATGTAAAATACCGAAAAACAGAATAGTACACTGGGTTAATCACTACAAACAACGAAGCTTTAATTAAGTATTAAGTTCAAAACGTTAAATGTCTTGGTTTACAGTTAAAGAATTCCGTGAATATCCATTAGCCTTTGGAAATATGGAAAAAATATTGCATAAATCCACAGTGGCGTATGAAGGTTTTTTGTCAAGGGGGAGAGGAGGGGGGGGGGGAGGTTGCAACCCTCAAATCACAACCAAAGAGTAGAGATTATTACATGACTGTAAATGTACATATATGATTATGGTATAGTTCCAGAGGCGTAGCGAGGGGGGGGGGCGGGGGGGGGGGACATATGTCCCCGGGCGCCGACCTTAGGGGGGCGCCAAATTGAAAGTTTAAGGGGGGTGCAAATGAAAAATTCGAGGGGGGGGGGGGTGCAAATGAAAAGTTCGACGGGGGGGGGGGTGCAAATCAAAAGTTTGAGGGGGGGTGCAAATCAAAAGTTCTCGAGGGGGGCGCAAATCGAAAGTTTGTCCCCGGGCGCCGGGAGGGGTCGCTACGCCTCTGTATAGTTCACAAGTGAATTTGTGAAATGTTGACAGAATCTCGCCAACGCATAATATAAACACAACTTAAATACAAACATAAACGCATAGTGCTCACAGTCTAGCCCAGGGTGCCAAATCGCACCCTGCCGGGGCGTCGGCGGAATCGCCTGATTCAACTTAGTAAACAACTATAATACCCCAACTTATCCATAAAATATCCGTCACAAAATTTCGGATCCCCTCCCCTCTACGAGACAGTTGGTCAGCACTATGCCAAACCGCCTCTACTCTTCCTACCATGAGTTAGGTACCCACCAAAGATGGTGTAACGTTTTTGTTCTCTTTTCTCAAATGTAATGTTCTTGCTTCTATCAAATGTACTGTGTTTGTAATATTCTTCTTCTCTTCTGTTTCTCGCTCTTACTCTCAGCCACAGACGATCAAAAATAATGAAGAATAAGTCGTCTTCTGCAAATCTTTATTTGACTATCTTTCTTTACCGGGAATTGTCTGTGTAGCGCGCATCTAACAAGACTATAGCGCCAACACGCGTGTTTCATAAATTATTGGCTAGGGCCGTCGTTTCTTCATCCCCTCTAAGGCTAAACCGCTGGTTTATATACCCCACCTTCGGACGACACCTTGCTCTCGGCACGAATTCTAGCGCTTACCTGTGAAAATTGTCCCTAGTATTGTGCTAACCTACCCCAAATAACTCTTTATAAAAACTTAACGCGATGTCCTAAAATTGTAATAAACGTATCATCTGAAACCACAATTACCTTTACAATGATACACTATGACATATAACATCAATAAGTTGTTCTGAAACAATAATACATCAACCATGCAAATAAGGTAAAAATATCATCAAATACACCTAATTAAAGTAGATTTCCATAATATCGGCATTCTCCTAACTAACGATATTCTAATTGAAGATCTGGCTTGGCTTAATAGTTCATCTAATTTTCATGCTATTTTAGCAGTTATTAATTAAGATACGAATTTTTCTTCTTGCCCTACTAAGCACAATTGACTGATTCCTAACAAATTCACTACAATGGGCGGACTTATTGATTTGAACCGGGATCCGAACTCGAGACTTTCAGGTTAGCATTTCTATTACAATACCGCAATAAATTTAAGTTTAATTACATGTTTTTTTTTTAAAAAAAAAGGAATTTTTTAATATTCACCATGAAAACAACCTTCAAAATATATATATATGCTGTTATCAATGTTATTATTATTATTAGTCAGAATTTTCCTACTGGCATCTGCAGGAAACATCTCAAGAATCACAATTCCCATTGAAAAATTATATTTTTTAAACCATGTGCGGTGTTATTAAAAAAGAACACAGAGTAGATCTAATACAATATTAATTATTGTGTGGGTTGTGTATAGATCTAGAAGAATTTCGTGTTTTTAGATTTTTTAAATTAAAAAGCGTGTGTGTGTGTGGGGGGGGGGGGGGGGTCGTCAAAACGGCCCCGACAAAACAATCCAGTCAAAATAGCCTAGATAAAAAGGCTCCCCACAAAAGGCCATCGACAAACAAGATACTAATTACAAACGAGAGGTTGCGTTAACTAAAGAAAAACTCCAAACACTTTCTCATCACATACAGTCTAGAAACAAAAATGTAAAAAAAAAACAAAAAAAAAAACGTTCATAACAGTAAGGAGTTGTCCATAAATGACGTCACACTCGTAGGGGGGAGGGGTCCGTAATTTTGTGAAGTTGTGTGACGAGGGCGAGGGGGGGGGGGGGGGTCAGATGGTATGACGTCACACTTTCGCATTATAAAAGAAAGCTGTTAGAAAACAAATTTAGCCCTTATTTCGCGTTTTAGAAAACTGTTTTAATAAATTATTATAGGAATTGATTAAAATACTCTGTTGACAGAGTTCAGACAAGATTTTGGAGAAATATCGTATTTTATTTATACACCACTATTTCTAAAACATACTTATTATATATGTTAATTTTCGTGCGTGTATTTTTTCTAAGACGACGTAATCCCCCCCCCCCCCAGTATAGCTGTTTATCACTATACATTTTTTTTCAGTATACTGCTACTAATACGGAGACGCGTTCATGGCGTCTCCCCCCTCGCTCCCCCCCCCCCCCCCACGCATTATTTATCAGTAACAGTCTATATAGTTATCAACACCAACCAAATGGGATATAATTTTTGGTTTGCTGTAATAGCAACCTCCCCCCAACCAATATATTTACAAACAGCATTGCATAGGATCTAGATCTGGAATATGCCTAGTTATTAGAGCCTTAATTTTAACATCTAGATTTAGATCCAGCCTAAAACTAAAATAGTATTTTAAAGACAACAATATTTAGAAATCTCTCTGCGGAATGATACTTATGATAAAATAAGGATTTTATGGAAACAAATACATACACCATATAATGTTGAAGCTTATTATTACGTAAACAGAATATTTAAACCATGTTCAAATGAGATTAATTTTATTTTAATAACGAAAAGCAGCAATTAATTTTTGGGACTACATTTTCACATGTAAGGCTATTTTTAAAGACATTCTTCGGTTCCGAGTTCAAAGGAAGTAGTAGAAAAGTTCAAAAAGGCTAGACGGGCGATTCCGGTGTCCTGATTGTAAACAGGAATGTTTGATTGCACCTGAAGCAGTCTAACAACACACTTCTCTGGATATAAACAAGAAAATGTGATTTCGTTACTCTGGAATCAGCAATGTGCTATAATAATACTAATAGTAATAACGTTAATTCTTAATTTATTAAATAATTATTTAATTAGCCTAACTTCTAAATCTAGATCTAGAAATATTCTAGATTCTCTACTCTAGATTACTCTAGAATTAAATTAATCTAGTCTAGATCTATATTCTAGTCACTAGTCTAGTGAAGTCTAGTCTCAATAAACTCTTTTGTTAGGCCTATATTTTTATATTTTATAACTCCGCCTTCAGACTTCTTACTTACTTAGTAGTTAGTAGTAATAGTAGGCCTACTTACTTACTTAGTGATTATTAGTGGGGAAGTAGTCACTTAGTTAAGGCTTAGGTGGCCAGGACCCTTAACTAAAACTCTTACTTAACTTTAACTTAGATCAACTAGTCTTACTTAACTATATAACTACTACTCTAGACTAACCTTAAGTCTTTTAAATTTTACTTTTAGTCTTTAGCCTAAAGTTTAGGCCCCCTACGCCCTACTCTTAATTTTTTTATAGTCTTTCTTTACGAACTCCATTTTAGTTTAGTGGCATTTATTTTAATTTAGGTCTTGATTTAGCCTATCTATCTGTAGGCCTATATATAATTCTCTTCTGGGAGACCTTAGAAAACACCAAGCTGTAAGCGCGCTCCCCCACCCCTACATGGTCTGGTGAGCTGTGGTTCACGCTAAATGTTTACAATTGTAGAGCCAGGTTTAGTGATGGCTATTAGGGGCAGATAATTTACTTTGAAACGATTTTAAACTTAGGGGAGGTAACTAAGAGGAGTTTGCTTTCACTGGGGGGGGGGGTAGGGGTTGGGGAAAGGAGGGGGGGTTATCGTCCTTAACGAGCTACTGATAGTTTTTTAAAGCAAATATTTTCAGTGGCAGCATTGGTACTGTCGAATTCACAAATTATGAATTACTGAAAAGTAGAAAACAAAACAACTAAATAGCAGCGTATGATACGCCGCGGGTCAGCTCGTATATATAATTCTCTTCATTGGGACCATGCAAGACTCCAAGACATAAGCTCAACAGACCATTTCATTGAAACTAAGGGGAGATAATATGTTCTGCTTGCTCTTTTCATTGTTGCCTGTAAACTGTCGTCTAACTGAGTTAGCTGTTAGTTAAAGTATTATAAGCATTCCATTGGTACCAAATTTATATTTCTAGCTTTGCCCAAATGATACACATACTAATCTAAGTCTAACAGAGCAGTAACTAAGATAGATTCTTATTGCACACATATCAATACACATCAAAAAATTAAATAAATGAAATAGGCTTAAAGTTTTAAAGCAAGGTTGTTTCTTTTGTTAAAGCACAACTCTATGGGGTATTGAATATGATGAGATTGTTTTACTAAATAATGATATCTAGAATTGACCCTTTGAATCCCTGGATGTTTTTTTCTGTTAGGGATTTAAAGGGTCAGTACAATTATCATTAGATGATAGGCCTACTGAGGAAGCAATCAATATTATATACCATTTAGATATAGGGATTATGTGTTTGTTTGTGATTCTGATTAACATTTTACTATGAGTTATGGAATGGAGTTGAAAGCAATTTTTTTGGCACTACATAGCCTAGGCATAATAACTTATTTGAAAATTTACCACTTTTTATACTCTCAATTATTCCTAACAGGCCTAGGCATATCAAAAATATTGTAAAACCAATTAGGCCTAAAACTATATGGATAGTATACTGGTTATATATGTATGCAAAAATAGTAGTAAAGCTAGTTTAGGAAATGGCAGCATAAGTAGGCTAGATGCTTATTATAGTAATAGGGCCTAATGTATAGGCCTACATAAAAAATGGCTTATTACTCTAAAAAAATGTCAGTAAAAATAGAATGACCGCCTAATCAAACCAAAGGCGTAGGCCTATATATTTTGTATGTTTTTATTGTTTGTAATATTTTTTCCCAAAAATGCTTCTCTATCTACTTAAGACTTTAAATAAGCAATGGATCTGATGACCAAGCACACCTAATATTATTAATTTAATGAGGACTAGGCCTATAGGATTATTAATTAAGTAGATAGGCTTGCTGAAGACCAAGCTTTTTAAAAAATATAGAATAGATCTCATATCAATGTAGTGGCCCACTAGGCAAATGTAATAATCTTAGTGAAGTGACACAAATTAAGTAATGAGACAAGTATCTAGTTTAGTCCTTTTAGCTTACTTTTCTGAAGTTATCTCATCAGATGCATCCGCTCAATAAAAAAAAATATGATAATCAAATTAACTGTCAAGTGCACTTATTTTCAGTCATAAAATGAGTTTTTGGATTTTAGACAATTTTATAATATCAATATCAGAAGCAGGTTGCATACTTATGCTACAATTTAATTTATTTGTGTAGGTCTTGTCTTAGAATGAAGATTAAATACACCTGTCAAACTCCTTCATCAAATGGAAATATGATTTGGATTTAAAGCACAAAGTTATCACCAAGTATAAACTGGAACAAAACATTGTGTTCTTAGTACATAGTGCTATTATAGTTGCAAGAGAACAACCATGGCGTCAAAATGTCAGAAGTTTTGTCCAAACATTTTCAACAAATCAAAATGTCAACACTGTTTTGCAGCTAAAGAAGCTCACTCAGCTGCAGCTCTTGAAAACAATAAGGTATGTAAACATTTTAATCTTTGCACTTTCTGTGGCATCATTATGAAACCAGTACAAAAGTGTTCTAGTAGTATATTTGTAACCGTTGTTTGCTGTTTGTCTTAGTGTTTATATGTTGGTACTTGTAAGCCAGAAACATTGAATGTTATAATAAGGTTCAAGGGTAGGCAAACATCTACTGCTCTTTTCTAACATCTTGTCTAACATGATAAACTGAGTAATGCTGTAAAAATATAACTATTGTCTTATTAGAGCTGTATATTTGTCTTATCATATCATCAGGAGGGTCAGAAAGTGTAACATCACAAATTTTCATTTAATAAAAAAAAACTTGAAACTAAATTTTAGTAGATTTGATATCTGTTATTTTGCATTTTTAAGGACTTGTGAATAATAATTGATCATTTAAGCAATGTATAGCTCTGCCGAGTTAATATTTTTGCATGGAATTGTTGTTTAAAAAACAAAAATTGCAATTTGAGTGAGTGTGGTGAGAGTCTGTTGTCACTCAAAAAGGGTGATGTCAATTTCATACAACCTGCTAAGAATTGGTGATTGTTCAAAAAGCATTTTAGATATTACTACAAATCCAGAAATCTCAAGCTCATCTAGTTGGTTTTTTTTTTTAGTATTAAAAGATCTTTAGTCCATCAAGCCCTAACTTCTTATTCCTTTTTGGCTGCCTGGAAATCAGAGTATAAAGAGGACACTCTGCTAACCAATACAATTTGTGGTTTCTTTTAATAATTGAATCCATGGAAACCCAACCCCTCCCATCATCTTTCTTTTGAACAATCTTCTCCTCTCCCTTTCTGGGGTTCCCTTCAATGCTTTTCTGATGCCTAGCTGCCTTTTTCTTATTTTTGTATTCTAGTACTACCTTGTCTGCACATCTTTCATAGGTACAGATTGGTAATATTTTACCCGGCCAGTATACCTTAAAGATTGATGTCTTAAAAGAGACATTAAGCCTAACACTAGCACTAGCCTTAACCCAAACTCTAGCCCTAACCCTAACTTTACCTTAAGCTATGACGGGGGGGGGGGGATAATGCCCTGTACCCCCTTAAAATATTACCCTCAATACAAAACAATGAGTCATGAACGAAACCAAATCTTTGTACATGAGATTTAGCCTTCAGTTTGTTGATCTTTTCTATTTTATGTTGCCGTCACCAAAATTATTTCCACATACCCTCTGTTGTTACCCAGTTTTGTAAAGCTGGGCTTAAGCGCTTTCTGCTCACGTACTTCAAATACTCATTAACACCTCGTCGGGGGACACTGTTTACTTCTGATTCTCAGTGTTTAACCACTGCACTAAGTTAACGCTCAGTCCGGTTGTTTTTTTTTTTTTTCCCAATGCAACGTACAGTTGTGACATGCGAGGTTTGTACCCTTTTCCTTGTGTCTCTTTTGTCCAAAGTTCACACGTCCACATGCCATCAGCAGTCATAATAGACTGTCAGAAACCATTTCATTATTCGGAACGACCAGCTCGTTCTAGGTTTAAAATCCGGGCTTACATATCAAACGACGTTCTACAAGAAGAATTCCATTTACCAGACCTCGGGTTGGCAGACCTAATCGTTGTTTTATTTTACGGTTGACCTCGTTTTTTTTTAAAACAGTAATTTTAGGAAGCTTAGTTAGATTCCTGTTAAATATTTGGTGTGTGTACCCAGGTCAGTGGCGTAGACGGTGTTTTTTTTAGGTGTGTTATAATTATAATTTTACATACATACTTGATTGGACTACATATATAGCCTACCAGAGGCGTAGCGAGGGCGGGGCGGAAGGTGCGGACCACACCGGGTGACACCATGGCAAAAAATTGCAAAATGTACAGAAGAAAAATGCTTTATGCCAGTTGCATTAATGATTAATTATGTCAATAACAAAGTCAATATTTTGTAATCGTTCAAGGAAACGTTTTAATTAATGATCATTTAGTTGTAAAGCGTGCTCTATTATCGCTGGATGAAAGAACAAAATACGTAGCATAAGCATTTACATCCTAGCACGGTTGTCTATGTTTCCTATTTAAGTCTTATACAATAACAATGAATTCTCTTCAGTAATGTTAATAGGCCTGATCCTGCATTTAGAACCAAAAACTAGACCCACACAACGTGCATTGGCAAAGCCAACCAGAACAGCAATTTAACATTTTAAATCTGGTGTCACCCCCGTCCAGCCCCCATTCCACTCTTGTATGCCGCAGTGTGTAAGGTATTTAGAACTGATCAATTACTTACTTCACTATCCGGTCACATCGAGTGATATGTAAAAACTTTAGTTGGTGTCGCCCCCCCCCCCCCTCTGTAGGATATGTCGTATTTAATTGTAATAAGTTAAATTTGCATTAAGTATCCCCAAGTAACCATGTTGGATGGTGTAAATCTTTTCCTGCTCTAAGTGATTATAGTTAAGTCAAAGACTGATTTAACTGGTGAAATATTTAAATCCGTTGCATTATTAATGGTATTTTCGCCTTCTTCTCACTTCCGATGCTTTCTGTATGTGATAAACCTATTTAGTTAACTCACATTTCCCATTACTACATTTTTCTCAGTTAATAATAGTGCGATTTAAAACCAGCTTTTATAGTTGCCTTAATACTTAAAATGCTGTCACCCGGTGCGGTCTGCGATCCTCCGTTTTGTGACGCTACTACCTCATCGCCAACAGACCGTAACACAAATACCACCAGTAGCTACAATGACGAGCTATACCCCCCTCTATCAAGATGACGGAACGTATTTTGTTAGTTAACCTCGCGTCTTCGTAGATCTTTTCTCTCTTCTGTGACCTCTCGTAAGAATGGTCGCCGGCGTCATGTAATAGGTTGACATTGACAGTTCAGGTAAAAAAAAACCAGCTGGAAAGGTTAGCCGTTACCTTTGAAAGCCAGTAGTGTCCCGGTGTCGGAATGTGTTTGTTTTAACGTTAGTGAGAACAATGGTGCAGGCCGTGAGGTAACCACCTGTAGAGGCGTAGGCTAAATTAACGCCAAGTCACGCGCTTAGGCCGGCTACAGAACCTAAGCTAGACGTCCGTTTGTGGTGGCAGAGACATAGGCCGGCTACAGAACCTAAGTTAGACGTCCGTTTGTCGTGGCAGAGACATAGTCCGGCTACAGAACCTAAGCTAGACGTTTGTGGTGGCAGAGACATAGTCCGGCTACAGAACCTAAGCTAGACGTTTGTGGTGGCAGAGACATAGTCCGGCTACAGAACCTAAGCTAGACGTTTGTGGTGGCAGAGACATAGTCCGGCTACAGAACCTAAGCTAGACGTTTGTGGTGGCAGAGACATAGTCCGGCTACAGAACCTAAGCTAGACGTTTGTCGTGGCAGAGACATAGTCCGGCTACAGAACCTAAGCTAGACGTTTGTGGTGGCAGAGACATAGTCCGGCTACAGAACCTAAGCTAGACGTTTGTGGTGGCAGAGACATAGTCCGGCTACAGAACCTAAGCTAGACGTTTGTGGTGGCAGAGACATAGTCCGGCTACAGAACCTAAGCTAGACGTTTGTGGTGGCAGAGACATAGTCCGGCTACAGAACCTAAGCTAGACGTTTGTGGTGGCAGAGACATAGTCCGGCTACAGAACCTAAGCTAGACGTTTGTGGTGGCAGAGACATAGTCCGGCTACAGAACCTAAGCTAGACGTTTGTGGTGGCAGAGACATAGTCCGGCTACAGAACCTAAGCTAGACGTTTGTGGTGGCAGAGACATAGTCCGGCTACAGAACCTAAGCTAGACGTTTGTGGTGGCAGAGACATAGTCCGGCTACAGAACCTAAGCTAGACGTTTGTGGTGGCAGAGCAATATCGCGGCGTTTGTCATTACACGACCAACTCGATTCAGTATAGATCTCTATATCAGTGGCTTAGCGAGGTCGGTTGTCACCCGGTGCGGCACTTAATGGTGTCGACCCCTCAAAATTTCGATTTGCACCCCCCTCGAACTTTCGATTTGCACCCCCCCTCAAGTTTTTCTCTATATATTATGCTATTTTTTGCCTTGGTGTCACCCCCTAAATGGTGTCACCCGGTGCGGTCCGTACCTCCCCCCCCGCTACGCCTCTACTCTATATACAATCTAGTAGGCTTGGCTGTATTGTAGCAAAATAATGTTTGTTTTTCGGATTGTCTGATGTGTTGCTTTTAGATATTTTTTTTCTCCCTAAAAATGGGGGGGGGGGGGGGGGGGTGGAATGTCTTAAATATGGTTTAAAAAGAAATGAAACTGAGACTTTCCATGACCATTCACACTCCACGTTTGACTGTTGTATCTCCTAAACATATCGAGTCCCTAGAGTTCCTGCGGCGTGAGGTAATAGTAAAGAGAAGTATTTAATAGTTGTAACGATGAGTCATGTAGATCTAATGATACCGGGAGCTAGTGCGGCGGGTACATTAGTCACGTGGTATGGGGCTTGGCATAATTAGTGCCGTTTATTTTAACAACCCTAGCCAACTTAAAAGTAGAAAAGAATCAGAAGTTGAATCGTGCATAGGCCTGCATACGTCATTCAACTGCATAGGAGAGGCGTCGTCTATTATTATTAACCATGACTAGTTTTACTGGGGCTACAAGAAAAATGCTTGTTTAAAACAACTTTCTAACTGACTAATTACTCACGTCCAGCTTTTGTTTATATTACGTAATGTTGTGCCGCAACCTGATAGGAGAGAATGTTTAAAAGATTATCTAGAAGACGGATGATGGGCATCGCCCAGCTAGGTGAAGTCCTGTCTGGTTTAAACCTGCTCTGCTGCGTCACTCGGGTATAAGAAAGAACAAAGGCCGAGCTTGTAGCATCAACGCGAGTGATATAACGATAAGACCTGTCGGTGCCGTGTGTTCATATTTTCACAGAGCGTTGTAATCAGACACTTCGGTAACTTGTTATAGCTAATACGTGTCTGCATTGTTATAAATCACCATGCTGTGCTTGAATCATCATTGTGTTTTTTTAATGAATTTCTATTA